GGTCTCGAGGCCAATAATGTTTGTTTTGTGCGCCATAAAGAGAGCAAGACGCGTTATCGTAACTGTTTTCTAACGCCTACAAACGAGACAAAATGCCTTTATATAAAATCGGCTTCGATACTTAGAGTGATGACATAACGAGGAAAGGATCATGCCGGCGGCATCGCTTCTTTCGCCTATTGTTCGTGATAGCCTAGATCAGGGGTCTCAAACACGCGGACCGCATGCGGCCCGCGACTCGCCGAGACGCAGCCCGCAGGCAACCGGCTACGAGTCCCGGTTCCCATGTCTCGAGTACTAGAAATGGCCTGCGCCATCGTGATCTCATCTCGCCGATTCATTTTCGCTCGGAAATTGGCCCTCTTTTTTCAACTTTTTCACATCGTTTCTATATACCGTATCTGTGTTCATTTGCCCTTTGTTTCGCTTTATGTTTTGCTTCCCAGTTTTTTGTAATGTACAACAATTCCGCGACATTCGTCACACATTCTCGTTTTGCCGCCCCTCTATCTTTTCTTTTTTTTTACTATTTACAGGTTGAAGCGTTTTATTATTTTTTCGTCGCCCATACCGGATTCAAGAGTACACAAATATGCGGATGGCTCCGGTCAGCTGTGCCCGGGAACAAAGCGAGAGGCGCCTTGGGGTCGCCAACGTGGCCTCCAACGAAGGATTATTGAGTTGACTGACGAAGTTCGTCCCGACAGCCTTGGAGAGATTCCGCCTTCTCCTAGCTTCTGGCGCGTTTGTGGGATTATCCCTTACCGCATGGATTATCCTCTTCCTCCGTCCGGACTTCGATGGCGACACAGCGACGAAGGACGTCTGGCCCCTCGGCGCGGGTGTGGTTAACGCGAATGGCGCTGTTTGAGGGAGAGGGGAAGGCATAGCTGTACGTTGAGACAATGGCCCTATTGCTTTGGTCGGGGCATTGTCCATCGGGATTCCCTGCTAGCGATGTGGAGAAATGTGACGTTATAAAAGGAGCGGCAAGCGGCTGCTAGCGTGGGTGCGATTGCGCTATGAGCAAAAAGTTTCCATATGCCGCCAACGAAGTTTTGACGCAAAAAAACCATCCTGTCGGCAAAAAAAAAAATTTTTTTTTTCATTGCGCGCTTTCAATTGTGACGGACGGCTCAAGGAGCCGCTTGTAGTAAAACATTGACGATCTTGCGAAGTACTGGTAAGCAAAGTAAGGTTATCGTCATAATCTAAACCCTGAAAAAAGGAGAAAAAAAAACTGAACAAGACGACTCTCCTTGTATCAAGGTTTAAATTATATTTCCTAAACAGCTCACGTGCACACTTTCTCTCCTTGCAAAGGTTATCGTGTCGCAGACGGCACAAGCCGATGCCCCGGCGGCGGCGTCTCTGTGAGCGTGCACACAGCGGCGCAGCTGACCGATCGCCGTCTGGCCGGGCAAACAGCCCAAATGCGCGCTTGAAGCGTGGAAACGGCGTGATGAAACGAAAGGCCAAGGGTAACTACAGGACAAACGGAGAAAACCGATGCAAAGGTGTGCACCAACGTAAACAACGGTAGAAAAGTGCGGTCGCTCGCCGCTATGAAATCCGTCCTCAAACTCAGTAATGCGCGCCCGCATTCCTTTCCTGCTGCTCGTACTTTTTCTAACTTGATGATCACTCTGTCGCGGGGCATGCCGACGAAACGCTGGGCGGGGCTACAACCAAGCGCGGCGCAGTTTACCAAGGCTCTTGCCGCGAATCACCATCGACTCAACCACCACCATGGGTGTTACGGGTGTTCAACGTCGTCATGTGACGTAGGTTCAAGGCATGTATACAAATGACGAAGCAGATTCCACTGGAACAAAATGGCGCCATTCCGTTCAGTCTTCTGCTGTGCGCCGCCATTCGCTTCCTTAAAACTGTACCGCCACGCAGTCGGCGCCTCAAGAAATGTCGCAACTAGTAGGAAGCTCTTATCTAGGGACTTTGTAACACCGCGACGTCCCCTGCCCAGCGCGCAGTCAAGTAATGCCAAGAGCACGTTGACAGGTATTTCGGGAACAAAAACAAGACACAAAAAACCTCAATAAATTCTATAACTTAGGTCTAATGAACGGACGATGACGAGGCTTGTATTGGTGGGGAACACGTATCTAAACACCACCGCGAAAAAAAGAAAAAAAAAAAAAAAATTCCAATCGGGCATTGTGGCGTGGGAGCCAGTTTTTCGCGCAGTGCAGCTGTTCCTTTATTTTTACTGTTTTCGCCTGGCAGCAGTTGCTACACTGCGAAGTTTGAAATGCTTGGATGATAGCTGCTCCGGTTTCTATTTCCGTGCTCGCTCGATTGGTTGATCCTGAGCCTTTTATACTGGGTTGATCATCTACAGAAGTGGAAATATTTCTACTGTATTTTTTTTTTTCTCGTGTTATTGATACACTGAGTGAGAAGTTTGATGGTGGGCGAGAGATGTGAACTAATTGTGCAGTCCAAAAAATTGGATATATGTAAAATTCTTTAACCCAGTCCCTGCTGCTTTGCGCCGTAATGCCTTTTGCCTTGCTCGCTCCAATTTTGGGTCACAATAACCGTGCACAAACTAACAAACGTACGAAAAGAAAAAGAAATTTGTGAAAAGAAAGCAGGAATATCTGATAAGGAAATTCATTTCCCTTCGCAATTTACGAGCATTGCTTTTTCATGCAAAAATAACAACTTTATTACCGTTCGAGAGTTATTTCTGTTCCTCGCTTTCATCTCCTTTAGTGAGAGGTCAAGTACCCAGTGCGTTGTCTTTGTTTGTCTTGAGCCTTTCAGCTAGCAGACTGCTAAAACAAAAGCAGTATTGATAGACAACCAATAATCTAAAAATAGACGTCAAACTGTCTATCAAAAAGGGATTGTTTTACGCATTCCGAATTACTTTCACAAGACCTCACTGCCATCACTTTTCAAATGTGTACACTCAAAAGCGCTACAGAGCCCCGTCATCTGCAGTTTAAAAGCGCGCAGAAAAGTGAGCGCGAGTTCATCAAGTGACCAGCGCCATAAGCGCGCCTAGAGAGCGACGACGCGCGACCGAGCGCAGAGCCGTCAAAAGCAAGCGAAACACGGCGGCGCGCCGCAAGAGCCGTCACGACAGGGCTGCGACAACATGCCGGCGTCGCTAGTGCGACAGTGCGCCCGTTTCACCGCGTAGCGCAAAGGCGCACAACCGTCACGAGCACACTGCGCCGCTCGTAGCGCCATCTGTACTCTGACAAAGCAACTCAAAGAGGTGTCCGCGCTGTCCGCGTCGTTGTTGCGCCCGTCTGCCCCGTCTTCCCCACTCCACGCGACAGCGCGCTCCTAGCGCCATCTGTACTCTGACAAAGCAACTGAAATAGGAGCCCGCAGCCTCCGTGCCTGCTTCCCGGCGCGCGCCCCTCCGCGCACCTTGCCATTGGCGCTCCGCAATAGCCGCTCCCCCTCCCCTTTCCCAGGCTCCTCCCCTCTTCTTAGGCCACGCCAGCGGCAGACCAGCGACATCTTTACCGTGAGTCAGACCGACGTGCTAAAACAGTGCGCGACACTGCTATCGCGAACACGATATGAGCGCTTTTTTTTCGACGCTGGGGATATCAGGTTTCTGCCCGCCAGCTGTCTTTCTTTTCAGACCATGCACTGGTACAATCTCAAATGCAGTTAGCGGGAACACGGGAGTGCGGGGCGTCGTGTACTACCAGAGCACTCCGACGACCCGCGCCCAACTGCAGCGCCTCCGCAACAGTGCAGTTACGCGCCTGGCCATTAGAATGCTCTGATGGTACACGATGCCACGCGCTCCCATGTTCCCGCTAACTGCGACTAAGACGTACTACATATGATTCTGGACTTCTCACAATTTCAGGTGTATCCATTCTCTCAAATAACCTGGATACCATCTTGTCGATCTTGTGCATATTCATCGCAACAATATTCTCATTGAACACAGTTTTTTTTTCTTTTCTAGTACTGTAGCAGACCTCGGGCAAAAAATTGCCATCGCAATGACTAACCTTTCTCCATTAAATTTGTATAAGGCTTGTTTATCACAGATGTACGCCTATGTTCTGTCGAGGAGGGGTAGGTTACCAGTGAGCCGCAAGCCGCACGAGGCTCCTGATCTGCGTTTACGCCATCCCTGCTCTGGAGCGTGTTGTCTCGAAGGACATTTTCACTTCAGCTCAAAGTGTATGGCTCCTTGTAGCTTTTCCTTTGCTCTCATTTATAGCAAAACGGAGTATATACGCCTCACAAACTAGTGAGTTGACGGCGCCTATCACAACCTTGCTTAAAGGGGCCCTGCAACGACTTTTTGACTGGTTTTTAATTTGCACCGAACCTGAGCGCACTGAGTGTAGTAACTTAGTGAAACTTATCTTTTCGTTCTCGAATTTCGCTTTATTCTAAAGTTATAGACAAAATAAAATGACAAAAACAGGCAAAAAATAACCTCCTTCATGACGTCCTTGGTCCTGGCTTGGGTGGCCGTGAACTAGAGGAGGGATAGTGAGCTCAGCGAGCGCTCACGGCTGCCACACTTCGTGTCGACGGCTCAAGAAGGCGCCACTAAAGCGTGTGCAGGATAGGCTGGATGAAGCGGGTGTGTTTGCTTTCATTAATTGAAGTTAGTTAACAAATTTTAGTCGGTCATTCGACTTATCGTGACGATTAGTCCCCTAAATTAAGTCCCTGTGGCCATATAACTTACCTGCAGACTAGGTTAGGTTTCAAAAGCTTTTTTTAAAAAATAAAAATCTGTAGATTCATACTGTGTCGTCATATGTCGTTGTCTCGTCTGTACAGTCAGGTCTCTTAATACGAATGCCCCGGTGTGTGCACAAAATTTTCAAGGACGAATCGGGTGAATACATGCATTTTTGCCTCATTATCGTGGACAACTTGAATTATGAAAATTTTTTGAGGCAAACGGAGGTGTCCATCTTACTGAGGCACGGCTGTACCTCCTTCCGTCCTTCACGGACTACATTACTTCTCCACTGCCGCAGAAAATGACTCCATCAACACCTTCAAGGAGATCCTCGAGATTGCCGTGAAGCACGAGGTCGACTTCATCCTGCTCGGCGGAGACATGTTCCACGAGAACAAGCCGCCACGCTGGGTGGAGCACGAGACGCTGAAGCTGCTGCGCCAGCACTGCCTGGGCGACAAGCCCGTCCGCTTCGAGATGCTCAGCGACCAATCGGAGAACTTCGGCTTCTGCGCCTTCCCCAACGTCAACTACGAGGACGCCAACCTGAACGTCTCGTACCCTGTGTTCACGGTGCACGGGAACCACGACGACCCGACTGGCTCGGAGAACTTGAGTGTGGTGGACGTGCTCGCCACGTCGGGGCTCGTCAACTACTTCGGTAAGGTGACCAACATGACGGACGTGCGCCTGTCGCCACTGCTGCTGCGCAAGGGGCGCACGCTGCTCGCCCTCTACGGGCTTGGCTGGATTCGGGACGAGCGGCTGCACAGGTGTGTACGGCTTGGGCTCTTCTTAAAGCGACGCCTCAATGCGAGAACCCCGCTTGGAACACGTCCCCGGCTGGTGTGTCTGCCGTGTCCTAAAAACTGGTCCCACAATTTCTGCCGGATGACGTCGTAGAACTGTTGCATCGTCACCGGTTACGATCCTGGTGGTGTTGCAGCGGCAAACGGTGTATGTGGCAGACGGTCCGCGGAAGCTTCGACAGCCGGGATCTGGAACGCCACGACGGCGGCGACACGCACATTTGCTCGCGGTTTATGCCAGCATTGCTACAACCAACCACCGGGATCAGGACATCCGACAGCACGACACCGCTGTTGATGCATGGGCGGAATGGGGCGCGAGACATGCGAGTTGGAGACGCGTTCCGGGCACCGTAACATTGTCCTTTACGTCTCCAGTCGACCTCCAAACGCATCTTATTTCCGACGGGTGTGTGGCTCGCAGGCTGTTCCGCGATGGCAAGGTGAAGATGCTGCGTCCCCGCGAGCAGACGGAGGACTGGTTCAACCTCATGGTGCTGCATCAGAACCGGGCCAAGCACGGGGCCACCGACTACATCCCGGAGACCTTCCTGGACGACTTCCTCGACCTCGTCGTCTGGGGCCACGAGCATGAGTGCCGCATCGAGCCAGAGTGGAACGGGAGGTATGCTGTCCGTGTGGTCACCGACCTCGATGCTCACTGATGCTCTATCGGTCAGAGCAGTTTATATTGAGGCTGTGGCCTATGGGCGGAAGCTGCTGCCTGCTATACTTCGTTTCACCGTAACTTGACAGAGAGCAAATGCTGCGGTCCTCTGGAACCAATAGGAACGACGGAGACGAAGCGCATGGCAGACCTTACCTAAGGTACTATCTTAATCGCATTTAGCGGAAACACGGGAGTGCGTGGCATCGGGTACTGTCGGTGCACTGCAACGGCCGGGCGTGCAACTGCAGCGTTGCGGATGGACTGCAGTTGAGCGCCGTTGGAGTGCTCCGACAATACCCGACGACACACGCTCCCGTGTTCCCACTAACTGTGATTAAGAGTATAGGGGCGAGAGTGTAACAGTTGGAGATGAAAGAAAGGAGGAACTCCCCTCTTACCCATATCTTTTGTGTGTTCTAGACGTCGTCTTTGTCCCCCCAGAGAATTAGCCTTTCATTCAGAATTCCTACAAATGTGGCTTTCCTCTCTCCAGCCTGAGACTTTGACAGCACTGTGCGCAACCAGTGAGAGAGAGTGTGGCCACCTGTCTCCCTCCGACGCGCCGATTGGCTCGCTGGGACCGTAGCCTTTGCTGTTTGCCAAGTTATTGCAAGATGAAGTGCAGAACAAGCCGACTTTGTGATAATACATTGTGCCATACTTTATATCTTCTAGAGGGTCAGGGGTTGTTATGTGTAATTCTTGTAATTCAAAGACCCCAGGTTAGCGGTGGAGTGCGTTCACCGAACTTCCTTTCTGCAGCGGAGGTGCTGGCCGCCATTTAACTCCCTACTGTCGGGCCCTCTGTGCAAAATACGACTTAGCAGATTAGCAGCACTTTGTAAAATTGGCAGCTGTACCATACTAGCCAAATGTCGCGTCTGCAATGGGAACATCAGACTTCAAGACATTATATATCATCAGATGTCGGGGAAACATCAGACATGAGAATCGGCTATTATACAACCAATGTGGCATTGACTTTCTTTTGGTGCAACAATGGGGATGTTGTGTTAACCAACTGCCAGAACAAGAGTGCGTTACATTGCGAAATAACGAGAAAAAGGTAGAGTATTCCTTTCCCTGTAGCACAGAATGCGAGGGTATTGGGCTGATGCTGGCCTAGAACAGGTCCCTTATTGCATGCTCCAGAGGATAAAACAGTTGGGTGGCACGTTGCAGGTTCCACGTAACTCAGCCTGGCAGCTCGGTGGCCACCTCTCTGTGTCCCGGAGAGGCCGTGCCCAAGCACGTCGGCATCCTGGAGATACGCTTCGACGGCAAGAAACGGCACAAGATGACGAAGGTATCGCGACCCTATCTTTTTTTCGTTGTAGGAGTAGGGGCATCAGATATCTGGGTTACATTTGTCTTGCTCTGAACAATGGTCAGCATTGTAGGTTGAACTCACAACCAGCTCAAAATAAAAATATAGTCAATCCCTCAAAGTCACGGCTAGAAATTAACTGACAACTCGCCCTCAAGGTTGCCCCAACACCTTCAATGTCTCACTCATCATCTCTCTGAGCTCGTGATCTCGCCAAACTCACGGACTCGCATCTTTCACTGAACCCAAACTTGCGCCCTTCACTGAACTGACCGAGCTCATGCCCCTCACCAGACTGATAAATTCGCTTATTTCATCCCCTTCACCAAACATGATCTCATTCACCCTCGCCTCACTTCTGGCGGTGAGTTTTGCCGAGGTATACCTAACTCATAAATGCATGTTGCATCACTAATCATGAAATGTGGCTAAGGATACATTGCAACACATAATGCAATTAATCCTTCTGTTATTTGAACTTAGTGATTTCAGTTCCAGTTGGCGGGAGCTGGGATCTCCGGATGTCATCAGAAACCAGGGAGCGCAACTATGGCGGCAGTCTGGCTTTCCCACCAGCTCATTGAGCGCACGTGGACTGTGTTCTGAATTTTTGGGCCTGCGCAACTGCTGCCGTGGTTGCACTTCTCGGTTTGTGCGAGTCCATCCCGCGATCGTGGCTCCAAGCAACCGGTCCCGAAACCCCTACGTACAAGTGACTTATACCCACAGTGTCTTGGATGCATCCAACATTGCATTATGCATTAAAAAAAATTGCAACCCATAATTATGATGTCTCTACTCTAAGATTGGCTCAATGCTTTCATTGCCTTTGTTTGGTATGCAAATGGTGAAAGCATTCAATATAACATGAGTGCAGGCAAGTTGGAATGGGTGCTGCACAAGTAGTGGACAACCTTTAAAGAATGTACCAGTAGCGGTCTCCTTCGCTGAAAGGAAATTGAACAACATTTGCCGCTTTCCCAGATGCAACACAGAATGTATTGTATTGCTTCGCTGTATTGTTGCACGGGGGAACCAGCTACGCACCTAATGCCTCGATGACTTGCGCACTGTGTCCGAGAGAAAGTGCTGCAGTTCCGCGTGCACCCCCTCCCCCAACTTATTTCGCACCTCCCGCTTTCCTCTGAAGCAGGCATCTGTGCTTTTCCCCGTCTCCTACATGCTCTCTTGTTGTATGTGCACGCGCGATTGCTGTCTCGCTACGACATTTCAAACTCGCTTTTCTCACGCATGCGCTGTTGGATTCACAATTGAAGATGCCCCGGTTTGAACCCGGGCACTCGTATGCTTTCTCTGGTTCTTTCTTATACTGGTAAATTTTGGCGCTAGGCTTCGCGTCACAGGAAGTGCGTTACGGGCAACTACCAGTAGCCAGCAGTATTACAGATTCTCCGTTACAAACCCAGATGAACCTTTAGGTGGAAGCCGTTTTTCTAAACGTCCTTTGTCTCCGACCACAGGTTCCCCTGCTGACGGTGCGGCCGTTCTACATCAAGGACATTTCGCTCTACGACCTCACGGACAAGTCCTCTCGGAGGGTGATCACAGACCTGCTAAAGGCCGAGCTTGACTTCTGCGCGGAGCAGGTGGAGGAGTTTCTTGAGAAGTGCGCCTACGAGCGCTCGGGTGCGTTGTGGTCATCTCTTCTCGCAAACGCATCACTCTCTCGGGAAACATGCTTGTCCGTATAGCGCACTTTACGAAATCTGGAGCATCTTTTTTCTTGCAAAGCACTGGCGAAAGCCAATCGTTTAGACCTAAAAGTCTGCACTGTGGCAACAACGTGACACTTCACCGTGCTCAGTGCATACCGTGATTCATACATGGGTAAATTACTTTCAAAATGTAATTTAATTACAATTACAATTACTTAGCTTCCAAAGTAGTTTAACTACAATTACAATTACTACTACGCAAAAGTAGTTCATTCCAATTACAAATTACTTTTTAGAAGTAATGCAATTACTTTACAATTACTTATTTCTGAGATTTACCCGCCTTGGGCCATATAACTGTAAACGAGTTATATGGCCGCTGTATAAATGTATGCATTCTACTTTCCTTTTATGAAATTTGTTAAATGGATTATAGAACTTAATAGTTTGGAGTAATGAACTCCTGCGTTCTTATATTCTCAAAAAATAGAAAAATAAATGGCGACAAAATCCACAGGTGCGAGTTGAATCTCAGAGCTTATGCAAATGGTATCCAAGTCAAAGCAACAAAAAATAAACTTAAAATAATACAAGGAAACAAATATGCGACAGTACTGGTATCATAAAACTCACGTAAAAATGGCTAATAAGAGATACTTGTAAATGACGTCAAACATTTAAATATACGACAACTTACGAAAACATTTCAGCCACGATGATTCGCTGCCTCTCCCTATCTGTGGACTTGTAACATGCCGGATGTGGGTAACCGTAGCACGCGAACTGTGGTCCCTTCCACAAAACTAGTGTTGCAATAGCAGCAACTCTATTGCCAGGGATTCTGGGTTAATTCAGTGCACGGTAACACCCAAAAAGCTCCTGAGGTAGATAATAAATTTAGGATCGTCATGTAGTCAATCATTAGGATAGCAATGATTGTATCGGCGTCTCATAAAAAAAGACCGATTTGAATTTAGCATGGCAAGAACAACCTCGAAAAATTATGACACACTGTAAACGACTTTATTTTCGCGAATTTCGCGAATCGCCTACAATTCGCGAAAAATAAGTCCCCCGAGCAATTCCGGTTTTTTGTAAACACATTGGAATCTATATTGCGACCCCACCGCGTCGCGAAAATTAGAATCCACGAATTATTCCAAAACTGCGGCCTCTTAGACGCCTCGATTTCATGAGTTACTTGAGCGTGTTTCAGCTGGAAGATATAGACGAGCCATTATTTTTTTTTTTTTATAACTAAGTATTATTGAAAGTGACAAAAAAGTTGCCTACCTACAAATGTTTCCTTCTGCAAATTGGAGGTCGCCTTTCAGTTTGTTGAATTTGCTTTCAGAGACGGTGCGGAGAGTTTGCCCCTCACGATTATATTTTTTACATTGCTGCTAATATGTTTAAAGAATTTTTGTAACAATGCCCCGGCAGCCTTTCCTTTTCCATTGTAGATAAGACTGTCGCAGGTTCTTAATGCAAAGCAGCAGTGCGCGCCTCGGGACGGTTCCACAGGCCAGGACGAGAGGACAACGCGTGGAGGGTCACGATAGAGGTGTAAAAGCAAAGTGCCAAGCCAAGCCCTCTATATATAAAAAAGAAGCCTTCAACGAACAACAAATGTAAAAACAAGCACCCTACAGTCTAAGGCCGCGGTTTGTAAGTTTTGGAATCCCATCCAATCAGGCTGACAGACGGTTGAAAGGGTTAGGTAGAGCGAACACTAAATAATGAAGATTTATACAAAAAGGTAGACGAGGATTGGGAGAAGCAAGAGCAGTGTAGCAACAACAGTTGGAAGTAAGGCCTGCAGGGTGAGTCGTGTTAATGAGACCTGCTGCTTCTTTGCTTCTTCGCCTCGATGTTAAAAAGTAGCACGACTTACTGTTAGTGGTACCAACATACGAGATAGAGGAGAAGGGCGTGAAAAACTCTTAAAGAAAAGAGAATAATTTCATGAACAAAAAAGACCCCACCCTTGACTGAAATATGTAAGCGAATATGCTAGCGGCGAAGACGCGTAAGGAGAACCTCGAACCTCCCCGCCTCGACGCGATGATGTGATCGGAGCCAACCAGCTCGACTTCGACCCTCGTGTGGGAATGAGAAATAAGAAAGACCCCTAGAAACAGGAGAAACAGGAAGCGAACGAGACGAAGAGTCAGATTCAACTACGACAGGAACGAAAACGGACGCAAATGTAGCCCTCATTTATCAAATTATTTCTCAAATTCTTCACTAAATCGTTTTACAGCCTACAAAATCCTTCATTTCGTTCTATCCCAGCCTCTTTTTCCCATCCCTCTTTTCCCTTTTTTGAGCAGGTTGGGAGACACTCTCTCCCCTGTCGCTTTGGCTGTGCTGTCGTTCCGTGGCCAGGGGGGAAAAACGCCGCCTCCGCAAAATCTTGCAAAAGTAATTGTAATTGTGCCTGAAATTTAGCAATTACTGACGCTAGAAAGTAATTAAATTACAATTACAATTCCTTTTAGCCAAAAGTAATTATTGCAATTACAAATTACCAGGAAAAGTAATTAAATTACAGTAATTCAATTACTGTAATTGAATTACTACCCAAGTATGCCGTGATTTCTTCCCACAGGTGTTATACCATACAGTGGACTCCCATCAAACCAAACTAGAGGAGGCCACAAATTTTGTATGAATTATGAGAGGTTTGTCTACATATGACGAAAGATAGAATTGTGATGTCGCGTGTTATATGGATGGCTACATTACAAAGCAGGTAACTGACGATTTCCTCCATACAGGTTCACTTATCGTAAGAAGGTATGCCGCACATGAAACTTTGGCACAATGTGCAAATTTATTCCACCCCTCCAAAACGTTGTCCATTGTGGACCGTTTCGACAGCATACGACACCCCCAAACAAATTTAAGTTTGTTGATCCAGCAAAAAAGTTATGTGGATCCTTAGCCCCATCGAGCGCGCTTCTTACCGAGCACCGGTGCACTGCGGAGAAGCAACGCTCACGGAAGCGAGCTCTGCAGTGCACCGGTGCTCGGTAAGAGGCACGCTCAACAGGGTCGTGAGAACAAAAAGTATGAATTGCACGAAAACACCCCTAGAATTCAGCGGCTTATAAATACTTCAAAAGCATAGCAGAACAATCAAAATATCTTTGAATTAACCAGTACTAAATAATAGTTTGAATTATAGCGTGCCTGCTGTGTGCCTCATTGAAAAAAACTGGCCATTATCATTACTGTTTCTAAGCAATAGATTCCCTCAGAGGGTGCAGCGTTTATTCAATGTACTTTTATGTAATCCTTTGAAGGATTAATCTATAAACTTGAAACTTTGCGTCCTCTTGCATAGCATTTTAGAGCTACGAATGTGACCTGCAAATTTCGTAGAAATGAGACTAATTGTTAACATGCTTGCTTCCCTCATAGACGATCCGCGGCAACCTGCAGAACCGCTGATCCGCCTCCGCGTAGAACACGGCGACGACCACGAGACGTTCAGCAGCAACCTCCTGGCGCGCATGTTCCAGGACCGTGTCGCCAACCCGCGCGACATCGTGCTCTTCACCAAGCGACGCACAGAACACACTGCCGCCGGCGTCGACGTAAACCACTTCCGCGAGATCGCGCACGAGGACGCGCTGGCGACGTCGCGTGTCGAAGACCTCGTCCGCGAGTACTTCGAGACAGTCGAAGAGTCGCGGCGGATGATTGTTCTCACCGACATCGGCATGCAGCAGGCGGTGAACCTGTTCGTCGAGAAGGACTGCACCGATGCCATTGTGGAGGCGGTGAAGATACAGGAGGTGCGCGCCACGGACCGCCTCGCAGCACTGGGCGACGAGCTGACGGAGGATAAGTTGGAGGAGGCACTGTTCAGGCTCAAGGACCAATTTGCGGGACGCGCCGAGGCGGAGGCGGCGGAGATCCGGCGCAGGATCGAGGCAGGGGTGGCGAGCCAACGGGGGCGTGCGTCGAGCGCCGCGGGCAACAGCAGCGAGGACGAGATCGACGAGGACATGGACTCCTCGCGGGAGCGGACAACGGCGCGGAAGACGACGCGCGGACGAGGGGGTGCGGCAGGGAGGAGGGGAAGGGGCGCAAGGGGAGCGGTGTCTTCAACGCGTGCCCGCGGAAGGCAGAAGGGTCTCAATCTTTGAGGGAGGATTTACAGATCTGGATCCACCTTGCATCTTGGCGGGCACCACGTGGCGCACGTCTTGCCCTTGTTATGGCATCTTGGCCAGTAAGTGCGAGCAAAGCGCGATTAGTTTTGTCGCTACGTCGATGGTTAGACATTGTTGAACGCAGTCTTGCCAAGCTAGAGTCCCGTGTTACTTTCGAGACTGCACATTTTGTTACAGCTTGTATATAATTTTATGCCTAATAAAAATTTCCATTCCACCCAGGTGACCAGCCAGTTTTTTATCTCGGCAAATATGCGCAGACCACGGTCCCTAGGTGCTTCCGGTCCGAAAGCTTTGTAGACTTCCAGTTTATACTCTGGGACAGCTTTCTGTGGCACTTCAGGATTGAAGACGGTGCACGCATAGCTTTGATCGGCATCAAGCTATGGGCATATCGGTGCCCAAGTCTTTGAGCTGCAAGGCTCTTGGTTCATAAGGTCGTCCTTAAGTATTTGTATAGTAACTTTTTTGTGGACCAGATGTCGCCAATCTTCAAATGAAGGTCGGCGACATCTGGTACAAAACTTGTCAACGTTTGTAGAAATCGTGTACGAGCATTAGTGTTTTGCGAGTCGACGGAAAGCATTCGGTTTCTGCCGAGGCTATACTGCAAAATGGTTAAAGACTATTTAGTATTCGCTATGCTACTTAAACTTTTTGTCTAAATAGTGCAAAAAAGTTACAATCCTAATCACGATGACGAAATATAGTAAGGTCAAGTTGCTTTGGTGGCTGCAGACAAACGCAAGAGGCTGGTGTTGCCACATCAAGACTCTGGGAAAAATTGCTGTCTGAGGGGGCCTTGGCGCACCTGTTGGATCGGTTTGTCCCTGTGAAAAGTTCATTGGGAATACTTTCCAAAATAAACGGACAGAGCGTACGGGGCTAATTGTCACTGCAAGACATAACTAAAATTTGTCAATGAACCTATCCGCATATTTGCGCCGCTAGCCTGGCTGCCGGAGTAGTAACATTAGGGCATCACAGCGTTATCCATGCTCTCAAAATTCTTTTAAAATCTAGTGGTTTCAGATGAGACGTGGCAACTTTCCACTAATTAAAAAATCGGACATCGCGACAGCCCCTTGGCCATAAAACTCTGGTGTAGTAGGAATTACTGTAGCTTTCACAGCATTCCTTAAAAATATCCAAGCTTAAAAAATATATATATATATATATATATATAAAAAACAGCTGTAGTTTGCATTACTGTATCTTTCACGGCCCTTTTAAAAAATGTCTGTAAAGCTTAAAAAAAAACACCCTGTATATAAGCACACAGCAGTAGTCACATTTGCGTTAGTGTTGCTAACAAACATTTGCAAATCTATAAAAAAAAAAAAAAAAAAGCCTAGGGAGACAATATACAATGTATTTGGAGACCAACCTCGATCCATTGGGGTTTCAGGTCCATCATATACACCCTATGTAGCAATGCCGAAATGGAGAAACAAGTTGTAGTAAGACATCCTGAAAGAGGACACTAGCAGCTGTCTCAAGACAAGGATTTATCCTTGGAGGTACCAAGTCGTTAACAACAATCCCAAACTATGGAAAGAAATGACATCACACGCAATATTAAAAAAGAGAAAAAAAACAAAAACGAGGCTATTTTGTTTTTTGAAGGAAATATTGAGCCAAGGTTCTTGAGACCCACCTTTGAAAATCTCTCTACTAAAGAAAACTGTTCAGCGGTTTTCTGCGGTGTGCGAATGAACCTAGAAAATGGTAAAACTTCACCAGAAGCAAGTGGTGGCGACAGAATGCAAAAATTTGAGCCCTATATACGTAGGCGGAATCGCAAGTTGCGGGCGATCTTGGAAATATTTGGACAAAAAAAGTGCTCTCAGTCAGCCACGTCACAGCGCAGATCTGTGGCGTTTCATCTAGACGCCAACGAAGAACGTGCGAAAGTACCATACGTCGGCACTGCAGTAACCGCATTATTGTCGGGGTACCGGTTTCACATCGACATCGTAAAAACGAAAGCACACACGATGCTTGCGTAAAAAAAGTACATTTATGGTCAACATAAATTACAAAAATAAAAAATAAAGTGGTGGTGCAGGGGAACACATTGGTGGAGATAAGAGGCCACATCTTGGGAGTCCCTAGCGCCCGCGGCGACACTCTCCATTGCGAGCATCCCGAATTAAATCTGTCGTCTCCAAACGGCCCGCCCCCAAAATGTGAAAAGTTTACACCGACAAAGATCTTCACACTTCAACCGAAACACGACGGCGGCGAAAGAAAAAAGTCGGGGGGGGAAAATGACAGAATACTAAAGAGCGTATCTCTCGGGGAAGTGATTGAGTGGTAAGGGGGCAGTGAACTTGCACCTCTCTTCTTCTTCAAACAACATGGCAGTGATCTACTAGTTCACTTTTTGTCTTTTTCCCACCCACCGTTTCCCGCTGCAAACGTGACTCAATTGTACTACGGCGTGTCCCCCCAAAAAAGTTGGGCGTTTTTCGTTTTTTTTTTACCTTAAAAATTAACTATGTATCGCCAAACGCTCGGTTTTTGCCCGAATGTAGTGCTCACCGCCATCTTATTGAAAAGTTATACAAATGATTTCCTGCAATTTTCGCCGGGAAAATGGGCCCCCCCATTCTCGGTAGTCAGTGTCATTCAGCACCATGTATCGGTGGGCCCGGTCGGCCACCATTTGAACGAGATGACTGCTTGTTCTGAAACTGGCCTCTGGTTTGGACCCCTGGCACTACACTGGGGCATTCGACAATGCATAGTTCATTTTTTCGATAAAAAAAAAAACATTTTTTTCTTACAGGGACATTCTGTGTGTGGCACGGGACACTCGTTTCTTCAATGCCTCGACTGCATAAGGGGCGAGGCGCTTGCGATTGTGCTCGGTTGCACTGATCATAAGCCCACAAGCTGGGGACACCATAACAAAACACAATATTTTTCAAAAATGAATGAAAAAAAAAAAAAAAAAGGAAGGAAAAGAAGTTTGGAAATTGCGTTTTTGAAATTGTGGGTCCCAAGAAAGGGAGGCCCGCAAGCTCAAATGCGCTTCCCACATCCGGGATGTAGTGTGGCATTGAACGTCATTTGTACAGTGAAACCAGGCATGTAAAAAAAGAAGTGTAATTAAAAGGAAAGAACACAAACATAAGTGCATTTACACAAAAAGCTGCAATAGCACTTAAGCAGATAAAAAGAATAAAAGGCAACCAAAAAGAAAAAGTTGAGTTTGCCTCCCCCTTTTTGACTCCCGCAGTTCAAATCCGAAGGATTAACAGCGACGGTTCTGCACCGTCCAACATAATTGGCGACGTGATCGACATAATGGGTGATGTGATGAAAGGGCTATGTGCAGAACCGGTACAAGCTGATCTTTTACAGGGTCTTATGATGTCGCCATTGAGAAAGCCGACTTGTTTTCGCCGGTAACAGATCCGAAACGCCCGTCCCCGCAGTCAAACCGAAATATTAGCATCTTCTTCCAGCCTGTTGCAGCACTAATCCACGTAGTATCCCTCTTCCCCTAATCGCAGAAACGAAGATTATCCCCGGAGCATTATATAGCTCACCCTCTGGCAAGAAGGGCACTGGTGACATTCGGTTTGGAACCGGCCAAACCACTATTCCCCACACAAACAATGAAAGCACGCACCTTGCATTCAAAGTAATCAAAGTTTTTCTAACCTTCGAAGCCCCTAAAATTCCAAAGTCGACGGACGAGAACCTTGAAGAATGTTCACTGAGTAGACGAGCAACTAGCCGAGGCCACATGCTTCCTTTGAGCTCAACAGTCCCGAAAACGACATGGCAAAGACTCTCGGCGAAATTCAAGACTGGGTCACGGCGTTTTCCGAATCCGTCGCGTCTGCAAACGCCTCGGTACCCCCGACGCAGGCATGGAAAAGCACGGTCGACACTTTTGTCCCGTTCCGTACGTTCCGAAGATGGCACAAAACAAACCGGCAGCAGTGTACGGTAACTGCGACGCAATGGCCTGCAACCTACCGCGGCACACACAATGTTGCAGCAACATATAAATGTTGCGGACATAGACAAATGAACTCACAGGAGCCACTGATTTCTCCAGAACTTTTCCCAGCAGGCCGAAACGATACTGTTCATACGCCTCTCGGCAGACTTGCGAAAATCCACGATGCGTCTCTTTGCTTCCGTCCACCACTTTGCCGAGGACCTTTCCACCACTCCGTTGCGGAGCGTCGTGCCGGATCCGTCGTAAGACCCACCTATGACAAAGGTACTGGATTCCAATGCACGAGCAGATGGCCCAAATTCCACATTTCGACCAGACGAACTGGATCTCAGTTTCCGAGCAGACAGATTGGATGCCAGTTCATGAGCAAATGGATCGGATTCCAGTTTGCGAGCAGGCGAACTGGGTTCCAGTATGCAAGCAGACGGACTAGATCCCCGTATGCGAGCAGACGGACTAGATTCCAGTATGCAAGCAGACGGACTAGATTCCAGTATGCAAGCAGACGGACTGGACTCCAGTATGGGAGCAGACAATGAAAACCGCCGACGTGCCACATGCTGTCGCAGTGCAGTCTGCCACCGCACAAACGGGCCAGAAGCATCCGGCGGTCCACGAGTCCGACTGGCCGGATCGTTCCGACCGCGCTTCCGCGGGGGACGGATCTGCTATGTGGGGAGCAGCGAGCGGCGCGGAATGTGTAGCTTGCGGTCCTTGACGTCGCAGAACATCTGGAGGCGCCGGACGGTGGTGTAGACCACGGACGTGCTGACCAGTCCGAAGTCGAGGAGGTTGCACATGTGGAGGACGAAGTTGCGGTACAGGTTGCGCTGCATCAGCACCTCGCCCTGCTGCTCCACAAAGAGGTTGCAGGCCAGGGCTATCTGGCAGTCCCCCACAAACCTGCACAACGAGACAGTGATCACCGGAAGCACAAAAAGAGTCCAGTAGGAGGGCCATAAGGGTTACTCGCAAAAGGATCGGTCATAAATAGGGTTCCATGTATTTGGCATACCGTATTTACTCGCATATTGAACACACTTATCTCCCCGAAAAATTGAAAAACAGTCGCCAACCTTTTTTTCAAACGTTGATTTTTCGGACACGTCCGGTTATTCGGATGTTTTCGCTGAACCGTCACTTACCCCGTAGAGTTAATGTATAATGTATAATACTGATTGAAATTCCGGATGCCATAAAGCTGATTGTTCGATATTTCGGACATAATTGTGTGATTTCCTCAGTTTACAGCCACAAAACAGCCGCCAAGACAGCACCGCGAGCATATTCGATGCCATTATGGTTGTTTTGATTTTGCCCTGTAGCCTCGATACCACATCCTACGCAATAAGCCAGCTGGGTTGAGGCTACAGTCTCTCATTCTTATAGTTATATGATCATTCTTATGGTTCTTCCAGTTCTTCTCATGGTCCGTGCTTTTCGAGTGCTGCCGTGGGAAGAGCAAACGTCTGCCGTCCTTGTGGTCTTTGAACGCGAAGGTTTTTTGCCAATAGGCTTAGTATTGAAGTGAACATTGTGGACTAAACGTTGTCTCCAAATAGTGCCAAATGTCACCAACGTCAACTTCGCTGTTTGTGCCAACGAAGGTGCCGACAAGGCGCAGCACCATGATCAAACAGATCAACAAACAAGTGAAAAGTGAACAATATAAAGCGGAAGTTGGACGAGAACTTAAACTTGACATGAAGTGGAAAGTGGCCAATATGAAGCGGAATATGCGCGAAAGTTTGATATTTTGGTTGAAATCGGTTTTTCGGCTGTGTGGCGAGGCACACGTCGAAGGAAACGGGACGTAGAGGCAAGGTTCTACAACCACCGGGGAACCTGTACGCGACCCAAACACTCGTAAAAGACTGCCTGGTATAGGCACAGCGCCCAGAATGTGCCCCCACCGATGGTAAACACCCAAAATTGTGCAGCCGTATTCATGAACACCGTCACACGACTACAGTTGCGTTGTTATGACGACGGTCGAGGTACGTCCAAAGGGAGGAAATGCTCATGCATAGGTAGTTTCCATGTTTCATGCTTCACCGCTAGTTATTTTTTCTTCATTTTGAAGTAAAAAGCAAAACATTAGCTGTTAACAAATGTTCATATGTACCCTTTGTTAAAGATTTAACAATTTTTTGACAGTGGACTGTTAATGACCCTAGAGTTTTTAATTATTCGCGCTGCTCGGAACTTTGGCATGTGTCGCGCTCCTACGTGTGCACTTGCTTCAACATACCCGTGTTTCATGATGTGAAGGTTCCACATCTTCATCAGTTCCTTCTCTCCCTCGTTCACGTCTGTAAACTCGTCGATCATCTGCAACAATGGAAACGCAAGAAGCCAAGCGTTAAGTATGTTAGAACGTTAAGAACAAAAACAATAAACTAAATGAGTGACTCATGGAAGCTAATTACTGAGCAGATTACAGTGATTTGCTCTCTGTATGCTCCTAATGGAAAGCAGAATAAAGGTGTGCATGGGCCTTGGATGAAAAAGGGGGGGCAACCTAAGTACAACCCTTAGATCTGAGTTGTCTGTGCCATCTATGCTCCAATTCCAAGATGAGTTTGCTTTGGCTAATCACAGCCAATGTAGATGCAAACGACCTGCAAGTACCGCCACAATAAAAAGAAGACGACACAGCAACGGACAAACAAAAAGACGCACCAGCTGCGTCTTGATGCGCAGCCAATCGGGATCGTCTTCAGACTCGCTGTCCCTGTCAATCTCCTGCGGCCTGATCGGAAGACACGTCTCCGTGTGGTAGTACAGCCTGTTGATTCAAACGAGAAAAGAAACGGCGACATTATTTTAACTGACACATTCTCTACTCCTGCCCTGTGAGCATGGCACGAAACGTCTTCGGCAACTCCGCGTTCCATGCGGTCGGTGAAATGGCTAAACACATAACGCTCCACCCTCCACCCACCCCCGTCCCCTCAAAATATATTTGTAGTGCACCACAGAGGGTGTTCACTAAGTGAAAGTCAAGTAGAACTAAACCAAAACACAAGGAAAACAAACTATAATCACGAGAATACTGATGGGGATAAGATATAAAAAGGCTCGAGGTACACCTAAGCACTTATGAGTTGTGAATGCGAAAGCATGCAAGCCGCTTGTCCGCTCCCTTATTTTGTCTGCTGCATACTTTTCGTCACCAATCAGCGCGCGCGCGCGCTCTCCTGGGCGCGCTGACCTTGGACGCTCCATGTGAACGGCACGCTGACGGACACGCAGCACCATGGGGTGAGCGGTCGTTGAAACTGACGCGCAGCGGCCGATGGGAGCCTCGTCGACGCGCGCCAGCCAATGGGGTCAAAGCTGAAAATCCATCAGCTTTACTCCGCTCCTTTGGGATCGGGGAAACTAGGTGCCGTTTGGCTAGGCTTTAGGAAGGACATGTCTTTACATATTGTTGATCTAGGAAGTGCCCATCCCCAGTTTCACATGATTATCTCCAAATTTTGAGTGGGTGCTTGCTCGGGATTTTACGATAAAACAGGAATAACAGGGACGCAACACAAGTATTTCCAAAATTGCTTAGTTATCAACTTGACAAAACCCAACCATGTCAGTTCAAAATGCAACTGTTCAAAGTCCCCCACAAATGCTTCTGGGATCACTCAATGATTGATGCAAAACTGACTCATGTGCAAGAACCAATCATAAAATCAACGGCTCAATGATCAACAAAAAAAAAAAAAAATACTGAGAAAATGATTGGCACACAAGAACCATTATAGGAGCCAATTACAATTAGCAACTACATTATAAACTAGATTGGTACATGAGAAGCAATCAGAGTTGATTGTTCAATTATTAACAAAAATGATCCTAACAATGATTGGTCCACAGGGTCCAATCGGAGCCGATCACATTGAGTGACTAAATGACATGTTCAATGATTGGTGCACAAGATCCAAATATAGGGTTGGCTGTTCAATCAGCAATAAAAAAAATGACGACTGACAATAACTGGCACACGAGGTCCAATCCCAGAGCCGACGAAGATGTGCGACTCGACGGGAGGAAGCAGACGCACCTGTTGTGGCCCGAGATGTACGGCCGTGGCAGGTCGATGTCGACCTCGTCCTGCTCCATGAACTCCGACAGGCTCAGGGGTGCCCTCTTGGGACTGCGAGAAAACAGCAAGGGCACGAGGAAAAAGTCACTCCCCTCTTTCTATTTGTTCCCTTCTCCTTCAGTGATACTGTTGACCTCCTTCAAAACCCTAACGGGAACAGCACGTCCAAAACAATATAGTGCAGAGTGATGATGTGGAGCACTGGCGCCGGCGTCGAAGAGGAAGGCTCTGCTCCTCACCAAGGCAATGTTTCGAAGGAATCCCCACCCGATACTCTATCTCACTAGTTGCGTGAAGCTACACCAAAGGTACAGGGGGGAGAATGCAATGCTAGCAGTTGGATCTGAGGGGAAGAAAAACGCCTCTTTTGTGGATCTCCCCTCCCCTCCTCCCCCTCTCTCTCTCCTCCCCTCCCCCCCCTCCTCCCCCTCTTCCCCACCCCCCAAGAGATCATCCTACCACTCAAAATTCGTACACATGCGACTGTCGTCTCTCTCCTGTCTGTGGCATCCGCCGCACTGTGCATACCCATACTCGTCGTCACCTCAAGAAAAAAAGAAGTTCCGTGCATTCGAAAGTGCAAGTCTTGACCAGATAACACGTAGCTAATCTAAAATGCACCTATGCATACCTTTATTCTCCAAGTAAACTGACAATTAATAATGCTCTGCGAGGAGCTGGACTTTTTTTTTTTTTTTTTACTACGGTTCTCGAGGTGAAAACGAGTACAGAGAGATGAAGCGTGGGCAAAAGCACGACCCGAGCGTGACGTCGTCAAGCGGAAATCGAGAGATCACAACTGAGGACGCGGGAAACGCACCGTTCCGAGACAGTAATAGCCCGTCCACACACTTGAGTCTGCTTATGACCAAGCTCTTGCAATCTCATACGACGGGAGAACACGGTAGCGCCATCTAGAGCGAGGGTTTTGCACGCATTCCACTATACTCCGTTCCACCTTCAGTCTGAGCGCAGCAGACGCCACGCGCTATCCCAGCCGATCCAGCGCATGGGAGAAAATCGCGTGACCTGCCGGTTGGGCAGAGCGCCACAGGGAGCTCAAGGTCACAAGACACTCCCTCAAAGCTGGATTGGCCGGGATGGCTCCTAGCGTCCGTTGCACTCAAATTGAAGGTCAAACGGAGCATAGAGCAAAGGTTTCGCGGTATTTGTGAGATCAAATAAATGTACCACAAATGATAAAGGGTCAGTCATTATGTTGTCAGAAATTTATCCAATCAATAAAAAAAAAAAAAAAAAAAAAAAGGTATTGCGAGTGTTTTACGGCCACCCAGTAGACGGCGCCGGTGTCTTCTCTCGTCGCGAGAGATCCCGAGAAGTTTTAAGGCACCCGGTCGTGAGCGGTTGCCAGTGCGCAAACAGGCCGCAGCCAGCGGAGAGGGTGCGGGAACCCACCGGCAGGCCATGACGTAGGTGACTGGCGTCCTGCGGGCAGGCCCCGTGCGGCCGAAGGCGTAGCCGGTCTGGGTGTGCAGCTGCTGGGGGTTGCCCGCGTACGACCCGTCGTAGCACTCGTTGATCGACACGTCGATGCGGGCTCCCTTGGGGTGCGGCTGCGAGGAGCGGACGACGGGAGATGGCAGGTTCCGTCGAACAGAGCCATTCGGAACAACAACTCTAAGGACTCTTCTCTTGACGCGCTGAACGCATTCCAATGGAAATAAATTTCCTAAATTCGACCTCTGTCCGTTCGCCCGCCAGTCGTCGACTGAACGATGAAAAACCGAGAAAGAGGAGACGAGAGTGTGCGGGGACGTCGGAGCACCGATATCCGATCGGAATGATTAGCGGGCGGAAGCAAAGCCCACCGCCTTTGTCTCTACTCGAGCCGTTCGAACCCATTTAAATGCCAAAGTCGAGCTTTCTAACACGAGACGGTGTGCGAGGAGCAGATAACGCTCTCGTTCGCTTGAATAAGGGAAACAATAAGCAGACAAAGGCGGCTAGCCTGTGCGTCTACCCACTAAACATTCCAGTCGGAGCTCGGCACTCCGACGTCCACGCACACTCTCGTCTCCTTCCCTCACTTCTTGGCTTCTCACTGTAACCTCCGTTTTGCCTTACGACGGAATGCGGCGTACGCTACGAACCGTCGGAGCCAACAAGGTGCCATGCGAGCGTCGCGTGCAATGACACGCGAGGCGCATGGTCATGCGATAGATTCGGCGACGGACTGGCTGGGTGGCTCGTAGGGTATGCTGCGGACTGTCTTGAAGTTTAACGGACATCGCTGACCAACAGCACGTGTCAATGCACCTTCGAAGTGCGATACCAATGCCATATATGTATGCGGCAATGTTTCCACATCATTAGCATGATGCTCTTTCGAACTACGCACAAGGCTCAAAAAGCGAAACGTAAATGCCCGTCATTTTTTTAAAATTCATTTATGCACCTTTCGTAAATAGAGTATCCAGATATAACTCTTAATATTGAATTTGAATCTACAATCAGATTTTAAAAAATCTTCTCTCAGACAAAAAATATATAATCCTAATTAGGTCATTTCTAATGGGTCATTAGGGCAACTTTTCACTAAAACATTTTCTTCTAACTACATACAGGGATTTCGCACATCCTAAAACTAATTTCAAAATTGTGATTTCTGAAAAGATGAGCAATTCTGGCAATTTTTTTGTTAGCTAAAGACCCTCGTTTCTCCTATCCTTTTGTCCCAAATGAGGCTGTTCCCTTTTACTTCCTCAGGGCTTGGCACACACCAGACCTAAAGGTACAGCTCAGGGTGCGAAGGTGGCAACCCAGTAAGCTGCAAACTGCTTTCCTGCAGCGATTGGCGGGTGTTGCCGCACTCCGGCCATGGTTAAAAATGGAAAGCCCTTCAACTCAAAACTGCACTTTTGTTGACAGCTGGGTCACACAACTGGGTCACAAGCAAAGCAGGAAGTTGTAGCAGTTTTTGGGGCTGTTGCCATCCAATCTAGCACTTTGGTGCCACATCGAAGCAGACGGCACGCCGGTGGAGGGCTCACCCCGTAGGCGAAAGAGAAGCGGCCGTGGCATAGCTTGAGGTGCTTGAGGAGGGCGGCGAGCAGGCGGCACTGGAGCAGGCACCAGGGGCAGCGCAGGTCTCCCCGGGCTTCCGTCTGCTGGCGCGTCTGCTGGTTGTACACAAACTGGTACACCACCCGCGTGCGCCCCTTCGTCTGCTGTGCTGCTGGCACCGCTGCCCCGCTGGCCGCAGCGCCGCTCGAAGCACCGTGCGACTCGGACGCCTTCAGCTCCCCTGCGAGGCACCGTCCAAACAAATTTAATCGTTCAGTCATTGTCATATCCTTCGACCGTTAGGGATCCTTCATGCGGTGGCACTCGATTACGTCTAACAATATTGTGAGCTGTGAAGCTGTACAAAAAGCCAAATCTGGAGGTTTTGACTTTTGAAGCCCCGTGAAGAACTAAGAATGAATTTACACCACCCAACGGTCTCTAGACATGCAACCAAAATCTTGGTTACATGCTGCCTTTTTCGCAATGAGCCTTCAACAGGGTGCAGGTGCTTTGGTGCAGGTGCTTTGGCCCAGATTCAAACCCGCCACCGGTTCGACTTTACAGGAAGGTGTGATTTTGGGCTACCACGGGAACCAAGCAACGCAATGTTGGTTGAAATCATTAACTCATAGTTTTGTCTTGACCCAGGTCCTCAAACCCCAGTCAAACACTTTGGTAGTGGGTTTCTATTCTTGTAACGAGAGCGTTGGCTATGTGGAGGCTGTGTATTTTCCGGCGTTTATTGACGAGAAAAATGGGTGGATGTTTTTCGGTGTTTATTTTTTATAAGCACCAGCGTATTTCGGTCCGATGGCTCGTGATGAGGCTAAAAACGATGGTTGCCGGCAAAAAAAGTAGCCAAGATGCAAGTCAAAAGTGGCCAAAAGTAGCCGTTTAATTAATTTTTGCGCCAAATTTGCAGCCACTGTATTTCTAAGAAAGAAATGTCATAAAAAGAGGAAAACAAATATGACTCTGTACAGCCTTAGCCAAAGTGAATACAGTAGAATCTTGATGATACAATCACGGTTCCTACGCTCTACCATGCCAACTATAACACCACTGACGACAACATCAACTACCATGTTTTCTGGAGTATAATCCGCACCTGGTGCATAGTCAGCAAGAAAAAATTTGGGGTCAAAAATAGAAGTTCTTTCTTAGATCCTTGTATAGTCAGCACCCGTAGATAGTTTGCGTCGGGTAAAATTTAAACTTTTAAAGACGTATAGTCCGCGGACTATAGTTCAGAAAATATGGTACAACTACAATGGATCTCATTTCCAGTGGTGGGAAGAAACCAAGACAGCTGTCACTGTAAAAGGACCGTTTAGAGGGTGGGGTGTGCTACTTATGAACTTAAGAATACGGTGAAAGAATCTAGTTTACGGGAAGTTCTCAAACTTTAAGTGTCAAGGGTCCCTCGTTGCAATAAAGGAACGCGGGGGCCCGTACGGGCCTCGCCAGCGGTAACGTGCACGAGGGAGCGTCGGGCTCACCGTTGCGTCTGCTGCGCACGTGCTTGAGGCCCTGCTCGGCGACGTTCATCTCGACGGGAGACAGGACGGGCCGGGGCAGCCGCGCCCCGCCGTCCTCCGACGGATCCTCCGTGCCACCCCACGTCAGGCGGAACACCACCCGGGGGCTCTTCTCAAAGCTCTCCAGCGGCACTCCGCCCTGCGATGCAGCCATGCAATGATGTTCATAGGCTTTGTGACAAGTTTAAGGTTTGTTTCCAACAGATACAACAATGTGGTCCCCCTAGAAAAAAAAAAAAAGTATGAAAACAGCTCAACGAGGCCAGAAAGCCATTACAAGGCAACGAGAACGTCATGAAAACACAGACACACAAGAAAACAAACGTCTCTCGCTCTACTGTACTGAAAGTTTAACAACATTTCGAATGATTGAACGAGTACTAAGCTTCAAAGAGTATGAGAAGCTAGCTCTGTTGTGCTAAAAGCTTATAAGGATTACCATAAAAATATTAAAACATTAAACATTTTAGATGGAAGCTTGGGTGAGCTGGTGGTTCACAATAGCAGCAACAGTGCAAAAAGACAAGGACAAAACAAAAGGGGGGAGACACATTCAAGGACAAACAAGAGCACTGACTCACAACTCACATGTTTCTTCTACTTCTTTGGAAGAAACAGCTTAATAAAACAGACCAAAAAAAAGTTTTAACATTTTGCTTTGAGGACGTTAAGGAAGTTTTAAAATTAACAGGACTTTAATCCAGATTTATATCCCAAAAGAAAAAAAGGTCACACATGACACAAACAGAATGATTGTGTTCTGTATTCCGGCACGGTCCTTGTCTTTTTGTGTGCTATTTTTTCGTCAGGAACATAGTCATGTAAACAAAAGGACTCCACAGACTGGGGCGAACAACTCGCACATGGCTGAGCTGCTAGTGAGCTTTGCTCCGAGTAATGGCATCCTTTATATGACAGTCTAAATGCCGCAACAGCAGCATTTTCTCCATTCTCGTCGAGCAACTTCCTTTACATGCGGGTGGTTCATAAACTTATTCAACACTTGCAACTTAACTGCCAGCGGCAAAAGAAACATAGAAAAAATAAGAAAAAAAGAAAAAGACCATGAAACAATTTTTTTTGTGGAATTCTGCCTAACTGGTGCTGAGGACAAACACTTTGCTTTCATAAAACATAAAACGGGCCAACAATTTTTACATATACACACGCCGTTTTCACTGAAAGTGCATTTACGAGGCTCACAATCTTTTTCCTTAGCCACCCGTCGTTTGCCCTGTTTGCCCCGACCGGAAGATCATAACAAAACAAACAAGAAAAAGATATCTCCCGGAGACAGGCAAAGTGCTCGACTGTACTCGCCCGACAAAATAATTGAATGCGAGAGTTGCAAAAGGACCAGCTTCTGTTTCCCGTGCATATCCTAGAAGGCTCGCAGACAGCGATAGACACTTCTGCAAAATCCCGCAAGGCCTCTCGGCAACCCCAGACTGGAGCACGAGGCACAGAGAATGTGGGGCCGTGCCGACGTATGCTTTGTGCATTCTGGAAGTGGCACGATCCCTTCTCTCTTGCAAATGCGAGTCCAGAACAGAAAGAAGACAAAAAGAACAAATAGCAAACCCGACACTTACGCCCTCCTACCTTCTTCGCATTCTAAAATTGAAAAACGCTGAACCAACGTAAACCCCTCTTTGCTCTTACCAACTAGCCCAAGTCCAAGCTTTATTAATTGCTCATACCCTTTAAAGGTTCACTAAAGAGGTTTTCAAAGAAGCTTGCTTTTGTGCTAATACTGTTCAGTATGTGTCAGTTAATAAATATACTTTGTTCTAGATAACAAACCTGCCTATTAAACATGTGGCAATAAAAATAGATGCGAACTATCTTTGCTTTGAAGGCAACTGCCTGGCCCTGCCTTCTTGGGAAAATTGGATCAATGAAAAAACTAAGTATTTACAGATTGCAAACATTAATTTTAGAGCACTTCGTTATATTTTGCCAGACATGTGAAATCTTTGTGATGTAGAAAATAACACTGCAACTATTGTTTCAAAAACAGCGAACTATGCTTTCGCCTCGCCTGCCTCCACGGAGTGCCGTGTCCCCTTGTCTCCAGTCGTCCCCTTTGAGGGAAGCGCACCGCCTTTCCCCACAGTTCACCAAAATCACCCGACTGACCCGATTACCTAGTTCTCCTTCATCTGCATTGTGCACGGATCCTATCTCCCTCAGTGCTCCTGAGTCCCAATGTGGTCTGCAGAGTCCAACCAGACTGACGACACCAACTCGAAGATTGCAAAAATCACTCCGCTGCGGGTCGGGACCGCTCAGCGTTCGGCTTGCGATTGGCCGACCAGAGCTCGTCGTCACCACGCCGACACTGCTGCTGGGATATGCGCCGCCTTTCCTGAGCGGAAAGCTCCACTCAGAAAGGGGTGAGTCCTGACCTTTCATCACGTTTTTACTAAGGAAATCAACATCGTGTGACAGTAATTTTTGAATTTTTAGGGCCTGTAGAATCGGTTATGACCCAGAACAGACGATCGCAGAATCCTTTTTAGTGCCCCTTTAATGCGTCATACACTGGACCAACGTAGTGCGTTGAAAAGACCTGGGGGAAGGGGGTTTCGGCATTACTTTGGAATGGTCTATGAATGGCATTCCCTGCTGGCAGACGACGGACGCACTCAAGCGGACGAAAGCAGACGTGGACTGACCTGCGGGTACGCCAGCGTCTCCCAGGACGTAGTGCGTGCCAGGGGCGCCGCCTTGGGCCCCCAGGGCCGCAGCGCCACCTGGTACTCCCCCTCCGTGAGCAGGCAGCGCTGCTGCTCGTACACCACCAGCTCCCCGACATAGTGACGGCTCTCCTCGGATGCCACGCCGCCGCCATTGACCGCCGCCGGCCGCATGCACCCGTTCCTGCGCTGCTTCTTTGCGAGGGGCTCTGCAGAAGAAAGGAAGGAACGATGGGGTTCCATTAACTCTTTTACCAAAGCTTCACGCTCGCATCTCCAATGGCGCGCGTTTAGTCCCCTTCTCTCCGCTTTACATTTATGTTTTCACTGCCCACTTGGATGGGCACCTTATTGCGTCGACCTGTAAAGGTTGTGATTGTTCTTGCATTGCGTGGTGAAGACTGTGGCGCTTGAACTGTATAGACTTCGTCCTTTTGTGTTTTGTGTTCGTGGAGATGACCTTGAGATTGAGACTATATAAGGAAGTGGACTAAATAAACAAGTTAGCTGAATTTGAGACGTCGTCCTGTCTATTTTCTGTCCCTTCTAGGTTTTGATGTTTCTTTTCTACCCCAGTCTCAGGTTAATCCAACATGGTAAATATTCACCAGCTCGCCTGCACTCTTACGATTTTTTCTATGACCAGCTCCCCGCCTTCTCCCTCTCGCATCTTTTCCGTGGAGAAGGCGTCGCCCCTTCTTGAGGTGCAAATATGGCGAACAGCTTCATCTGCTCCTCACGCAGTGGGTAAACTCCAAAGCTACAACACCGAGATCTTGTGCTCCAGAAATCTCGGAAAGCACCATTTCAAATTAGCCGTAAGAATGCAGGTAGCAGTACTGGCTCCAGCACGAGCTTGTAGTTTTTCGCCGTGCTTTGGCTACATGCTTGACGTGCTAACAAAGGCAGAAAGCTCGTGTTCGGGGAGAGCTGTCTTAATCTGTCACTTACTATAGTACCTACATTAGCCCTACTGAAAGGATTAATTTTAATTACGCGTAAGTTGTTGAAGCTAAACACCGATACACTTGGACGAGCATTACACTCTATCGAGGTGGGATGAAGGTTCTTTAAGACATTTTGCTTATACATTCTCGTATCCGCTGAAATTCAGCATGCAGACCTCCCTCCTATTTTATTCCAGATTTTAATTTTCCAATAAAATTTGAAACATTTACGGAAATTTACTGTAGCCTGGAAAGCGTCTAGCTCCGAACGTGTAAGCGACTACAGCCACTTAAATGCTCTTCATTGTTTACTTTACAGTCCTGGCAAGGGGTCGTCGTCGCAAGCAGACGATGGGTGGCACCACTGAACCCCCAAAACTGCCCGATGCATTGGCATTTGTAGCGCAAACAGCGTCAATGGCACCAATGCACAAGACCCGCGCCTCAAGCAGCGCTTGGAAGCAAATGGCGGTGCAGCACTCGCTGGGGGCACCTGTCTCGCGCATTCCCAGAACAGTGGTTATCGGTACACGTAAGAAATGCCGAACATAAATTTTGTCAAGGGGCTTTATGTACCCCTCGCCCAAGTCGCTGCCACAAGCGGGCAACAGATAGCGCCTGCCCCCTCCCCCCCCCCCCCCCCCCCCCCATTCCCCCCTGAGTTGCTGTCACGAGTAGACCCACCCCCCAACCCGCTGACGAGACTGACCGGAGGAAAATTGGCAACTCCCTCACCAAGGGAGAGGTGACGGGGGGGGGATGCAAGTTTTTAGCTTCTTTGCCCGATCCTCCAAAGGACATTCTGGTGATCTTTTACACGGCCTGGTCACAGTTTACAGAAACACATTGGTTTACGCGGGGCGGAGTCATGTTTTAAAGTTTATGGGCTAGGTGGCGCAACCTACTGCCTGTTATGAAGGCTAGAGCAGTTAATATGCATCCATCCATCCAAACTCCGTAAGTCGTCTTCGCAAGCAAGCGACGGACGGGGCCACTCACCGCCCGAGTCGCTGTCGTTGACCTGGGTGCCCTCGGTGATGCGCAGCAGCAGCACGTAGGACCTGACCAGGCCCGTGCCGTTGGGGCAGAAGCTGTTGCTCGGGACCGTGATGACCGTCTGCCGCTTGCCGTGGCAGCTGCCCCGATACACAGCCTCCGGATTGTGGGGCACCTCGCAGCAGCCCACTGGCACGTGACAGACAAAGGGGGCTGTCGCGTGACACGCCGACGACAGCGCCGTGTCAAACCCGGGGGAGGGAGCATCCGAGAGATCACGTAATAAATCTAGAGGTTCGCCATCTTCCCGTGCATTCAGCTGCCTCGGAAGGGCAAGGTGCGGGGGCTGCCGTCGGTGGCCCAAGATCGACGATGGCTGTCTAATCAATGTGAGGAAATGGGTAACGATTTTGGGGGATTCTTTTTTTCGCACAGATTCAAGGTTTTCTGGTATTAATTTTTAGCGTCGGGTGAGGAATCGTGGTTTATCGAAGCACATTTCGAAGAAAATCCCCAACCTCTGGGGGACATGTGCACGACCCGAATACTCGTAAAACGTCCCCGCACTAAAAAGCAAATAAGTGGTGGCTCTGAAACAACAAGAAGTCTCGCGGACAGTCTGTTGGGGGCTGCGTTCCAGGTTGACGCAAAATAAATGTGTAGGGGTCTATCGGTTTTCCCCACGATTTTGATAAATCCACACCATTTTCTTTTTTGTCAAAATAAACACCAAACTAATCGGGAATTCCCCTAGACTCACACTTTTAGTATGTCTGTTTGTGACCCTATCTGTTTAAGCCTTTGACAAGATGAAACTAACTATACGGTGAGCAGAGACGCTGTGAAATACATATTTGTACCATTTTCGTTTCTTTCTACTTCTCTAAATCTTAGGATCAACCAATAAAAAGTTGGTATTTTTTGCTTTGTTTAAGCCCACCTTGGTGCAGGTGTGACGCAATTCTTATCAAGAATGGCGCTTTGTCACAAATGGAACAGCACTTTCATCATTAACGAGAAATGCTGTCAATGCGACGACATGTTATCTCGATCTGTAGATGGCTCATTCGGAGAGGGTCTGAAATTCCGACACGCTTGCGGGTTGCCAGACTCCCAGCAGTGCAGGCTAGATTGGCGCCTCCCAGCGCCCTTGTCGACGCCAGTGCTGCACGTAGTCGTGCACCGAGCTCTCCCATAGCGTTACGGAGAAGTTTTGTGACCAGTATCGCATCAAGAAGCTAACTACAATAAACTTTTTTTTTGTCTGACATTAGAGTTGTAAGAAAGAGACACCAAATCTGTGGGAAAAAATAAACCCTGAAAGCACGAAAATCATAATCCCACCTTTTTCAGCTTCAGTTCTTTTGAGAACACTGGCGGCAGAGTTCACATAGGCGAAAACCGAAGCTGACGAGCAATCGAGGGGCTACGTGCGACAGTGGTACAAGTGTAAGTGCAGAGCTCGTCAAAAGGTCGCTCAATAATTTTATCTGTGCCTCTCAATGTCAATATAGCGTTTGAACTTCGAATATATAAGTGCACAGCGTTCCCTACCACCGAAAGTAGAGTGCCACATGTATAAGTGTAACATCTGGGACCGTGAAAATCGAGAATGGTACAAGTGTACTTGTACCATTATTGCACGTAGCCCCTCAATTGAGCAACTTCAACGTGACCTTATAACTGCTCTCTTTCCCCATTTTTCTGTCACCCTCTTTAACATTAGTTTCCTCAGAACCAGCAATGTCGGCGAAACCCCCCTAGATGGTGGGTGGCAATACTTGGCTCGAGCAACATCTTTTCCCAGGCTAATCCTCTATACCGTAATTGCCTTTACTGCAAAAGTAATTAGGGTACATTTGCCATAATTACTTCAATGGTGGAGGTACCGTAAAAGTAGTCTCGATACTTCTGCCACAATGCGACTATGCAGGGTCCAAACTGATTCTAGATCACGACAAAAAAAAGTTGAACGCAAAACCGTCAGAAAGACCACTATGGACAGAATTAAAGCAGACACAGCTACAGGCCTGCCTTTCGCTCGACACCACATTTGTTTTTGTATTTACCGGGCATTCTTTATAAAACATTGGTGAGGTTTTTTGCAGCACATTGCAGAAAGCACAAACCTTCCTATGAAGTTGCCCAAGTAGCGAAGACAGGTTGCAAGGATGTCAGCCCATTACATTACTTGAATCAAAAGTTGGAAGCAATCTTTTCAGAAGATTCGGAGGAAAAGTCGCCACCTACCGTAGGTAGCAGACTTGATACTGCGACCCATAGATGGTGCTATCTGTCTAGCTGCCGTTCTCACGCGTGGGTCGTTTTTATGCTGAGATGCCACAGTAGCAGTGAAATGTTGCCGAAATTATGACATTAGCCAGTTTTAGAATAATGCTCGCTAATGCTTTGCAGACGCAAAAGATAGGGTTGTCGCCACTGAGCATGCGTCGAACGCTAAGCACGTTTTGCACTTTGCACGCGCTATTTTCAAAAAATTGTGCGTGTACGCTAAGAGTCATTGTGCTCCTCCAAAAAGGATTTCTGGTGACAAGTTGGCTAAAGCCAAGACGAGCAGTTATAAAATGGCGGCTCCCAGGTCCGCGGCTGCGGCGGCTTTGGCGGCGTCGTGAGCGCGACGCTGGCAACATCTTTGTGACTGCGATTTTCAACACAGGACAGCATTGCACTCCTATGGAAGGTGCATGTCAGAAACGTTTTGGAAGACCCAGCAATGTGGCCCACAGTCGCCGTCAACTTACTGCTTGCGACGCGTGAACGTTTCTCAGCGAAGGTACGGTGTGCGAATGTCAGTACGCGAGACCTCTCTTGCCAAGGCGACGCAAGCGGACACGACCGGTCGACAGCTCACGTCGCATTCTCCCGTTTAAACAAATCTAAAATGTTCCTCTAAACCAAAAGACTCGTTTTTTTCTCAAGTTACAGCATTTCGTGTGAAATAAAAATTGTTGCTTCATCTTGGTGGCATTGCCAGCACGAGGTGCTTAGGCTTTTGCGTTGCGGCCGTAGAACGTTTTTTTAAAACACTCTTGCGTAGTGTGCGCTAACACAGGCGCTAAAATTGCATACATTATTTTAAAACTCCCTATTATGGTTTCCTGACAACCACCATCTAATCAAGATGCGTGATGGGGGTAGGGTGAGAATTGGCAGGAGAAACGGTCTACCAAGAATTCAGACCACAAGGAAGTCTTCAACCAGCTGTCGAGCTACATATGCTCAATGGGCATCACCCCCTTCGTCCAACCGAGATGCCAATGAGTGAAAAATAAAGCTGCACCACCTATGAGCTACCACATCAAACAGCCGGTACACAACCGCCGCCGTTGGAGGACGCCACCCCAAGAACGAAAACCTTCAAAAAATTGCTTCTGGCTTTCGATTCGGGCTGCATACATTTTACGCGTTGCTGTTAAAATGACGAGGCTTCAGTATTCTGAAATGCACACTGGATTTGGCAAAATTGAAAGAACCCTCAAAAATATTTTTCGGATAAGTCCCACACAATGCGCAAGCTTTCTTGGTTTACTACGTTGCAGGGTCCTCTGGGGGCCCGCAACGCGGCGTGCAGCACAAAAGCGAGGCTCACCTGAGAGCTGCATCGAGGACGAGTCCACCTCCCTCTTCTTCTTGTTGCAGATCTTGAGGACAACTGCCTCCGCCGTCACTGCGCCTCCTGCTCAACCCAAAGGCAGACGACGAAACCGCGTCAGCGAGCTTTGCGAAAAGAAGTGTGCACGCGGCTCTGAAGCTTCTCTGCCCTTTTATAGAGTAATTCGAAAACTGTGCTCAGGGTATCGCCAATCTTTTCTATCCGTTTTCTGACTTCGCCACGAGGCCTTTTTTTTTTTTTACATAGCTGCATGAAAGAAAATGGCAACCCGTGGGTGCCTACCTGTGCTTTCTGCATTTTTTTTTTTTTTTTGCCAAAAGCCAACTGCAAGAACATTACAAAACAAAATGGTGCCTTTCAATTGTGGCGATTTTGATGAAACTGGCCACGAAACTGGCCATGGAACTGGCAACCGTGCAAGCAGCAACGAGGAGCTGGCTGAAGAAAAAAAGCAAACTCACTCCTGCTGCTGCAGTCATAGAAACCAGTGAATGTAAGGGTCATCTGTGTTGGGGACCTGCAGAAAAAAGAAACAACAGAAAATACTGAACCGACATACAATCTCATAATAGTAGACCACTTTCCCGAAGCTAAACTTGCATAAATTACTATCCCAATATCATTTACTCTGCATCAATGAAATTAAGAACGCTCAGTGAGGGTAAGTAAAGAGATCCCCTAACGTTTTGAAAAAGTCAAGTCTTGCACTAGTGCCAAGCCCCATCTTGAGACTACAGAATTGGAGATTTCTAAAGATAAAAAGGGACACATTAGATGCAACAGAATTTACAAGCAACACAATAATATATCAAGCTATTTTTCTACAAGTTACTTTGTCTTATCAAATCAAATTTCATTGGAGTAAAATCATTAATTTCAACAGTAACCCTCTATGACCCTTTCCAACGTGCCATTACTGATGTCCATTTAATTGGGGATAGAAATATCTCGCTTGAAATACTGTACTTCTATTTAAATGGCCACATTATAAGAACAAGTTTTTACATTAGTGTGCCATGGGCGATAATATATCCAGCCAAAACTTACGCTGTTCTGTTTCCAGTTAGAAAAGTAACACTCTTTCAGTCGCAATTTCTCGTAGGCAAATTTCACATTTGTGGGCGAGCAACTGACACATGTCGATAAAAGGATAGTGTAAAGCAAGCTAAAAAAATTTCTGAAGGCCACACCTGCAGGATGACGAGTCATGCTGAGCTTGAACTCGCTGAAGTAGACTGTCGACTTTGAAGTTTTTCCTACAAATAAATAGCAGAAATCAGTTGACGAGTTTCCAGCGATCTGCATTACTGTCTAGCATTCCAGCGAGGTACTTTTTTTTTTTCTTTTTGAAGCTTACCTATTTTTGTGAGTTCTTGACATGCGATGATTCATATAAGTTAGTGTTCTATGAAGAAATATTGGCTGAAAGAAAAAGAAAAGCATGATTACGCAATTTAAACCCAGCGTGTTATATTTGAAAAAAAAAAGAAGAAAGAAAGCAGTTACGACAAGTTTTTAAAATATTTTGTAAAAAAACGAAACAAAACAATTCAATGATGTTGGGAAGATAATGTACCTTGGGAAGCTAGTTGTAAGGAAATTAATAATAATATAGGTACATAACAGACTATAAAGTAGAATGCTGGTTACAACTGTCGTCAAGCGCTACATAAAAACATGTAAAAACACAAAGTTAGTTGTTTCAACAGTGGGAGCTTAGTCTGCCAGAGCATGGCAACATTGTAGCCCACCCTAGACAAAAAATTTAGAGAATGCAGTAAGACTGCTAGCCTGGGGTCTTTAGTGATACAGGACCGCACGCCAGTACGATCCTCATTCAGATCCAAATGGGCAGGGGTGGGGATTGAAGTTAATAAAACCCAGGATCCCTGGGTTCAATGAACTCCAATACACTGCAGCTCCGACACGTTCTGCATTCTACAGACACCATGAGTGACGACCAAATTTCCAGTTATACTTGTAAATAAACACGTCCTGTAATAAAGGATCTATGAAACCGGCAACGCCAAAATTGCCATGCTATTTAGGCCAGGTGCACATATCGATGTCCAGCTGGCTAAACTGGCGACGGACCCCCAAGCCCCCAATCTTAGGTCTCTCCCAGACTTCAAACAACCTATAGGAGTATCGTCGCGGCACCGAGTGTGCCTCCAATAGACCCATCTCACCAGCCAGTTTGGCTACGCCACCGCTGCCGCGATGCATCCAGGGAACTTTAATCTTTTTGCACGTGCTATGAGCACACTGGAGCTCTGCGAGCGTAGAGTCAGACGGAACGAGCTGTCTCGTGCACTACCGCCTGCCTCCTGTGAACTAAAGTTATGGCAGCGTCACGCATGCGCCGAACGCTTGGTGAGATCAGTCTTGTGGAGTTACGGTCGTGGGCAAAAAGTGTAATATACGAATGCATATACGGTTCGGCCCTTTTGATTCCAGTTGCGGGGGGTCACAGAAAGGAACTTCTGCCAGGTGGATCTCTCAGGCGACTCTTTGAAAATGTCCGCACACAGGCGTCTTCATTATTGATGGTCAGTTGTGCTCTCACATAAGCAACAAAGTGTCGTATTATGTTCTACCTTCTCGCGTTCCCAACAGTACGAAATGCCTTAACTAGTGAATAATTTTCGGAACTCAACAAAATGATGTATCTTTCCGAACACGACAGCACTCTTTCCCCGTCCATGTGCAGTGGACAGATGTTTGTTACAAGGTGGAAGATACTTACAGATGCTAGCTGCCGTGTTCGTAGATATCTGTATATCTGCGTCGGTTCTGTAAAGGCATAAAAACACAAATGATGAAGAGAGGCCACTATACGCTCTAAGAATTCTGATTAGGTTTCTTTTTTTTTTTTCTATTAAAGAGCGAGCTTTTGCTAGTCGCTTTTTGCATTATGGAAGTTTTATCCTGAGAAACTAGGAGATTAACCAGAAGGAAGTAGGCTCTTTCTCTAACAAAAATATATCCAATCGACTTCCCTGCGCCTTTACGATATCTAACCAGCCGAATTCACAAACGCCAGAGTTTTCTCCAGAGAAATTTTTCGCATCAGGAACATTATGGAGAAGACATCCACCCTTCACGATTGTTTCCATTCATATTTTGTTCCCCAAGCTACTCTTCTAATCCGTCAATCCATCGCCGTGAATTTCCCACGCGAAAGGAGGCGCACATTTTGCCGACGATCGCGCGCGCGAATCCCCGCGACACTTTTTCTGCCATCGCAAATTCGCTTCGGCACTCCCCACCAAACATCGCGCACCCGATCTTTCGTCACTGAGACAGAACAATGCACAAACCTTGCGCAACAGGCCGCACGTAACCTTTCGGTAGACGACCAAATCACAAGAAGAAATAAGTTGTAACACAATCGCTCCTTTCGCCCAAGAAACCCAGCCACCGCAGGGAGCAAGACCAGCAGAGGGCCGCTGGCGTCAACTCGAAATACAACCACCGTTTTATCGAAAGAAACAGAAGCCCGACAGAATGGATGTCGCGTATTACAGTCTTTCTATATTCTTAAAAGCCACTAGTGTGACTTAGAAAGCAGCGTAAAAACCAGCATTAGGCTTAGAAATCCAAACAATCGTGCAGTAAAGTTGGGTGGAAGCGGAGTGGAGCAGCCACTGTGGAAACTTACTTTCGAAAGCCTGTAGAAACAGTTCATGGTCTGTTCGTAGAGGTTCCGTTCGCAGAGGTTTAGGTGCTTCGATGGGCGGCTGTTCCCTCTTTTTTGGCGGCATCGGGGCGAACGGAACCAACAATTTACTTTTTCTCTTTTTTTTTTCCCTTCTCTCGAAAGCGACGCCGTACACGCCGCCCTGCAGTCTACCCCCCAAACCGCCCGTTTGCACAAGAGCACATTGGCCGTCGTGAGGGCGGCCTAAAAGCACGAGAAGGCACGCCTGTGACGACACAACGCAAGTGACGGAACGCGTCTCCTTAGCCTTTTTGTCGTCCAGGGTTTTAATTTTGAACGTGGTATGGGCGATAAATATCGGAGGGTCACCCATATCGCTGCAAAGTTCGCAAATATTTAACATATTTCGGTAACCTGACATAGCACAAATTTAAAATAATGTTATAATAAAAAATAAAAAGAAATAGAAATAAATATTACAAACAAAGCGTTATATTTTCTTGATAGTTCAGGTCACGTGAACAGAAAGGTGCCTGCGGCGAACGTAACTCGGCGCTGCTGCTTGTTCGATTATTTCTGGAATCCACCCCCGCCCTCGCCCCAGCTGTAGGACGGGAAAACCGAAACTAGAGGAACTGTGCGCTCACATGCGTGTCAGAACATAAAGTTTACTCTGTAAATCCCACCTCAGGAATTGGCCACTCAACGTATCAAGGTACCATGTCTATGACATTTGTAATATTTCAATATAATGCCCTTAAAGGACACATGCAAAGGAAAAAAACATTTTTTTTAGACAGCTTAGATGGAAAAAGGATGTCATAAAACAATTTTACAACGAAGAAACAAAATTTTTAGAGCTATATTTACGGCGCTATACGAATTTGTAGTTGACGCTCGCGGGAGCCGCCGCTGGTCACGTGGTTGGCCCGCGCGCCGCCGCGCTGCGTCGCCGCCGCACGCTGAGCGTTGAGCTACCGCCCGATCCAAAGGGCTCAGCCGTATTCATCCATCCATCCATCGTTGTGCGAACGCCGCTTCAACGCGTTTCTCCACGCCGCCGTCTCCGCCGCCGCACAAGTTCGTCTGCTTCGGGGCGCCGCCACCGTCGTCTGACCGGCGCACAGGTCTATCACGTCTGCTTGCGCTTTTTCAGGAGTTTCCTTTGGGCTCTAAAAGTCACTTATTCGTCTTGGTTTTTTGTTATACTTCAAACAAAGATGAATAAGTTACTTTTAGAGGCCATAGGAAGCTTTCGAAAGAGCGCGAGCACCACGTGATAAAGACCAGTCACGTGATAAATACAGACCACTTTTACGCGGTGCCCGCGGGCGCCAACTACAAATTCGTTTTGCGCCGTAAATATAGCTGTAAAATTTTTTTTCTTCGTTGTAAAATCGTTTTATGGTGTCCTTTTTCCATCTAAGCAGTTTAAAAAAAATGTTTTTTTCCTTTGCATGTGTCCTTTAATGTTACATCTCAATCTGTCAAAACCTCAATTTTTTATTTCGGGTATTTTAACGTAACAAATAAAGCAATGCAATACACATTCGAGAAAATGTCCAATACTACATGTACATTATCCCGTTTTTGCGGGCCGTTTCGCATGAGTAACCCTTAGTTCTTTTCCGACATCATGCTAAAATAGAGGGTGTGAAAATTTGCTTCCTAAAGTCTTTGCTTTGTGGATAGTGGGAACATTATTTACTAGAAAGAAGCCTCCTCTTTTAAATTGATGAAGTTTCACACAACAGTTCAAGGAAAACAAAACTTTATTACACGTCGTGAGGACGTGCCATCAGCATGGGCACATTTAATGCACATTTTCATAATTGTGATTCTAAATGAAAATATGTCTAGATTATAGCGAGAACTTGCAAATATTTGTAGGCTACATTCCTATATACGGTATATCAAAATATTGCTTAAGAACCGCAGTCGAACACCAGAAGGAACTTCTGACAAAGATGGCGAGTTCTCAAAACTAGCTGTAAAAAATAATTCTCCACCATTCTGGGGAATGCATACTACTGTAGTATATATAGTATTTACAAAATCCATGGCACTTTCGGGCGCAAACTTAACAATAATGAATCACATTTACAAACACACAAACAATGTAATAACTGTGTTGTCCAAGACAATCTCTGGAATGGTGGTAAGCCATGCCATAGCCACTGGAAAGCCATTGTCATTCAGGGCTTTGACCAAAGACTTAATCTTGGCATGTGAACCGAAATGTTCACCCAATGATACGACCCATGGACTTCATTTGTGGACCTCACGACCTTACCTAAACTTCAGACACTTTATCCCGAACATTGATGCACACACTTCACCTAGTGTAATTATGTATAGCACCTTACATGTAGACCTCATCTTAAAAGCCTGTCCGAAGGCTTTACCTGGTGGCTTTCAACAGGATCACATGTACACAAACGTGTCATTGGAAGACTGGACATGAAAAAAACTGTCCGGTAAGCACTGCACAAGCACACAGTCCAGGAACACCATTTAGATGAAACTGAGACTCCCAGACCCCTCAGTTAAGGAATCGTGTCAAACGTCTCCGTCTGAAGACGTCGCTTCAAGACTTAACCTGAAGACTTTATCGATAACTCGTCTGGAGTCTTGGTTCGAAGACTTGAAGAGAGGAAGTCTTCGTTTGAGGTCTTCATCAAAGCAATCATCCCGAGGATGCCTGAAGACTTCATCTACGAACTTCGTCCAAAGAAGTCTTTCGAAGACATCACTTCAAGCTCTCGTACAGGTCCCAGCAGTCTCAATTTCGATAGAGATTCCACGAAGCCCCACTCACAGCTTTTCTACATCTGGAACATAAAAACATACCAGCAATAAAAATTAATTACATCAAATTTACCAGCCTTCAGTATATAAATGCAAAATCAGAGATACCAGGCCGTAAAACAAATGATATGAAATGAAACAAAGATGCATTTCAAGCATTACTAACTTGCTGTGACATTGTTTGGAGCCCTTTCGAATTAAAGTCCCATCGCTCGATAAGCTGGGTTTTGCATTGGTCATCTTGTCACTTTCTCTGTATGCTCTTTCAACTTCTACAGAAACTATTACCGTAATGTTTAGTACCATACTTGTTTTACCATATTCTTTACTGTAACTTTTACCATAACATTAAACTTTTGCCCAGCATGTGTTGCTCGCTCTTATGTTAAAAATACAAAAGTCATCAGAGTAAAAATCAAGCAACAATTTAGGGTGTCTGACACCCCCCTTAAAAATTGACTAGTATTCTTTTGCGCAAAGCACTATACTCCGTTTTGTCTTAACTGCCATTGAAGCCAAAGCTATATCTGTATGACCCGTGTGCTTTTATTATAGCTACTGTGCCTGCAAGTCCACGCAGTGTGCAAGCGTTGTTCAAAACAACAACCTCACCATTCTAGTTTCCGTTTAGCTTGCTCTCAACATAAAACGGATTATGTACTAGTAGATTATGACGTTGAGACAGTATCCAATTAATATTTTTCTGCAGAGTCGTCAGTTTGCTAAGAAAAATCAAACAAAAATCGAGTCAAACCAAAACCGGCAAACAAGCGCTGGAAAAGGCAAACCCAGACTCCACAAGTCACTCGGGGATTATTCACTCCCCACAACTACACCTCCCAAGTTCTTTAAATCAACATGTTTTGGATGCCTTGGTGCAACTTCTCCAAAAAATTATGTTATCCTTGTTCCATTTATTTTGATTGATATGGCCTCAAAATTAACATTTTCGCAAACGTTACATTCGGGCTTATTAACTTCCAAAGCATGGTTTCAGAAAGTCTAATGCACAAGTATGCAGGATTTATTTAAAAAAAAATTATGTTTGGCACTCCCGCAGCCCGCCGAGCAAGGTTAATCTTTATTGAACACAGGGCTACGCCCCCAGAAGAAACATCTTACCCTCGTTGGAAGTGCCATTTACTTTAGTTTTCGCTTAGCAAAGCTTTTCAAGTTGAAGGATATCAGTGGCTGGGAGAATCCTGTACATTCAAACAGAACAAATGTGACAAATACGGCACGAGCGATCTCGTACATTGACACCCAAATCAGATCTCAAGAGTGGCCCCATCCGGAGATGTCTGAATGTGTTATCTTCAGTTGGGTGCTTTTCCCAGCACTTTCCACTTCTGCGACACAATATTTTCGCGCTATATTTAACAAAGGGTGGTCACGTGACATCATCAGCATGTCATGAAATGTTACAGTGTCACGCGACACTGCGATGTCACGTCGTGCGACACCACATTGTAACGGTGACGCCGCTCGACATATTGATTATTCGGTACGTCATCGCGCGACCACTATAGGTGTCGTGCGACCGTGTAACTGTCGTGATCACGTAACCCATGGTAATTACGTGACGTGATCCCTTCCGACGAGGTGACGAGTGGCAACATGAGCACAGCAGCAGCTGTATTCATCAGTTATACATGATCTTCTGTGATGCTCCAGACTTGGAAACCGGCCCATAAAGGCCCGCCATAAAGGCCGGACTTTGAGCTGCAAACATGTCTGCTTCGTCGGACCCCTATAGGTCCAATTCCTGAAAAAGCTAAGGTGCTTCTTTGACCTACCACCCAAACAGTACGCAGTAGGCACGAGCAATGTGTATGTAAATCTAGATAGCGCGACAGTGTGATTTCATGCAATGTCACGGTGTCGAGTGACGACATCACCAGACACCAGAGAGCTGTGGCCTAGCCGACACTTGTCACATGGCTAGGTGACTGCAGGACCCACAGTGGTGCCAGCCACGTGACCGCACGGCATATATACGGTGATGCTTCGCTAAACTTGACAGGACGTTAGCCCCCTAAATTTTTGTGACGATGCCACAGTAAGGCTAAGGCGACGTGAAGGCAACAAAAATCACAACTTCGCTTCCGTTAAAATGCATTCTGCAATACAAATTTAGGTGAGCATCGGCGTTTCGCGAACTCTCCACCCAAGCATGCAATACAAAGCGAACGGAGGAGGCTGCTTACGGGGCTGTTCCTGTGGTGACGCGGCAGAGGAGGAGGTGGATGATTCGTTGGACCGGTCGGGGCGGGAGGCCTTGTGCTCGACGTAGGTCTCCCACTCGATGAGCCAGAAGGACAGGGTGCCCAGGGTGGCACACACCACCAGGATGAGCAGCTGGTAAGGGAGCAGCAGGTAGTTGGAGTAGAAGAAGGCCATCGCTGCCGCCACCGCCTGCACGACGACGACATGCTCTCTCTCAGGTATGGTGCCCACACAGTCAAACCCGTTTACAACTTACGGTAAACACGCGTCAATGCATTCTTCAGCGGACCGCGAGAAACATTAGTGACTCGCAAGAACGTAACCGATAACGCTCTAGGCAGGCTAACAGCTTAAACAAAAAGTAGCTTTCAAACTCTGGTTATTCGGTGAGGACACTTACAGAATCAGAGCAGCCTGGCGTGCGTGGAAAGAAAACTATTTTACCATTTGAGCTGACCGCAAAGCCTTTTCGTCTGGACTTAGATCCATGATCTGCAGTATGGCAATTGTGTCCTTGAAAGAAATGTGATTTTTCTCCCGTGAAGTTAGAGTCCAAACAAAACCATCGGAACCATACAAAGATAAAAAAGAGAGCCGCGCAGAGCAGCCGAGCAGCAGCGAGGATTGCTAGTTGCACGCAAATGCCGCCGCCTATCCAGCTGCAAATGCCCCATGATCGCAGCCAGAAGTTCAATGATCACTAAAATCTGTACTTTACGCCAAGGAATAATTTCCAGCTGGCCAAAGAACGACAAAGATGGTTGCTGTTTCCTGCGCGAACTCGATTAGCATGCAAAGGTCAAACGAAAAAAGAGCTAACACACAAAACATAGCAAGCGGTGGTAAGGAAGCGGTCAATCGGAGAGCACTTGGTGAAAAGAAAGAATTACAGAAAGATCCATTGGTGGATTCTTAGGAAATGCGTTTGCATGACCCTTGGAAACGCAACACACGTCCCCTTTGGAAAAAGCTAATGCTGACCCCTCCACTTTTCTCTTTTGGATTTCTCTCGTGCTTCCTCTCGTGCTTCCTCTATTTTTTGTTGCCTCTCTTTGGCCTCGTTATGTGGGTCAGTGGGAGCGTTTCCCAAAGGGAGACGGGACATGTGTATGGTGTTTCCCAAGGGTCATGCTAACAGATTCCCCTATCCACCAATGGATCTATCCCATTTGTGTACTCTGCCTGTCAGAGTACATCGACGCCTTTGGATACGGTCATTTATATCACTCATGGAAACAACCACATCTATACCACTCGTGGAAGGAACCACATCTATATCACTGGTGGAGGGAACTGCATTTATTGTTTGAACTACATACATGCATCACAGCCCATATACCACTACTACGGAGACCCAGAGCGAAGAACAACTGGCAAAGGCAGAGCAGCAACTGAGCATGCCCGCATTAATGTCTCCTAAATAACAAAGCCGTAGTGCTGACTAAGATGGTGTCATCAGAGAAGGCCAAAGCTGTGCACAGATTGGATACAATAATTTCAGCAACGTTCGGCACAAACTTGATTTGAAGCCGAGCGGTGATGCAGCACTCATTTGCAAACCGTGTCCAGCGTTGGCCTTCTCTGGTGATGCCATCTCATTCAGCACTACGGCTTTGTTATCTAGGAGGTGTTGCATGGCGCCTTTTTCTCTCTGGCTCCGCGCCAACTGTGACAGAAAGGGAAGGGCTCGTTTTAATGAAAACTTGGCAGTGTCTGTCAGTTTGTCAGCGCCGAGGAGAGAGGAAGAGGTTGACACGTGCTGACGTCAGCACTTTGGACCAATGGGTGCATCGCATGTGTCATGTCCTTTCCCCCTTTTTCTCCCTCTCCCCGACGATGACAAACTGAAGACACCGCTGGGTTTTTGTAGAATTGAGCGGTCTAATGCTAACGCATTAAAAAAAAAAACCTCAAGTGGAGACTGCTCCCATGCAACGTGTCCTGATGTCAACTTTTTCTTTGCTTTTTTTTATGTGTGTGCATGTGTTTCTCTGCACTCTGTGCAGTTGCTCTTTTTGTTTGGTGCTTGGGAGTCTAACTTTATGCATTCCTTTTTCTTTACTCTTGTAAATGAGACGGGGGCACTTGTGTATTTTCAATTTTTCTTTTTATATGGGATGGGTGCTCGCACGTTTTCGAAGTTTGGTGCTAAATATTTGGGTTTTTGGTATAGGCAATAATTCGCTCTATTCGGGTTCGCTATAAATGAGTTCCACTGTACTCCATTTCACGTTAAGTCAGACCGCAGCCGGATAACCGGCTGCGGTTGACTGCGTGGTCGCTTTAGCCGCAAAGCGGCTAAACCAACCATACACAAAAAAAAGTGCAGGATCATGCCACATTCACCGTGTGCGTGATTGGTTTTAGACAATGATAGAAGACGCGCAAAAACTTAGACCACCATGACGATGCACTTTTGGCATTGTTTGATTGGCTCTATTGGATCGCAACATTGGCTGCGATTGACTTGATGTGAAACGAAGGATAGGGCTGGCCCCCAAGTGGTGTGTTACTTATCGCGTCCTGAAAGGAGGTTTCTCGATTTCCAGCTGTTGACGTCGTAGAAGTGTCAATGACATCATCTGCCACGACCCCGGCGGCGGTAATAAAAACAGAAGCGGTGTAAAGACAAGGACGAAGTAAGAGGTAACCGGCAGGTCACAGCCGTGGAGGCGGATATGCGAGACGTTTGCTCTGCTGTAGGCCGCTCCGAGACCAGATCACATGGACCGACAAATGAGCAACAAGGACACAGTTCAAAGCACTTCAGACGAATTAACACGCCAATCGAGCAACTCGTGTTCTTGTGTCCCCCCTTTTCCGCCAAAAGCCGAAGTCCTTTAATTGGCCCGTAGCGTCTTGCTCGTTTGTAAATGATATGCCAACCCAGGCGAAAATTTCTAACTGGGACCAGTTGGCACCTCAACTGGTTTCAACTGGGACTAACTGGTCCCAACTGGGAATCAACTGGGACTAACTGGTCCCAACTGGGAATCAACTGGGACCAATAGGAGTCCAACTGGGGCCAGCTGAGGGGTCAACTGGTTTGAACCATTCCCAGTTGGGAGTCAACTGGTTTGAACCATTCCCAGTTGGGAGTCAACTGGTTTGACTCCCAGTTGGGAATGGAGTGCACTGGAACCAGTTAGGAAAGTAACTGGTTGGAGCGATTCCCAGTCGGACTTCAAATGCCTTTCCCGTTCCCAGTTCACACTGGGCAACAATTTGGACAAGTTGGGGGTGTATTGACCTTTGCTAATGAAGAAAACTAAAAACACTAACATTTTTAGATTTATACAAATAGGGAATTTTTTAATTACTGGGGTACATTTATATATTTATAAAAATAATATAAAAATTTTAATTAACTAAATAATTTTTTAATTGGAAAATATAATTAGTGACAAAATGTGTTCACCTAAATGAACATTTAGTGCATTATTAAAATATATTAAAACATTTATTTAAATACCTACAGTATTTTTTTTTTCTTTTAATAAATAAATTTATCTTTTGACTAATCAGAGCTAGCCGGCCGCCGTGGCACGCGGGTGCGGATTAGTGGTACGCGCTGTCGACAGATGGCGCTGCCTATGCTGACGCCGGAGTAGGGAGGCTGTAGTGAGGGTGGGCGCAACTCAAAACCTGGAGAGCGTTTGCGATTTAATGGCGGAGCCAGAGGGAGAGGATTTGAGAAAGGATATGCGCCAGTGTTGCCTGCACGAGAGCAGGCGCCCGCTCTGTTGCAACTCTGTTGCTCCATGCGCCTTTCCTCCTCTCGCCTCCCATTGCAAGCAACGAGCGCCTTAGCGCAGCCTCTCTCGCTCCGAGAATTGCAAACGTCGAGCGGAGAAAGCAAAGTTGCCAGACAAGCAGCAACGTCCAAGATGGCGGAATTTACCATTTTTCGCGTTAAAAAAATACTTAACCTATCGCAACAAAACTGGTGGCTATGGAAAAGTAATCATTTATACCTTGTGTAAATTATTCAAGCACCTTAATGGGCTTTTATGACCTGAGTTAGGAAAGAAAACGACCCTTTGCCCCATAGACTCCCAGCAAAATTTAGCAATTAAATGGCGTCCATGTCCCGTGATCGCCGATCTAGCAGTTGCGCCCACCCTCACTTGAGCCTCCCTACGCCGGAGTCGGACGGACGCGGTAGAGAAGGGTCGCCATCGCCCAAGTTGGCGTCGTTATGAAAATGTCAAAACTACAGCTGCGCTTCTTTGGACCTAACTGTACACACACCACGGTGTCGGCGATGAACTTCGAGGATGGAAAGATGCAGTTCAGCGATCGGAGGGCACCCAGGAAAGACCGGACGCACATAGACCGGACGGAAGAGAACACGCCGCGGAGAGCACAATGGCGAAAATGGCGGGAGGTCTACCTCGAAAATGTTCGACTGTTGTGACAGAGATTGCAAGGTGGGAGCGCAACCGCATCTTATCAGGACTTCACCTGCGCAACGCAGGATCACGGGTGAGCACCTTTCTTCACGCGATGGGAAGAGAAACTGAGGACTTCTTCACTAACAGACGCCAGCGGCCGATCTTCCTTCATCTCATGAATACCACCTCTGAAAAAGCGATTCAACCGTCGCAAGCAAGTGGCTAAACCCGGAGCGTGTACGTCACCGAACCTATTTAGTTTCATTCTCCAAGTTTTTGACAATAAAGTCTTGTCAACCTTCCATTTTGTGCCGTGTTTCATTGTTGCTAGAGTTGGTACCAACTCCAACTGGGACCAGTTGTAACTGGGACCAATTCCAGCTGGGACCAACTCCAACTGGGACCAGTTGCAACTGGGAATTGTTCCATAAACCAGTTGCAACTGGGACCAACTGGTCCCAGTTGAAAATTTTCGCCTGGGAAAAAGTATGACAGACCACATCTTTACCGAGCGAGGGGAGAATCGAATCGTCCAGATGTGAGCTACAGCTTGAGAACCCTAACTAGACAAGGTGCATAAAGAGGTTAGCGCAGCGAAGCATTAAATACGGTGTTGCTTACCTGAACGAACTTGAAGATGGCGAACGCAGGGGCACTGTCGTCGGAGTACACAAACCCGAGGAGAGAGTAGAGCTACAAGGGCATTCGGCTTGAGGTCAGGGATTATGTCGGCATAACGAGACAAAGATCGCTCGAGCAGACGGCAAATACAAAACCGACCTGAGTGTTGAAGCAGCTGTCCCCGAGGCCGAGAAGGAAGCTGCCCACAAAGGCCAGGTACAAGCTACGAAAGGAGTACAAGCACCAACAAAGTGTAAGGAAAAGCAGCACAGACAGCAGACGGCTGATGATATTCACTTCAGTGGGTGGCAAACAATGTCTTGGCCATAAGTTCTTCGTTCCTTGTGGTGCGTCCGATAGCTACTAATCGACAAGGGCAATGTAGCCCTTCAAAGTATTTCCTTTCCCCTTTCTCAAAGGCCAAGTTCTGTTTGGTAAATTACTGGTGGACTTCTGACAGCCATAAAAAAACCACGATGGCCAGTACGACAACGAACAAACGCCGCCACATTTTAGTATTCTCTATATCCACTGACTAGAGCACGGTGCTGTGACGACACTATACCCTCGGCACAAGGGGCAGGCAATCTTGCTGGCCATATAGTCCCTATACGAGTTGCACCGAAACGACTCAAGTTCCCGGTATGTGCACATGTGAGAACTCACTTGCTCTCGATGTATGCCCGGTCCCACGTGGCGGCCAAGTTTGAGTTTGCCGGGAGGTTGATGAAGATGGTGTAGTAGGCCACTATGTGTACCAGGAACCCCAACAGCACTATGGGATCCCGACCTGCCTTGTTCGTCTGCTTTCCCAGGATGCTGAAGGCCAGGCCGCCTGACAACAAAAAAGGCTCGCTCACTCACCCACGTCCGACACTACCCCCTATAAACAGCTTTTCAGCAAAACTATAGTAGCTAGAAGAAAAAATATTAGCGTTCTATGGATGTCAATAGCACATTTGTGAGGCATCAAACATATCTAACATAGTATGCTGTAAATAAATTAATTTTTACAATCTCAATACTGTGCAAACTTTTCTGAAATGGAATTTGGAATTATTTCGCGGGCACAAAATTTCACGATTTGGAGCAACATGTTATGAATTTGTTACCATCCGGTTATGTATTGGCGCGGTAAATTTCTCGCGACATTCTCCAAGTTGTGAGATTCAGGTAAATGAGGTCTTTATGGTATACCATAATCTTACGAACATCAAAAAGACATTTATGAAACGGTAAAATATCCTGAGAACATTCTGGTGTGCCGTCAGGGTGAAGCTATTTATAGAGTGGTGGAGTTTCTAACGGCCTGAAGTACCATAGAAACAAAGTCGAAATGAGGACATGAGATTTGATGATTGAACCCCATTTAACTTAAACTTTAACCAATTTTCGAGCCACAATCAGATGCACAAGTACAACCAAATTGAAGTGAAGCACAGGAGTGATTTTTAATGCGGAACAAACCTGACGCATGAGAGCTGTGGGGAGCTAGAGTGAACAAGAGCAATTGTACCAACATGCTGAAATTTATAAAAAAAAGAAAGATATACACTTTGTTGCATTGGGTTCATGCCATTCCTTTGGTTCCCATGTACCATATATTCCGGTGTATAAGTAGCGGTTTTCTTCAAACATTTTGCTTAGGCATCTTTTACGATGATGCAACTAATCTGCGGGTTTTTTCGAAAAAGCTTCATTCTTAGTTTCTGCTTGATGAACAGTTTTTATCTGCCATGCTCCAGCCATGTTGCTACATGTGAAAGAAAGGACTACAGCTAGCCGACCTCTCAGAAGTACCCAAAAAAGTGTGTTAAGGTTTATCTATCTGTCCATGTGTAGATGCTCGGGTCGTCTCCGCAACTTGGCCTAGGCTAGGTCTAGTGGTCCAAAGCGCGAACCATGCAGAGAGGTGCGACTTACATACCAACTTTTGTGCAAAAACGGCTCAGTTACGGAAGTGTGACCTACAACGGTGCGACTTACAGTCCAGAAACTACGGTAGATATGCCCTAGTGCATGAAGCTACCAACCCTTGGCATACCATTTTCTGTTTCTTCGTGCATGAATGCACAAATTTTCAATGAAAAAATCAGATCTATTTCTGGTAGCCGACGCCATTCGTTTCCGTGCATTTGGGGGCTTCGACGGCCGTCAATATTTCAGAAAATCGCTTGTGACCTTTAAATGATAAAACGGTAAGCTCTGAAACTTTGGTACCTGGTCCAAACCGCTGGACTGAGCATTCAGCAATGCATAGTTTATTTTTGCGGTAAAAAACGAAAGCCGTTTACAACTCCTTCTTACTCGGAATTGCAGCGCAGCCCTTGAGGAGGACGAGGAAAGGGTACTGAGGGTAGCGTATACCCCTCCTCCTCACCTCCTCATCCTGCCTGCTACTCCTCCCTCCGAGTGGCGTCGGCGTAACCGTGAGGTCGCGTGACCCTCGTGACCTCACAGGGGTCACGTGACGTCACCGGGGTCACACAACCTTGGGGGATCATGTGACCTCAGGGGGTCCTGAGGGGTGGGAACCCAGACCCCCTCAGAAGGTCACGTGCCCCCCGTGGTCACGTGACCCCGCGCGGATGTTTCGGACAAGGTGCCGAATTGTCACCATGCCGAAACGTTGCCACGGTTACGCCGACGGCGACGCCGCTCTAGCCGCAAAACGGGGGCCGAAGAGCTGTGCTCTAAAAGAAACACTAAATATATTTCAGACACCCGGCACATGCAAATGGTGGCAGCAAAGACAAGCGAAAGCAACCCACGACAGAAAGACGATAAGATGAGAGTGTCGTCTCACCCGTGATTTCTCCAGCGCCAATGAGCAGGCCGTTGATGCCGAGGAACTTGGAAGAGTCCTTGCCGAAGCTCTTTGTGAAACCGAGGCAGGCGCCGTAGACACCGCTGAAGAAGGAAAGCTCTAGCCCTGCAGAGTGTGGAGAGATTGGCTCGTTTGGGCATAGACTCAAATATGACAAGAAAGCACCGCACACGTTAAAAGATGTTTAGTAAAAAATTACATTATTTGCAAACATTGCAAACAATGCAACTGAATTTGCAGAAAAAACTCACAATACATGGGTCAAAAAACGGGCTGCAACCTAAGTTGCAAAACTTCATCTTGAGTGCTTTACTTTTAATATCTCCAAGCACCCTCTAGTCATAGGTTTGCAGTCATAATCATTATACAATGCCCAGGTTCAATCATAGCAATTTTTGATTGAAACAGGCTAGCATGAAATACTGAGCATCCGCCCATTTTACGATAATCGCCCACCCCTCAATTTTGTAACATTCGAAAAATACGCAAAGGACATAACTTTACATATTGTTAACCTAGGGCGCACCCTTCCCCCAGTTTTACACGATCATCTCCACATTTTGAATGGGTGCTTCCTCGAGATTTTACGGTATATAAATACGGTTCTGTGCTTTCGGATAAACCCGAAAAATTCTGAAAAACACTCGCTCGTCAATTTTCTGTTAATTTGGATTTATCCGAAAAACTCTTAAATTCAAGGCCACGATGACAAAATAAAAAGCCAAAAAAAAACAAAAAAACTGAGTTTTAAACATAAATTTTAGAAGAGCACAGGGTCAATGATCCTGAGGAGATGCCACTTCGGTTTCCTTTGAAATCTCGAACTACTGACAAAAGTGGTTTGCCTTTTAGCTAGTGAGAATTCCTTTAGGACAACGGGCCATGGTATCCATATACCTCATTTATTTTGTTTTTTAATTTTTAAAAACTTGGGGACACAGTAAAATAAATTTAGAATTTCAGAGAATCGGGAAACTAATAAAAATAAACTCGGAGAAATCCCAAATTTTCGGCGAAAAATGAACTCCAAAATACACCCTCCAAATTTCATGAGAAATAAACTCAGAAAACACGGAATCCTATATATAAATTAGGCAAACATCCAACGAATATGCACTACTTTAACTTGATTTTATGTAGAAAAAAAAATACACCCAAAGTGTTCCAAAGCTTATCTGCAGGCTTCTATCCTATTTAAAGAAAAGCACAAATCTGGACACCTGTTTGTCTAGACCCAGTTAACAAAGACTAGAAGAGCAGAAGGGAGCCATTTATCCTGCCTCCATTTGCTGTGCGCGCATAAAGACTGCTTCGTGCAGAACCTTCACATATCGATTTGAATATCCATGGATTGAATTGGACCCATCAAACATCAATTTGAACATCTATAGACTTGACTAGACCTATCAAATAGATAAAAAGAAAATTAAATATGTATTAGTGCAGCTTGTTTAGCTCGTAAAGCAAGTTTCTCCAACGGCACGGGCGCACTGCAGTGAAACAATGCCAGCGGTGCAGGGGTCATATGTAGCGCTGCTTTTGCACAATGCAACGATGCACAAAGGGAGACTCGCTATACTTAAAAGAGGGTTTGCACGCATGCATTAGTTTCATTTCTCGCTGAAAACAAAAAAAAACTGCACCACTTCCATGGTGGAAGTGTGTAGGAGATGATCTGTGCACAGCGCGCACGAGTTGAAATTTTTACCTCCAAAGTCTGCACAAAAGAAATAGTCACGTAATGACCTAGTTTAGAATTCACGCTGCGGCTTTCTTATGCCAAATGTCCGATTCATCTGACACATATAGTGCACAATTTTAAAAACTCCTTTAACAAAAGCCTACAAATGTCACTAAATGAGACGCAGACCACGAATGCAAGGCGAACTGCGGGCTACTTACCGGTATAAAAAAAAGAGGCACTCAACGTGAGCATCTTACGAGTCTTTCCGAGCCTGAGGGACTTCACTGTGAATAGAGAGAGAAGAAAATGCACGCAGTATGAGCAGACACGGGTCGAAAGCCTCGCCTAACACGACACGCCCGGCCACATAGCACCCGAGCAACAATGAAAAAAATTCTGCACCACAAATGACGCTGAAGAAAAAAAAATAAGGAACTGTAGAATGGGTGGCAAAGTCACATGCATCAATCAACTATACTTCGAGCGGTCACGTGCAAGGTAGTTACTATACAGGTAGCTTGACTTTGCGGTTTCTTTATGAAGTGCTTCCAGTGAGAACAAAGCTAGTTCCTGTTTGGCATAATTCGAGATTGAAACAACATAGTGCCATCGCATATAAAAAACAAAAAACGAGCAGTTCCGCATCAATCTACAGTCCTACAATGACGGCGATAGCTGCGACACGTCGCAGCAAAGTCGTCAAGCGTCGTCGTCGCGTTCACGCACCATCGGCAGCATATGGTGCGTGGACAAATGCGTTCGGAACTAAATAGACATCTGTTTTGTTGCGAATGTTTTTGTTGTGCTCCTAACGCTTTTGTCTCTTTTTTGATCTGGAGCACGTTAAATCGCGTCTCCCGGCACGAGCTCTTGGCATTCACGGTGCCACGACGGCATACTGTCATGGGCCATTTCGTTTTCCGAAGAGCGCGTGCAGCGGGCATTGGGTACTACAGAAAACCAAAGTTTAGAGCGGGTTATTAATGCTGTGGCGTGGTTCAGTGGCAATGTCTCTGCTTTGCACACAGCGGACCCAGGTTCCATTCCCGCAGGCGGCAATCTTTTTCGAGGATTTCGCAACATTGACGACGGACGCCCTACATCGCGAACTACAACATCAACAACTATTACTACTAGAACTACAACATCAACAACTGATGTCATTACCAGTGGGGCTAAGACCTCAAAACAGCTATCGTTGTAAAAGCAACAGAATGTGCAATCAAGTTGCTTCTCTATACTGCCTGGAGCTGTTAGGAGGAACCCTTGTACGTACGCCCGAGATTTCTTTTTTCGTGGCTCCCCAACTCTCGACAATACAGATTATGCGCTCGACAATGTGTGGTAATGTGAGGGACGACGTGCATTAATGGGTGGGAGGTATGATGTTATTATGAGTGTGAAAGTGCATTAAGCCCTTCATTGTTTAGGACAAGTACAGCTTGTCCGCGCACCCTACCTTGCCCTTGACTGTTAGACGACCTTGGCTCGTTCAGAGCTTCGTTTGTGGCGCTGCTCAGAGATGCCAGCACGCATTTTTTATTGTACACGTTTTTAAGGATGGCAACCAATTGTGGAGACACGCGCAAATCAAACTGCACGTGCAAAAAAAAAAACAGTTTAGTATTAAAATTTGCAAAAAAAATGATGTAACACTACACCCTTTTTTTTTTAGAGTGAAGCCTGTTTTTCCGTAACACGTCCTTCAACGTTCTTTTCCGCTCATGCAATCATCTTATTGGTTACAGGGAGGCAACAAAACTTGGAGGACGCTAAAGCTTTGTCTTTAAAGGGAAACGAAATTCCAGCGCTCATTTTCTAGCTTGAATGTGTTGCATGTTGCACCCCAACCTCAAGAACACCAGTCTTCCATTGAAAGGCACAAGAAAACTAATTTCAAAGCTAAATAAACAATCTTTCAATGTGCACCTGGTGGATGCATGCAGAGCCTATTTGGGAGGTAACCTAGCAACGTTGGGGAACTTGCTACGTAGTCGTGACGTAGCAGATTCCTTCGGAGCAGTACCGCCTTTTGGAATTTCAACGTTTTCCTTCTTAGCTTTCCTCCTAGCTGAACTCACAAATCGCGCATTGTACCAAACGGTCCAAGAAGACGGAAAGGAAGGATTCCCCTCTTTCTCGAACCCTCGTTCGTGCAAAGGACACAGCCATTCTCCCCCTAGAAAGATTAGCCGGTCGCTCAAAACTCGAACAAAAGTTGCTTTCCCCGCTCCGTTCAGCCCTAAGCTGACAGTGTTGTGGAAGCTACGTGCCCCTTGGGCCAGCCACACGCTCGTCACCCCACGGGTACTTCGAACGGCTCGGTTGTAACGCGCTGACGCTATTGACACCACCACAACGCTGACAATGCCACCAAGGGCAAAGCTCATAACCACGCCTGCCTTGCTACTCCACGAACACGGGAAATCTTTTCTTTCTGTTTTTGTTTGCGCCGGATATCCCATGACGCATCGCGCTCTCCGTTCGCTTCTCTTCGAGCGCTTGCTCGAGTGCACTGTTTGGAACGAAAAATATAGCCAGCCGTTCAAAATACAAACGTGCGATTATCATTTACGGTTATTATCCGTCATGCTTGACTCATTTCCAGACGAAATCTGAATATTTCAATTGTTGTTTCCGTACCCCTTTAACAGTGGAATTCGACAGTGTTATCAGGCTCCAATCGCATCGCCCTCTCATTAACTTCTCATGCTATTCCTGCCAGTGAACGGGAAGTGCAGCGGACATGGTTTAGTTAGTAGCAATAAAGACAAACCAATTCGGCAGGGATACTAAAAAGTGCTTACGTGTAGGAATGCAAAAGCATTCCTATAAGCAGCGTGCCACGTTTTCCTTTCGCACATGGCGTTCCGGCGGTGACATCACGACCCCCCCCCCCCCCCCTCCGCAGGGGCGGCAAACCCCGCCAGCTTCATGATGGCTTCCGTGCAATCCATTGCATTGCTGTACTTTTCTTAGTGTTTTATTTCTGTGGCGCGTCCGCTCTGACCTTGAGCACACCCGCCGGCTTTCGTGACGGAGCATCTGCGTTGCTGTACTTTTCTTTCGTTTTTTTTTTATTCGGAATGGGAATTTATAGGTGTCGTTTCGCTCAGTCAATGGGAACTTAGGTGCCGCTTCTCGCTGCTACAAACAATGCTGGCTTCGCTCCATGGGACTGTTAAAGCTTTCGGATTAAAACAACAAACGGTTAAGGGGCTAATGTGAGCACTGAAGTATGTTGATGTGCGTGTCAAAGTGCATTATTAAGGGGACAAAGTTTGTTGATGTGAGTGTCAAAGTGCATGAACCTGAGTGACAAAGCCAAGCTGTGTAGTCGGTGGCAATACAAGCTAGCCCAGTTCAGTGTTTGCCAAAAGGGGTAAAATGCCACATGGGGTGCCTCCAGCATGCTAAGCTACAAAACTGACTGCCACATTGTGACAATTGAAAGTGCAACAACCCATTCCAAGTTTCCATTCTTTGAATGGCTTAGCGCAACCAGGATTTTATGCATGGCTTTTGTGCTCCCCCGACTTGAACCCCCTGGGCAAGCTTGCATGGCTGTACTCTGCAGTTTATTTATTAATACGAAAGCATTAACTGTCCCATGGAGCAAGTCAACATCATCAGCTTTGAAGCCGCAGCAAAGACTGCGCCAAACGGCAGCTAAATTCCCCTCTCCCAATGGAGCCAAGTGAAGCCGCGATCTGAAGCCTCCCAGCTTTGAAGCCATGCAAAAAGCCATGCAAAACAACAACTATATTCACCTCTCCAAAAGTGAAGCCGAAATGTAATGTGACGCGTCATAGTTTCAAGGAACGAGGCTCCCATTGGCCGCCGCGCGTCAGTTCCAAGGAGTGCAACACCACGGTGCTGCAGACCTGTGCCACCAGCGCCAATAACCGGAGCGGGCTCTGGGACCCCCCAGAGCCCGCTCCGGCAGACTCCTAAGTGGCAGCACGGCCGGTGTCAGTGCGGCGCACCCACTTCACAAGAGCGCGCGCAAGAACAACATTCATGCTTTCGGATTCACAACTCATAAGAAGTGCTTAGGTGTCCTCAAACCTTTTTATTTATTTGTTTGGTTTTTTGTGCCTTAAAACGACCAAAGCCTTTGTTTGAGACACTTAAGTACAAAATATAGCATGCAACCTGCATACATCCACGCATACAATATTCTAGAAAATGTTTAAAAACGATATGGTAGCTATGTGTACAAGAGAGACTTAACTTCATGCTTAAAATGTTTGTAATTAACAAAAATATCCACAGGGTTAGGTGGGCATGTCAATTAAAGTAAGTTGCATGCGAGTAATAGGATATATATAGTTCTCTTCATTCGTGACTGCACACATCGCACACTACGCTTCATTAAGGAAAAAAGAGAGCATCACAAGACAAATCAAGAAAACCGTTTGCGACCAAAAGAATGTACTCACCCAGTGCCTGAACGAAATCGGAAGATCCGGCGGGCTTGACCACACTGGGAGGGGCGCCCTCCCCTTCCCTGCACAATCAATCGCTTTGCTTGTCAGAAATTCACTTTTTTAGACGGATACTGTGACACACACTAGCGGCGCCAAATCAATGCCTCGCTCTAAATTTGTCGAGCTACTTTCGAAATTTCGACATTGTTCCCTGCTCACGACAAAACTTTCTTTGAGAGTCTCAAACTAAGTATGTCCTCGTGCCTCATTTGAAATCTGGAACTTAATATTGTACGTGCGAGGAAAGGGCCATAAAGCAAGACCTGCAACACCTTATAAACTTCAAGATCAAGCACTTCACGCATAATTATTACATCTTAAACCGTTTTTTGTTTTTCATTTGCACAGATTAATTTTGTCAGGGGTCGTAGAAACGCCCCGTGCAATATATTGCGACGCGGTCGAGCCACGTCTGTACCCGTTCTTTTGTCATGCGATACGATACACTGTTGAAGAAAGCGCACGTGCGTTCCTTCGCCCGTTTTCCGGTCGTCTCTTTGAAATTCGAGAACCACAGAAGACGCAGCTTCCACGTGGCCACAAAAATAATTTTTGACGACATATTATCGTTGGAGCGAATCAAAAATACATCTTGGACGCCCACGCCTTCTCAAACATTTGGGCAGTTCAGTGCGTTGCCGCAGACGAAGGAAAAGAGGGAAACAAAAAGGTTACGTTTGGGGTTACTTAGGGGTAACCTGCATGTGAAAATCGCTTCCCCACCCTTAAATTTGCCCCTGAATGTGAAACTTTTGTCATGGACGGAGAGACCTCGGACTGCTTATCTGTCCCTGGCTATCAGCCTCACGTGCGCTTCGACTCACGGTGAGTCGGCGGCCAGGGACCTGCTGGGCAGGCCCCCTCCCCTGAGGATGAGGATGAGGAGCATGCCGAGGATGCCCACCCCCGTGAGGGCCCCGAACACGGTGGTGCGGGTGGCCTTGTCTATGTGCTCCAGGCCTTGGAACTGGACGTACACGAAGATGTTGCCCCAGATTAGGCTGCGCAGCGTGGCCATGGAACAAACCAGAAGGGGCGGGGGACATAAGTTCAAAGGGTGCGTCCACTACCTCAAAATCCCCTAAAAAAAAAATTTAAAAATTTAATAAATGTTTGGTAAATTAAAAAAAAAAATAGCAATAAAAACATTGAAGTGAAAAATTTTTTTTCAATAGCTCGACATTCTTTTTGTAAATAAAAAAAATATATTTTAGCAATATTTTTGCTGTTAGAGGCGATTTTGTAGGGGTAGCCCTCTTATAGGCCCCACCCCGTGCTTACAAAATTAAGCAGCTTTTCTCGGCTCTCATTGGTTAGAGATGATTGACATGTGAAATGTTTGTTCTAAATTGTATCTCCGTGGCGTAATATTTATATCGGCAATATTTTTAAGTTTTAGAAACAAATGATCTAGATAGAGTCATTATTGTTTTCAAAGATATCTCGAGATTGCCTTTCCAAATCTTTCGAAAAAATCTGCAAACTTCGGCTTCGCCGAATCCCAAGGTTCAGCGCCGAATTTTCAATTCAGCAAAAGTTTGGCCCATCACCAGTTTCTTACACAACTATGCTCTCTTAGATAGTAAAAAAAAAAAAAAAAAAATCAAGAATAGAGAAAATAACCAGGAGCAATGAGGGAGCGAGCGAGCGAAGTAAGCCATAAAGAGTGATGCTGGGGAAGCAGGAAAGCCGGCGATCACGTTGGCCAATACTTTGGCGTCGGGCCAAATCAGGCACCTTTTAAATCACAAGAAGCATGCTTTTGTGCAACTTTTTTTTCGGTGCATACATGCGTGCGTTCGTCTGGCGTGCTATCAAAGCGGGCTGCGTGGCTGGCGTGGATGGCACCATGAACAAGGAGCTTGAAATGGGACTCTTTACAAACGTTTGTATGTGGCATTCCAGTATATCTTTATTTACCCATTGGCTTTGTCTCAAATACTGCACAACCTTACCAACCACGGTCGCGATGTTCCAAGAGATCAAACAAGTTCACGGTGACCTTATTTCGGTGGAGACACACTTTGACCTTACACTCCGTGGTTACATTCCAGGATATGAAGCGATCGCTGACCTTGCGATTCCTGAATGGGCTACTCATCAGGGAGGAAATGTGTTAACAAAGTGGAGCGTCTTTCCCTCCTTTGTTTTACTTTCTCATGGATGCCCTCCAGCCGTAAGGTCCAAGGGAGTGTCATTTAAGTAGGATGAATTCTCGCGGATTGTGGAATATGCATTGTGGTATTTTTAGGGGTGGGCGATTACTCTGTGTTTTTTCGGAAATCGATATTCGTGCAAAATGTGGGGTAGGGGACGATTCTGAAAATTACGGTAGTGATATGGCCTTCAGAATTCCCCAGTTTCTCTCATCAAGCTTCACTGCTATGCACCAATGTGCTAGGACAGCTCGATGTTCTTCGAAAGTTTCCTCACAATTGTGGGACACCCTTCATTGGTTATAACTATACTTCGATACCTGTTCTTAAAAGGCAGTGCGAGAAAAAAAAAAAGGTTGAACTATATACAAATGAGCAATTCTTCGTTAAGTATGCTTCTTCTGTAGCACCAGTGTACTGCAGCGAAGTGACACTTGCAACATCAGTGTCACGGGTGCCAGCTCCCCACGTCGCACTAGAGCTTGTATCCGTCAAATGTCTTGAAGTTCGAAAGCCAAAGCTTTGGGCGCGTAAATTGTCACTAGGTCTACTAGACCAACTCAAGAGGCTAGTCTTTTTCGAAAAAATGCCAAGAAAAGGGTTCTTTATAATCAAATGATTAACCAAAAATAACATAATTATGCTTACCAAAAAAAAAAAAAGCATTCCTAGAAAAGCTAAGGTGCCAGGAAAGCTAAGGCTGCCGGAAAGACTAAATAGATGCCAAGAGAAACTAGTCATCCTAGGCAGACACACAAACGAACCTCAGCCCTTTACGAAGATATGATATCACAGACACGATTTTGCGTGTAGCAAACGCCACGTCAGCCTGCATGTCCACTTACCTGCATTGTAGCATGGCCCAGAAAACGCCACTGTTTCTGGACATTGTAGTGCTGTTGGAGTTGATGGTTAGAAAGTTGCCCTGGCCTGTCCATATCACTGCACGAGCAAAGGAGAATTGCATCATCTGGTGCCCGGCATTTATAACACAAAGTGCCCAGATGCAAGCTCTAAATTGCAGGTCAATGGTGTGTACCTGACACCTCCTATACAACAAGTCCATAGCAATGGAGTGGGGACCCATGTTCACTTAGCGAGGACATAAGTACCAGCTCAACTCTGACACGGCGTGTCCTCTCCAAGCCCAATGCTGTTCTCCAGCAGGTTATGTAGAAAATCGAGTGCTACAGCCATTGTTATGCAGAAAATGTTGGTAAATCATGTCTCCTTAAGTCTTCAAGCCTGCTTTTGGCAGTGTCAAGGACCTTTATCATATGTGGTCTATAGTTTGTGAAAGACTAACGATTATGACTTTATGTCTTATGGGGATTGTGATCCTTCAATATTCTGTCGCGTCAGCGTTTTGGCGCGCCGTGGCGGACGCGTCGACGTAGCGAGAGGTGGCACTGCTTACCACTGTGAGTGGCTTCCTCCTCTCCCCCTTGGGGCGATTTCCGTAACGAACCCCCGCACAAAGGAGATCAACGTGTTGCTCCTTGATTGGCCACTTTGCGCCCGCCGTTATCTTAAAACCAGCAAACAGCAGGATCTCGCTGGTCTCTTCTTCCTGGGATTCGGCGGCAGCGACAACGGGGAACCGTCCGGCGCACCGGCGAGCGTTTACCCCGTCCTTTGTACCTTTGTGAACGACCGTTCGGCCGTGGGCGATCTCCACACCGACGGCGTTCACCAGCTTATAGCCGCTGTGTTCTTCTTTTTGTTTCATTGTTAATAAACAGAGTTTATCACCGTTACCAACGTGACTGGTGTCTGTTTGCGCTCAACGAGCAGCATGCCACGCGAGTATGAACCCGCTTCGCGGTAGAGCGTCTCTCCGCGAACGTGGTACTCCCAAAGGCAGTGGCCCAAGGGAGAACCACAGTCTGCAGCTTCCCATAAAAAGCTGCTCACTGTCTTGCTTTAAGATGCCACAGGCCATGACATGGCCACCTTTTTGCATAGAATGATGACACACTGGTCTAAGTAAGCCTCTCCTTTTTTTGTCATACCGCATCATAAAAATACATAGGATAAAAGTAAAAGAAAACGAAAAACTTGGAAAGTCAATTAAGGGGGGACACTACCCAGAAAAAACAATTTCTGCAAAGAAAAGTTGATTTTGAAAAATGTCATATTTACATCCACCAACATCGAGAGAGTATTCCCAGAAAGTTTCATTAGTTTACACTGCATAGTTAATTTTTTATAAATTATTTTCGGTCCTCCGATGCTAAAGAAAAGGCAGGGGTTGGAGCACTTTGAACGCAATTTTCTCCATTCCACTTTTTGGCATAAATTTCACTTTAGGAAAACTATCGTTTTGTTATTATGCAACTTGGATTCATTTTTATGAGTTTTTCTGGGGTGAAATTTTAAGGGGAAGATAACTATGAGCTTGTATTTTTTATTTTTGTCATTTTTCATGCTCAAGAATTAAAATTTTGGACAAAGGATGGAAACCTAAAATACTGTATTTGTGTTTATGTGGCTTTTTTGTCATGAAAGATGGTATAACATAGAAATATAGCTCCATAGTTATCTGCTCTGAACTGTCCTAATGCAATGTAACACATGAAAACGACAAATTTATAAGTAATTTCAAAACGATAGTTTTCCTACGCAGACACGCCCACTTTCGTCTTTGAACGTTTGCAATTTTTTTTGTACTTCACCCAGGTTAACAAAAATTGGCAGAAGTGTTCTCAACATCAACAGAAACAAGCCCTGTAAATATAATTTAAATCGGACAAGTGGTTCAAAAATTTACTTTTTTGGGTAGTGTCCCCCCTTAATGATTTTTTGAAAGGAAGAAATGCAAGTTGCTCTTTCGAAGACAGAAATCCATACATAAAATGTTTGGGGTAAATCTAAATTCTAAAATACTTTTCCATAAGGTTCTTGTTTGAGTGTACCTTCAGGTTTAGCAAAAACATAGATTGTTGGGTAAAGCCACCGCTAAGCTGCTCTAGTCAGATATCGTCCTGCCACAAAAATTATGAGTTACTTTTTCTTTTTGCTGTTTCCAACATAGACTGAAATTAAAATGAAAAAAGCCTTTAATGTTTAAATCATAATGAACAAAAAAAAGGAGAATTATGGTCACTAATTCATTCATGGTATCCCACAGAACCTCAAAGGCGAATTTGCAAGGTAGCAATGCGACCACATTTCAACGAGCTTTAAGAGGCGTTACAGCAAACTATCATCTGGCATTATTTTTTTTTTTTTTTTGCATATAAATTTAGGTTGGAAAACTTAAAAAAAAAGTCACTCAACACAAAACGTCACAGGCACAAGAAAAAAGTAAGAAGCCACGCTTACGTGCGGCACCAAATCCAATGGCTACGGAGGCTGCGTAGAGACCCCATGTCACTGGCACTAAAAACTGCGCTATAAATATACTGAAAAAGAAAGAGAGACAAAAAGCAGACGATGCCTTGAGAGAACTGTGGGCGAGATGTGATAATAAATCTCTCTCATGCAGGCTTTCATCCATTGGAAGGCAGACAGCTGCCACCGTAAGACTCCTAGAGGTTTCCATCGAGTTCACTACGCTCAGTGTGGTAAGAAACCAAACGTCTTGACAAGGAAAGCCTTCTAAATAACACATCCACGCAAATTTAGCCTACACAGCAAGGACTGCAACCCAAAAAAGACTGACATTTATGATGCCACCATCTGTAGTCACACTGTTGCATCCACTTTCTCAAAAAGAAAAGCGAAGTCTTGTTCTAAACCTCGTCCCCCCCCCCCAAAAAAAAATTCAATACGAAACTTGAGCATGGTGCAACACAGTTAGCAGGAACAACCAGTTGCCATTGTTTCCCGTTTTTTTCTGAGAACTGAAAGGCTGTCATCAAAACTACTAATGTGGATGAAAGTGCTCACTCGGGGTAAAATTGAACGCTCGTCAATACCTTGCTTGAGTAGAGTGCTAAATACTTTCATAATAAGTGATGCTCAGTCTACAGAGTGATACTAGATTTTGCACTTCCCTTATAAAGCAGCATTTTATGAAATGTGACACAGGTGCACACCAAACTGCATGTGGCACATATAAAATATGAGTAGTGCTGACAAAATATTTGAAATTTCGAGTAGTAGTTTCAAATAATACATTATTCAATATTTGCTTCGAGATAAACTGCCATATTTATATGTTTTGAAGTTTTGATCTCGGTGAGTTAGCCCCGGTGAGTGCACTTCTCAAGGGGTGTCCAAACAGGACACTACAAAAGTCGTCGGGCAACACAACTCCTGAAAAAATCGTGAAAATTGAAGCGGGCGCTTCAATCTTGATGATTTTTGCAGGAGTCGTGTCGCCCGTCAATTTTTGTGGTAAAGCCAACATCACGACTTTTCTCCTTGCCTCCTCCACTTTTCTTTGACACTCGTGCTCATCAGATTCGACGTCACACGCCACCTGCGTCTGGCTGACCCCGCTAACGCCATCGCCTCGGCTCGAAGGCCAAAGAGCTTCGGGTGGATTTGGGAGATTCCTGCGTCGAAGTGCATGTATTGGCCGCCCCAACTCAGTTTTCTTTACCAAAATCCACGTTCGTAGCTTAAAAAAAAAAAATAAATAAATAAAGTGCAGTGCGCAACAGTGAGACTTTTAGTTGTATGTAGAAACACTGAGAACTTAAGAATATATCATTTATTTTATTAAACTCCAAACCAACCAGGTTTGTTTGTTTATACGAGGTACGTTGAAAACACAAGAGCCGCGGGAATCCAATCCAATCCACAGAACTGCTGGAAAACGACACGACCTTGGACATGAGGCGCGCTTGCCTGGCTTGCCCCCTCACCCTTGATTCTTCCCTTTCCCGTTTTCGGGACTTGCAAAGTGGCGGATGCCTGGAGTGATTGACCGACAGCCAACAGAGCGTGTGAGTGGCCCTCCAGACCCATGTGATGAGCAGATCAAGGCTCGCGTAGAGGACACGGGCGATATTTGATGGGGGGAACTTTTCCCTCAGCAAAGAAAAACAGCCGGAAGCAGAGCGCCGCACGATTTGTCAGAGTCGTGTCGCCCGTCGATTTTTGTAGTGTCCTGTTTGGACACCCCTTCAGCGGGCACGTGTGTATTGTGGGGAAGCAAAACCCGCGAATCTCGAGGGCTCCATGGCTACTGTTTCCCTGCAGTGCACAGGTGCTCGGTGAGAAGCGCACTCAAAGGGGCAAACCCACCGCAAGAATGCAATAGCATGTGTTAGGCAGCGATGTCTTGACAACCCATACTTATCATTCATGCTTTTTTTTTTTTTGCTTTTTTGTCAAATTTGAAATTGAGGAATGAATATTTGCATGTAGCAAGCGCATTTATAAATTTCCTCGATTAGGATAGCCGTGACAATTTTGTCATTTACATGCCATAGTTAATAAATATAGCTATATTAAAATTAACTGAGCTTTGAAGTAGAAGTGGAAGGTTGGAAAGAACTTACACGAGTTCAGCTGAATTTTCGTTTAAGCATGGCGCACAGTAGTGTAAGGTTTGGGGAAACTATTTTATATTCGATTGGAAAAGATTCGGCCAAAACCACAATTCGCTTTGAATTCATGAGTGTATGTCTCACTAACGTGCTTTCACGTGAGCACATTGGCCGCGGGCCTCTTTCCTATAAGGTAGCAGTCTTTTGCAGTTATGTGTTATACACTTATAATGTAGAACAGCAGTGCAAACAAACCAATACTCTATAAAGTTAGAAACTGCAGAAGCAGTGCTCACTTGTAAGTAACGGCCCCGACAAACATGGTGTACTTGGGACCCAGGAAGGTGATGATGGACGGGGAAATCCAGTTGGAGATGGCGAAGACGGCATAGATGACTGCCAGACTGAAAACACAAATAACATACATAAGAAATCTTAAAAACCTGGGACGTGGCACCAAAAGCAAAGAGACAAGAGGATGAAAAAAGGTGCAGGCACCTTACGTTGAAAAGAGACAAGCAGAATGACATAGACACAGATATTGTTAATCCCAACGTAACACCTGAGAGTGTGGTGCGGAAAAATTAAGGAACTTTCGAGTCGAAGGAAAAGACAACAGAGGAGAATGTCATGGAGACATTCACCTCTGTTGTGTTTTCCTTCGACTTTAAAGTTTCTTATTTTTCCGCACCACACTCTCTGGTGTTACATTGATTAATTATCACCAGCTCACCCGTACACTCACTGTGTTTTCGTTGTAGCAGAGATTGTGCAGGTCACTGTATTTCATTCCCTCATCCTCGTTCTGCATGCCTAAGCCTAAGGCTCCAAAATATCAAACCTATAAACTGAGATGACCCCGGAATAAATGTTGAAGTCTGCAAAACAATGATCTCCCCGTACCTCTTTCCCGGTAACAGCTCTGCAAACTGAACCTTGATGAACCACAACCTCTGTTGGATCAACCATCCGAATCTTCACAGCACTTTGGATGTTATCTGTTATCCCATGTTGGGAAGACTAATCACAACAGTAGCTGTGTTATTACATTTATGTTTCAATTATATAAATTCTGTTAATATATGGATACCCTGCTTTTATTGACAAACTGGATAAACACTCGCATTATTGGCTCATCATTATGGACATCGCACATTATGGACGGACTAGCTAATACACTTCAAACTGGTCACTCTATATTAGTACCCCTATTCCTTTAGGATAAAACACTTTAAGGTGGATGCAATCATTCTGGGCAATGCATCCAGTTTGCTGGGCATCATATAATGTCATGGAGAGCACTGACGCGTGGTGCTAGCTTTCAAATCGAAGACAACGACCTTTATAACAAGAACTTTCAAATTCTAGGCCCCAAAACCCGAAACCAGTCTGAAGTTCTCCTACGATGACCAGATTCTGGAGGGCAAAGGAAGTATACAACGCAGGCACCAAAGACACACTATACCGTTCCCTTAAACAAAGTCACCAACAAAGCCTCACCTGACGTAGCCATCTCCCGTGTAAGTTGGGTCTTCTGCCTGAATGCTGTCTAGGATTATTTTCTGAAACAAGTAAGAATGACGTGTGAATGTGTGAAAATATCTCTTTATGCTCGTGGGAAGACAAATGCACGCTGCAAATCTCGTTGCCAAAAACACCAAAATCTTGTGTCCCAAATCAAGCCTCATATCAGAAAAAAAAAAAAGTTAAGGTGACTGCAACCCTCAGGGACAAGAGAGGTTATTCAATTATCGATACAAATGATTGAAATATTTTGAATCTAAAAAACCTATAAATCACATGGTAGTATTGGAGGAGAAAGCCTATGCACTAGTTTGACAGTAGGAAAGAGACTGAGAGGAAGACATCGCAGGGCATCTCTCCCCCTAAACACAGCCGACTACGGCAGCTAAAAGCTATGGCATTAGGCCGACAATGACTTCATGCGTGGATTTCCCTTCTCATAAGCTACTGTGCCTGACACAACCAATGCAACTGGTTCACTAACACTTTTAACAAATTTGTGGGAACAAGGAATCATCTGCCTCGCTTCGTGCAAAGTTGGTCAAACAATAACTCTGAACATCTCGTTTGCAACTTTATCAGGCTGCATATTCTTTCTTTATTGATGTGCCTCATAAACCTCATAAACGACTACCACATCATCCCGAGAGATAGCGCACCTGAAATCAAGAGCAGATCGGTTGAAAATTAGGGGTGGGTTAACTTTCGGTGTGCAATAAAAAGAGTTGGACAAATGCTATTTTAGGCTATCTGTCCCAGCATCACTTTTTATTGCAGCAAGGGGCAACAAAGCAAAGATTACTGTACACCACAGTCAGCAATTCTCGCTTATATCCCACCATAGCTAACTACCCGCATTTACGCCGAGGCCATCATTGATCCCAATACTATGATTACTAGAAGTGGGCTATCTTTCGGTGTTTAAGGAAAATGAACAAATCAAGCCAAAAATAGGGGGCGGGTTATCTTTGGGGGGCAGGGCATCTACTGGCATATTACGGTACTGCCCATGCACCTTTTATCTGGATTGGTGTTTCCATACAGGCACAGAAGCCGCCTCTCTGCTCACGTCTGACTGTCTGATGACCGACAGAAGGCGACGGAAATGACGAGCCTCGCAAATACAGCTGCGTTAAAACGCATGCTGGATAAATCACACGCAGTGCAGCTGGAACATATAAACTCCAACTTCCGACGGGCTATTTTATGAGTGTACTATACGCTTCAATTACAACCAACAATTTAGCAGCAGAGAGCTGCAAATACGGCCGCGCGATGACCTCTCGGTAATTGCTCATAATAATATAATGCTAGCAACAAGTGGCAGCCTTGGGCAGGGTGATATTTACCACATAAAAATGTGTCAATCAATCAATCAATCATACAATTTTTTGTTATTTTATTTTCCCTCGATGGCACACATTACTCTTCGTTGCATGCCCCTGAACTTGACGTGCAGACCTGGTTAAGTTACCATATTTTCCAGTGTGTATAGGTCACATTTTAGCAGACACATTTCAGCTCGTGCTCTTTACAGCACTGGCTTGTATGCATTGGCTTCTATAAGTATGAACCTTAAAACTGTGCAAATTCGCCTCCTGGGTTATATTTCTCGTTCAATTCATTGGTAAAAATATTTAAACTGGCTCCCGCTTATATTGAGATCACAACACACATATGTACGGGCTTATCAATGCAGTTTCGCCGTTTTCCAATTGTACCAGTATGTAAGTGGGAGTTACACAAAGGTGCACGACTACAAACCTTTTTTTGTGAAACCAATCAATTAGAGGGGAGGGTGCCACTTATATAGGCCGACACGTGCATTCCTTATTTTGTGCGCAAGGTCGTAGTTCATCGCACCTTTCGTTGTTTCTGAAGAGAAATGTGGCGCTCAAGCCAAACCCGTTTCTAAAGCATCTTCACGCAACTGACTACACATGTGCTAGCGGAACGGAAGTCAAATTCAACAATAAGATTATAAAAAGTAAGTTTTTTTCAGCAGCAAGCGCTCGGCAGCTGTACACCACGTGTCATCAACAGACGAACAGACAACATGTGAAACAAGGTAGAGGAGTTCCAGGGTTATTACCATTCCTCGGGGTTTTTTGATAGAGGAAGAGAGAGAGGAAAATGTGACACATGAACTTGAAAAAAATAAAAAAGATCCGCAACAAAATTTCTGCGTACTACTACGCTGCGAGCCTCCTACCGCATCATTAGAGTTCACTTTTATCCTTTCAAATGGTGGTTTCTAGCCGTAAAGGGTGCGACCGAATACAACAATCAATAAATTTGTTTACTTGATCACCGTCGGTGAGAGTATTACAGAAGGTGTAACACTCGTGAGAGAAAACATAAACAAAACAAAAACGTAAGTGAAACTATACACAGGAGACATACTATGGTAAATTCAAAGAAGCTAGCAAACGAAGGAATACAGTAAAATCCAGACAGACTAAATATTAAGGCAGCTGCGAACACAACTTTGCTGCTGTTTGAAATTAAGTATTTGAGAGGGAAACTATGTGTGTGGTCATGTACTATACTAGAATTCAGAATATTAAAATTTTACTCAATTCCTAAATTGTCGATAAGCGGGAGGCTCATAAACCCTAACCGTGCTGCTGGCGTTAGTTTGCCAAATCTCCGGTCTCCACAACCAATCACGAAGCTGGCCAAAAAAAAAAAAGCAAAGCTCCATATTTCTCAGTAATCAATAAACAGCACCATTCTAGCTGAGACACAAAAGATCTCGTGCATGTCCGCCGAAGCGACAAACCAAAACTTTCCACCGGGAACGTCCCGCGGAATGTTTCGGGCGCAATTGTCATCTCCCCAGCCCATTAACGCCGGCCGTAGTATTCCCAGTCATGCTCGGGGAACAATGATGTCGATGTAATCGGTGCGGCAGCAATTGCCGTGACCCACATGCACTGGTGGATTCCGCTAATGGATCGGCGACGCTACGTGACAATCGTCGCGAAAGTGAAGGGGTGTGGAATATGCATGAGCAGCTGGTGGGACACACCCCCTTCCCCTTTCCTGGACCGCACCTCCCAGAAAGCTCGCTCCAAATCCAAGACAATGAGGTAAACATACTACGAGCTCAGCGCTCCAGCTCAATCTGACAGTTCAGAGTGAAGGGATGGTTTGCTGGCCGCGTCGAGGTGCGAGTTTTTTTTAAGGACTTTAAATTCAGGCTGTTAAATTTAACTTTTATCTGGTAATTCAAACTGTTAAATTTAACTGTTATCTAGCAATTCAGACTGTTACGTTAACTTCTGTTACTCGAGAAAGCTAGACCGTTCATAAATGCTTTCGTTATATGAACATCAACGCGGGTCATGGCGTGAATGTGCTTTGTGCACCTGGAGAAAAAAAAAGTAATGTTCCTTGACCTTTTAACTTAAAAATTGTGCCCCAAGTTATGCTGTTTAGTGTAATCCAACACTAATCAATTACAATAAATTACTCACAACCACAAAAAAAAGTTTGTGTGAATAAATTCTTTCTCTACCCTACTAATAATAATAATGCTAAAGCTGTTACCATCGCATTATAGTTTGTTCAGACATGAGGTCTCAGTCTGCCTTTACAGTTGCACTGATGCTGAAACGTTACAGTCATGTGGTATTATAAGCTGTCATGTATGTGTTTGCTGAATGATTCCTTGTGCACTATGTTGAATCTCACTTGTTGCATGCAATTGTGAAATTAGTTATAGTTTCTGGAAATAATGCAACAAAAAAATAACACTTTAGGACAGGAAATAGATGCAAGCTTTCCTGCAGACGTCAATTTAGAAATCATATATATTTAAAAACAAACACACACACAGAAATATATGTAATAAACAGGTGTACCTGCATTAAAGAGAACACTAACTAATTGCATAACTGAAATGTACTGCTCGTAAGAATAATTGGTTCACAAGAAAGTGGGCTAACTTTCGGTGTACAACCAAGAAAAGTGTAAAAAATTATATTTTTAGGTCATGCTTCCCTTCTAAGCTTGTTATCGTGGCAAAAGGCAACGAATCAAAGATGACTGTACTTCCCAGTCATCAACGATCGCTTATATCCTGGCATAGCTAACTGGCCGCATTTACGCCGAGGCCATCATTGATCCCAACACTACTATTACTAGAAGTCGGCTATGTTTTGGTGTTTAAAAAGATATAGAAAATCAAGCAAAACATAGGGGTGGGCCATCTATCGCGAGTTTGAACAAATTCTTTTTTTTAAATTTATGGTTATCAGCTTGGGAAACACGGTACTAAATGAACACATGAAAACTTGAAGCTATATAGATTGAAGAAATTCTCTGAGACAACTAGCTATAGGATGATGATGATGGTTGGGAGTTTTATGGTGCTAAATGCAACTTAGGCCAAAGCGAACCAAACTAGGGCGTTATAACATGCAGCAAGCATTCAGAACATAGGTTAGCAATAAATTGGCTATAAATTACACCCATGACACTTCATCATGCATCTTTTCCAGGTGCAGTCTTGGGCAGGGATGTAAATATGATGGTCAGCTATGCACATCTCATAAAAATGTTGGCCATCCCACTTCAGGAAGTACAAGATTATGAAAACTATGCCAGGTATGACGAAACCAATCGTTTCTGATAATGGAAACAATTGTGAACCGATGGCAAGTGGGATTTTCCGGCTCGTGAAGATAGCACACCTAGATGGCCCACTTCTTGGCCTCAGTCTAGACAACGATGACAATCGGCTGCATTTGGAGAAAACTGACGATAGAAAAATTTGAGGAAAGTGAAGTATTTTTTCCGTTGCAAGAACACATCAAACAATTTAAGAAAAAAAAAAAATTATGTTTTACAATAACAAAACAACACATGAAAACTTCTATTCCTCCCCACAACTTTAACTACATGAAGTGGCGATATGCGCACCAAATTTCACGATTTTATCCTAAGAGATACACAATTCCAATTTGAAAGCTGGCTGTCTGCTCAGAAATGAAGTGCAGCTCCCAATGTTCCATAAACCTGAAATTTATATCAAAGCAAAAATTATGCATGTAGCCTGTTCAAGACAAGCTCCTTGTGCAAAGCCCTTCACCTCCTCCTCTCGGGCACCTCCTCTCCAGTGCTAGCTCTGCTAAAGTGGAAAGAGCAGAGGGAATTGTGGGAAGAGCCTGTCCTGCTGTTCCTTAACCTGCAACAATTAAACTACACGTAAGTATACACCTCCAAGGAGTTGTCAAAGACTTAAGCGGAATTTTATTCAAGCTTTCCACCGTAAGATACCATGTTGCCCACTCAAGCTTATGAGGGAATTACGACAAAAGTTTAGGAAGGGCTGCTCGCCTGCATAAAATTTGTGCTTTATGTACACTCCCAGCCTATTCTAAACAAAACAAAAAAAACGGCGATAGGGGTTTGGGTATTTACCCAATATTTTCGACCAAGTCGAAAAGAATACTAACAAAATATTTATTAATGAATAATCAGGCACGTCAAAGTGGGTCAAAATTGAAATAAAAATTCTGAAATTTCTACCAGGGTTTCATATCAATTAGTATGTGAAATAAACAGCAAATAAATTGCAAGGTCAAATTCAATGTTAGCGGTTCGATTGCTAGCGTTGTCGACATAGATCGGTTTAAAAATTCTCCAACTATTATTTGCACTTTGTAATTGTTTCTTAAGCTCATTCCCCCTTCCATGTACTACCTCGACGGTATTCTGAATAGATAAATAAATTAATGAATGAGTGACGTGCTGCTGCCCGCATCTGTAGTTTGTGCTGCCACGAGCGCGGTTTATCAGGGTTAGCGAGGAAAGTATACTAGGGCAAGGATGTAGCCTTGGACGTTGCAGGGGACCCAAGCTCATGCGCATTGGAAGCGGCAAAGGCACGTAGTACGTGCAATCATCTAAGCGGCGTTGGCATACGGCACCCTCCCCCATCGCACCTTCACCTGCATTCTATTCAGTGCAGTCTATCAGGCAAAGATATGTATCGCGCTCGAGCATTGCCCAATTTACTAACTACACACTTCCGAACAATTGTCTCTAGTATGACGTTGTTATCGTAAGGGGGAATATGTAAGCACATGCTTGCATTGTCTCTTTATCTTATGACGTCCATTAACCTAATCTATTACAGTCCTCTCATTGCGAGGAGGCTATAATCGCTTGCTTCCCATTCCCAAAGTACACACTGCCATCATTTTTTAAACGCCGTTTTCATTTTATTGTATGCAGAACTTTGAACTTTCCTAGATCCCTAACCAAGAATAGTAATTTTTAATGCCACCATTCTTCTATTAAATGGCCTAGAATAATGTTTACATATTTGTAGTGTCTCATGCCTTTTTCTGGCTCCATCGTTGGGGCTAAAGGTCAAAGCATACTGTTTGCATTCAAATAAAACTCACTGATGTGAAATGAAGAACATTTTACGTTTTAGTATTTTTATTAATTTCGTACTGACCGCCCCTCACTCCTTACAACGGAAAAAAAAAGAACAAAAAATAAAGAAAAAGAAAAGGTTTTGTAGGTATAATTGTACAAATAAATAAATAAATTAACGTCTGAAAATAGAGTGTGCCAATGCTCTGCAGTCGCACCAGTCTCCATTTCTCCGGAATGCAGAGCCCAACGCGCAGACGCCTACTAATTTCATGCAGGAATGCCGCGGTCGAACTTAGGAAATTTTGCAACGACATTTCTCATTTCCTGAACGCGTTACCTAGCGCGCCTTGCGACAGTGCGTAAGTACGCATAGTGTACACACGAGGCACGCTCTTTCCAGCTTGAGTCGCCGCCAAGGAAATGCCCCCCCCCCCCCCCCCCCCCCCCCCAAAAAAAAAAAAAAAAAAAAAACTTTAAATAAATAAAAAAAAAAGTTGCAGCACATTGGCATTTTTTCCCCCTCTATTTGTATTCTTCTAAATTTTCCGACAAATGTCAACAGCGTACGGACGTACGAACAAGCACAGGCGCGTGAGCCTTGCTCAGCAAAATGCTTCGTTCGTACGAAAAAGCTATCGCGCATCAAAGGCGCACTTTGCAAAGCCACGCGAGCTTGCGTCCGTAGCCAGCACAGTAGATGTTTGTAAGCAAAGGTAAACCATACTCGCCGCATCGAAACCGAAACCGACGTTCAAGAGCGCATTCCAAGTTGGTTTCGGTTAGTGTTTTGCTGCCTCCCGAAACCACGTGATAACACCGACCCTGATCATGACAGTAACAGCAGCTGTTCCGATCTGATAAAGTGCGATCGGAAACCACGACTGCCTGCGCCGTTACATTTATCACGGGCAACTCGATCAACGGAAAAACCTGTTTGTGAACTGTCATTCGACTTTTCGACTTTCTTTTTTTTTTTTTTCTAAGCCGCAGAAGCCGCCCTCCGAACCCGCCCCCCTAAAGTTTGTCTTGTTCCTTTGCCGATTTAATGGAAAATTACCTGTATCAAGCCGCCCGTTTGGAAAGCGGTGAAGACGAACATGAAGCCGAAACCGAGCAGAATCACGTTGAACATTTTGACGTTCATGGTGGCGGCAGCGCTGACGACGATCGCACAACAACCAAGTTTTTGACCCGTTGAGCTTGGCCCGCCAGATACTCGAGAGGAAGCTATCGGCTAGCGCCGCGGAGATGCTCTTCAAACACGTCGATAGGATTCGCCGGGTCACCGGCGGATAGTCGGGAGCTTTGCGGCGCCGTGCGGCATGCTCGAAGGGGATCGGGGTCACAAGCTCCCAACACACCGACGATAACACATTCAGGGCGCTTTTCGCGACGCGCACACGGCAAAAAGGAAACACGCTTGGCGCGGCTTGGACTTGTGGCTATCGTTGGCTAGTAAACAAGCTTGAGAACACGGGCACACGGGCGAGGAGGTCGCATCCTCTCTAGCCATCTCTAGAGTTTGTTATTTTGAATCCTATTTTGTTAGTTTGCTTGATAAATGGTAAATATTTAAATTAAATTTGCTTAAAAAATTTATGACGTCAAGTTATAACCATATGGGCTAAACTTTTTAACGTTCAAGAAGAACCAGACAACTCTATGAAACCAAGAGAGCCATAGTCAATAAAATAAAGAAATAAAATAATTCGCAAAACTTCTGTCAAAAATTGTAATTCTAAAGAGAAAAGTTTTAAATTAGAAAAAGAAGCTTTAAATGCGTTTATCTGACCTGGGTGTCAAAAGATGGCGACCATTAGAGTTAACAAAATTCGACGTTAGTCATTGATCCAGCGAGAGTCACAGCTGATCAAGATAAATGCTGATCAGATGCGGGCAAGGATGCGGGGATGAGCGAGACCAATGTCGACTGTAAACAAACGTTGAACTTTTCTCGCTTCTAACTGAGGTGAATATGATTGGAGCCTCGAGTTTTTCTCTTCTCATAATCGCCGTGGTTGTGCTTACTCATGGAGCATCCAACAACAAGGCGAAGCCCCCAAACGACGTGAAATTCTGTCCGGAGCATCCAGACATCGTGGTAGAAACGAGACTCGATCAGACCGGCTTTCACAGGTGAAGCAACATTTTCTTCCTTATTTTATTTTCTCAGTGCACACAAGAGAGTTTTGAAGTATCTAAGCTGCAGTCCCAGCAAACAGAGCAAACTCGGATGCTTTTCAGCCTAATAAACCGCACATGTTGAGGACAGCTGCATTTACGAGTCTGGCGCAGCTCCCGCAAAACAACAACAAACAAACAGCTTATTATTTGAATTCACGATTCCAGAGCCTTTGGTATGAACATATGCTCCCGTTTCACGAATTCGCATGCGCGATCATAGGCTTTCAAGTGAGATGGTGGTGCCGGCGCTCGGAATGTCACGCGCGTTCACAACTGGGACCTACCAAACCAACATTACCAGTGGGGAACTCACCTTTGATGCTTTGAAACCCAGACCGCTCACGTCCACCGAGACCGAACGACCGAACTAAATACGATAACAGTGCCACCCTTTAGCGACTAGTCTAAACATGAAGGTTCAAATTTATATTGCTACTACGAAATGGCCATGCGAGGTGGCGCCACCGGCCCTTGCGCAGCTCGACCTGAACCGATACATGCAGACGTGCAGTTCCCGGAATGGCCGCCGCAGTAGAAATTGTGGCGTTGCGATCGACATTAGTTTGGTTCTCGAGTATGGGTCGGAAGCCACTTTTTCAAAGCAGGCTCTATGGCAGTTTTCCAACTGAGTTCTAACAATGTTGTCCCAAACAGATTGCTCGCGTCCACCGAGACCGAACTAAGTACGATAACAGTGCCACCCTTTAGTGACTAGTCAAAACATGAAAGTTAATTTATATTGCTAGTCCGAAACGGCACTGTGAGATGACGCCACCGGCCCTTGGGCGACTCGACCTGAACCGATACCACCGATACGTGCAGACTTGCAGTTCCCGGAGTGGCCGCTGCGTGAGAAATGGCGGTGTTACGATCGCCATTAGTTCGGTTCTCAAGAATCAATTAAAACCACTTTTTCGAAGCAGACCATGGCAGTTTCCCAACTGAGTTGTTCTAGTAACGTTGTTGCATACTAAGAATTTCTGAACGCCCCAAAATGGTGCTAAGGACGCCATTTTGAGTCGCTTTTCTTCTGCCCTTTTCCCAATTATCTCAATTATAAGAATATTGCTTGATATTTATATCTTATATTTATATATTATATTTTTATAATATTGCTTGATATTTTTTGGCAAGAAACAAACAGCGATAATCGTAGAAGACCACTGACAAAGCGCTTGCTCATAGCTGGCCTTTTATCGAAGAATTTTGCAAAAAGGGAGGAATTGTATTAGCAACCATTGAAATGAGTACCGTTACCTGAAGCTTTTAGTCACAAGAGTGGTTATATTTTTTTAAGTTAATAAATTCTGTTCTTTTCATTCATCGAAACTTTGCGTGAAAACAGTCGAAACTGTGCAGAGTATCAGCAAATTGCAAGCAGATTGCAATGTTTACAATAACAAATTTTTTTGTACCCATGTTTTGTATGGCTGTAACTTCAACAATATCTAATCTGGTAAACTAGTCTTCACATGAAGCCTTATCTGAAATCATAGGAAAGACTTTTCCATCCTTCAGAAATGTTAAAACAGTCTTGATGAATGCTAATGGTTCTACCTTTTATGGATAGACAGGTGCTAATGGCTGTACCCTGGTACCTCGTGCCACCTAGCCTAGATGAGAGAAAAACAATGTTGCCTGAACTTACTGACAGAGTACCTATAGCCCAGGAAAACCTCACATTTCCATATCCTAACTATCACCGATTGTGCATGCTAGATCTGCACTACGCTCCAAAATGGCGGCACCCACAAAGTAATCGGGGAATGTGGCACCGATACTTTAAGCATCACTTACTTAGTCGCCTTAACTGCAATGAGTATCGACGCTGTGTGAATATCTTTCAAACTTCGAGCTGGGGAAAGAGGAGGCTCGACAGCATGTTGCATTCTTGTTTCTAAAGTTTGATTTACTTCGCAGGGAACTTCGCATTGCGATTCACGCACGGAACAAACCAAAGTCCAAAGGGAGGCCTCCAGTGTTGCTGCTCGACCAGGCCGTGCCTTCGGGCGCCTTCGCCGATCCACACCAACTCAGACTGCTTGACGATGGTGACGCGGAGGTGGTCGATTTTCTACGATAGGGTCTTCATCAGAAGCTCCGATATAATTATACTTAGGGGAAGCCCCCAAGGTGGAGATTATTTTGTTTGCCCTCAGAGATGCTCCACCCCCGAAAGATAACCCACCTCAATTTTTGGCATGATTTGTTTTTTTTAAGAAACACAGAAGGATAGTTTACTTCTAGAAATTGCAAGGCCCTGGCCAATGGTGACCCAAGCAGGAATGGTGTTACGACTGAGAAGGACAGTTGCCTTTGGTTCATTGCCCCTCCTGGTGAACACAAGTTCCACAGCTCACAGAATCTAAAAGTAGCATTTTTTCAACTTTCTTTACTGCACACTGAAAATTAGCTTACTCCTTATTTTTACCTTATTTACTTTTAATTTTAGGTGGGCTACCTTTCGGAATATTACAGTAGTGGTTTTCGATTATGCTAAAGAAGTTTCTGATTTTAACCATGCATATCTCTATCTTAAATAATGAAAAAGTTATTTAACAAATTTTAGTTAATTCACCGACTCATCGTCACGATTATCTGCCTATAGTACGTCCCCCTTGCCATATAACTCACCTGCACAGACCGCATTAATGTAGCTTTCACAGCTTTCTCAAAACAAATAAATAAAGCCTTAAAAAAAAAAGAACGCTTTGCATATTATGCATAATTCTTTCATTGTGTGCTTGAAATAATTCTGACAGTATACTAAGCAAATACTTTTCATAGAAAGCTTGAGTCTAATTATGTATGCAGATCGAAAAGGTTCCAGGCCAGGTGGAGAATAAAAATCTATAATTTTAAACCATGGTTCAAATCATGATTTATACCATAATTTAAATCATGATTTAAATTGTGATTTAAATCAGACTAGTAGTTTTTCTGTGATGATTTAGATCAAACTTTTCCTCCAAAAAAATCCCAAGAATGTATTTTTATTTACCATTTGCTTATCGTTTGATGTTTTCTATGTGCGTTCGTTTTTATATTTAAATAAAACAATCATCAAGCAAGAAAGATTTATATAAAACTAAAGGCGAGCACAAAAGTGCTCTTCTAAAAAAATCGGAGCGTTGAGCTTAATTTCTAAAATAAACAATGTTTGCCAGCTACGTAACGTCCTATTGCAACAAAATCGGAATGCAAACGAAACAAAAACAAACTAGAAAAGTTACGTCCTACCACAATCAAGTAAGAACTCGACTAGAAAGATCAAATGAAGTTCTATAACTAATAACTAAAAAATATCAAGCTGTTTTTGTTCTAGTATGCAAGGATTACAGCAAAATAATGTTGGTAATTAAACTGCATTCTACATCCACGGTAATTATTTCTTCTAGATTGTTATCAGTGATTGGACAAATTGATCAACCCATATGCCATGCCAGAAATACATCTAGCGATAAAGAATCACTATTTTCTGGCTACAGAAATTTAAACCAAATTAATCCGATTTAAATAAAATAAATCGGATTTAAATACGGTGCCAGAGGACCCTTTCGTGGCAAACGGTTGTAGCACACTCGACGACACTCAAAAGCAAATGTTCGAGCCATCCTCAAACATTCTGTTCCGTCGCGTTCTCCCCCAGTTTGCTGTTCCGGACCGGGTAGACGTGGAGGGGCTGCAACACGAGGCCAGTCCTCACCGGGTCTTTGTGTTTGTCGCCCTCAATTCGAGCCAGTCCGACGTGCTCTTGCCAGTGCACCTGAGGTACCACCGCGCCCGCCACTGCCACAAGGAGGGCGCCTTCAGCACCGTCATTCTTCGTCCGCCGGCATTCCACTTCAGGTTCCCAGACTCGGGTGGGTGAACCCTCGCAAACGTCGAAAACGTTCCAGACGGGCGATGCTACATGCGACGGGTGGTGGCGACGTTGGAAAAGGGGTTCACCTAACGGAAAGGATGCTGGGAGGTGCAGGCGAGCTGACGAAACAGTGGCGTTGCGGAAACCTGAAATCAAGAAGTAGAGAGGGAAAAATATTTTTGCGGTTTGTCCCTTTTCGCGTTATCGTGGCCTCTGCTTTTCACAGTGTTGTTTGGCCCCTCGCTCTTGCTTGGTGAGCACCTTTGGTCCTTGTCCCAGCTGTGGTCCTTGAAGGCTAGGAATGATATCGGCAGCCGGTTTATACTCTCAAAGTTAGGTAATATGTTTTATGTGCATCTCATCTGCAGCTTAATGTTGACGGCGTACACTTTACTTCTAATGAGGACTTATTGGATGTACAGTTCTTAACCTTTTTGTTGGTACCCCCCTTGCAGTGCTGGGAGAAACTTCTACTAGTCCAAAAGACCCTAAGCTAATTTGGCACTTGCATGTTTTACGTGGCATCACGTGCACAGCTGCACCAGTGTGCGCCACATATAGTTTGTTCATGTGCTCTAGCTTAACATGTCCACGACTGTACACTGGATCAACCTTACCATGCAGCGGTGAAGCAACGTACTTACAAATAGTGATGTAAATTTTGGAGCAGCAAACAAAACTTTTGGAACATGAGTGCACACTTCATTTTCATTCATACCACTTCAAATAGTATGTTAAAATTAATCTTTTGGCCTTTCCAACCAAAAGGCAATGTCCACTTTACCTTCTCACTTACATGCGACCCTTTTGTAGCATTGATTGCACAGCAGGAGTGATTACCTCAAACTTAGAACACGGTTTACTTGCGTGGAGAAGCACCAGACATGGTAACAACAAGATGACTCATGAAGGACAGCACAAACTGCTGTGAATGGTTATTTTAGGTACTGAATTCCACTGAAATGTTAGAATACAATAATTTTGAGCACCTCTAGAGGTTGTAACATAAGTGCAATATATAATTGAGATAAAAAAAATAAAAAAACACTTCTCATTTGATTATAAATGTAAATTACATTTTGTATGTAGCACTTCATAACAAAATTGGTATGTGAATTATTAATATGCCTTCTTAAAAACAATCCCACCAAACTACTTAAGGTTCTTCCCAAGCTTCCATACACTGCTCCTGCCAATTTAGTTCCAACTTACTCGCATTCATATAAACTAAACTTTCAGAAGAGTGCATATATAAGCCTTCTTGCAATACCAAAGCATACTTGCTAAATCTCGGACTGAAAAAAGGTACTGGCAGGATATCGCGCAATCCATCATATATATAAGGTTCTGCGTTTTCAGATTAATTCGAAAACACTCGCCGGCAAAATTTCTTTCTATTCGGATTTACTCGGAAAACTATCAATTTTGACATTACGATGGAAAAACAAATAGCAAAAAATGCAGTGTCTTAAATATAAATAATATAAGAGCATAGGGACAGTTTTCCTGAGGATAGGCCAATTTAGATTCCTTTAAAATCTCAAACAACTGAATTTTGAAAAATTTGGAAGAAAGTAAAAGTAGACGTAGAATTTTAAAGAATTGAAAATCTAACAAAAATATACCCTGATGAACCCCAAATTTTGTGTGAAAAATAAACTCCAAGAGGACACCCTCCGAATTTCACCAGAATTAAACTCCAAAAACGCGGAATCCTATTAACTGAAGTTGTATTCAGAATGCAATTGTGTCGCGCTTCGGCCTAGAAGAGCGTTTTCCCCCTTAGCACGCAGGTCCGCTGTGGCAAAGCGAGACACGCAAAATCGCAATGCCTGTTTCGCAGTTGTCGCTTCTCTGCAGTACACCAGTGCGCGATGAGCACACTGCTGCACCTTGGACATGAGAATTATTGCGCAACTTTCGAGTACCGTCAGTCGTTGATACGAAACGCAATAGAATAGTATGCTATTTGAGGCGATAATCAAAAGTTCTGAAAACTTGCGTAAGCCTATCGTAACAATCCGGCTGGGTGGCGAGGCCCGAGCTAGTATATTTTCAGTATTAAAGCAAAACTAGGCTTTGGTGCAATGTTGGTGCAAATTCATTGCATTTTACTGTAATGTAGCAGAGTAAGCACTTTGGCACAGCAATCACATCACTGCAAATGGACACGTCTCGTGGCGTCAAAGAGGTCCACTCTCGATAAAGAGTCTCTGTACCACCATATTGAACAATATTCCTGAGCGTTATGAGAAATCACTGCTGTCGTTTCATGCTTACTCCGCATGTGCAATCTTGCAGAGTTTGCAGACGACTGCGAGGAACTGCATAGGCTTCCCTGCAGCCACTATGACCTGGAGAAGACGTGCGCCTGGAAGCGGTTTCACATTGACGGGGTGAGCCAACATCCAAAAGTGCCGATGGCACAGCAGAAAAGGTCTATCCTTAAAAAGTCGAGTTTGGGGGAGCTATCGGACAAGAAGGGCTAGACTTTCCCCATCTGGGTTCACAATAGGCGTGTTGGAACCTTAGCCATTATGATTACTGCCTCTAATCAGAACCCCCCATCCGCCGGGGGTTTAGGGGGGAGGGGGCGGTATTGAACGATTGTGATGACAAAAGGGTAAATGAAGGAAACTAAACTTGGCGTCAACTACTTTGTGATACATTGTCAAGGCTAGGGTAGCTTCCGCAGTGCTCCAACTCTGTCAACTCTATGTAGAACAAGCGCACGTGAATGAGGCGCGAGACGAAGCCACGTACTCGCAGCAGTGTGTGGTGCTGCAGCACTGTGGAAGCTACGCTAGCATCAACAATGAAGCAGACAATATTCGACGCAGAGTATGAATGCATGGAAAAAAACTTCGCAATCCCGAGATGAAGAATAATCGACCCAACTCGCTCAGTGCACAAGGTTTCCTCCATTTAGCTTTGTGTGGCAGCTGGTGCCAATTAAAAAAAGTTTGTGCTCGGCTAACTGATGGTCCAAGGCTGTAGTTCTCAAACGGGGGTGCGCGGACCCTTTGGGGGTTTCAGAGACCTTGTGGAACCCCCATTTGAGAACCACTGCTCTAGCGAAAGGTTTTTAAAAAAAAATAACTCGCGTAGCTCAAGACTAATGCCACTAGCGTAATATCCCGGGCTAGCTCACATAAAATAGAAAAAATCTCGTAAAAATAAGGAGTGGGCTAACTTTCGGCGTACAACCAAGTAGAAAAAACACTACCTATTTTTAGAACATGATTTATTTGCCACACTTGTTATTGCGGCGAGGGACAATGAAGCGAAAATGACTGTACTTTATCACGCTATCATGTTTACAGACGCGGCACCGCGGGCCTCTATGGCACAAGCTGCTGCCTTTCTGCGGTGGCACGGCTCGCCAGAGCCAAATAAATAAAGACTAAAGACTGTACTCCTCAGTCAGCAATGTTTGCTTATATCCCACCATAGCTAACTAGCTGCATTAACGCCGAGGTCATCGTTGATCCAAACACTATATGATTACTGGGGGTGGGCCATCTTTCTGCAAACAAGGCCAAAGTCTGCAGGCACGAGCAGGTTGCTCCGAACAATGCTTGCACTGCACAAGCATGCACGTTCAGCAGGGATGCCGAAAGCCCGGAGCTTGGTTTCGTAGCTTCCGCCACGCCCGCATACGCCAAGCGAAACGGAGTACGGTCCACATTCAATATTTGAAGCAGTGGTTAGGTGCGCCCAAAGATTCCGAGTCGGCGGAGCGTGCAACGCGGCTCAAGAAAGTCTCGGGGGGCCTATCGTAAAGCTCCCGCGACGCGTCCCATCGTTCCTCGCAGGTGGGAGACCTCCAGGCGGAGGTGCCCGTCGGGTGCCTGGAAGACAGCTTCGTGGTGTCCACCGTCACGCTAGTCACATACAGTCTGTGTTCCGTCGCCGTGGCCTACTTCGTCGTCATCCACGGAAAGAAGCGGCGCCCGGACTAGATCAGAGTCACTAAACGGGCCACGCTTGGAATACCGACGACCCGTTCCCCCTCCTAATGGGTGCCGCCATTTTGTTACCTCGTGCAGAGCAAGGGCAATAGACCCTTCAAAACCCTCTCATTGGGCAACACGGGCGGTCCCCACTGCTCGGGCACGAAGTGCGTGGTTGGATTGACGTCATCGATGAATGACGACGCAGTGCTCGTCTTCGACGCAAGCCGACCTCGCGCCGAACGGTGACGCAGCTCTCGCACACAATTCGCCTTTTGTCGCGGGAGTTGAAACTCGGTAACGCTGGCAAATGCTTTACTAGGGGAATACGGGACTCTCTTCTCGTTTTGATTAGACAGAATGACGGCGGTGTTGAATCCTCCCCTGGTGGAGTGGTTTACTTGGCGATGCCTTCCCCCCCCCCCTTCCATCTCCTCTTGCCGCTTGCCCCAGGACACGCGAAGGCGACTCCTTCAAATGCTGTGCGGTTGACGGGGCCGCGGATGCAAAGACTGTAGCAGTGCCGCCGTCATGTGCGTTTTTCCGTTGTCGACCTTTTTGACGTATTCTCAGGGAGTGTCCCGATTCCCCTTGTAAAGCGTTTGGCGTCAGTGTGCAGACAGCCCTGAAACATGGTGACTGGACATCCCGTTTTAGAGGTTTATTTCTGTTGTCCAGACTTCTAGGTCTAACGAAGCCTCATATCCCGGTTTCATGGAAAAGTGCACAATGGTCGCAAATAGTGCTAAGCGAACGGATGAAAATTGAAAAAAATGCATACTTGTCACAGACGCAAATGCTATAAAAATAAGCATACCATGAAACATACCGTAGTTGCGTCTGGTCATACATTTTGCACATAAACGTGTGTGCGGGAGACTCGTATATTACTGAATTTGACAGACTTCTGCTGGCAATATTTATTCCTCATTGATAAAAAATAGAAGAAAACCACTTGTGATCTCGAGGAAGAACCTTCGAAAAATATGCGCGTTTATATTTCAGTGAAGCGGACCTTTTTTTTTTCCACCTCCTCCGTGTCCAGTTTTTTTTTACTCCGAACACTGTGGTCACCCTACTTAAACACTTTCGGTTCTGAACAAAACGGCGGGTTATGTAGCATTTGAGGGATTAAATCTATGCACTCTCTTTGGGGAATGATCGCTTATAGCACAGCAAGATGCAATTCTCTCTTGTGGTGAAAAAATGAGAAAAAAAAAAAAAAAAATGCAGACGGCCCCACCGAGTTTGTTATACAAGGGCAAGCGAATACGTGCTCCAAGTGTGTGCCCACTAGACTGTGTGCACTTTTGAAAAAGGGTCCACCAGCCGCTCGTAGTTGGGGAAGGTCCAGAGAAGGGTGTTCTTGCTCGATATAATTTATTTCTTTTTTTTTTTTTTATCCATACAAATAACATGTTTACAACATTACACATTTCTGCGACACAATGGAGGGACCTCCCCCCGTTTTCTGTTCCGAAAGCATCCCGACGACTCCAGTCCGTTTCGTACCTCCGCAAAAATGGGATTAAAAACCACAGGCGTTCTTGCGTCGGCCGGGGATTGGCATTCTGCCAGTTTTCGCTTGGCCAGGGACGGGCGTTTCGCCAGTTCCCGCGAGGCCAGCAGGTGTTTGCCGTGGACGAACGACACAAGGTTTTTGGCCAAAACCAAAGAGGAAGAAAAAAACGATCGCCTACACTACCCGCTGCACTTAGAAAGCACGGAGATGGCAAACGTTGGGGGGAGGGGGTGGTAGATGTTAATGGCTTATGTACAAGGCGTGCGCTGATGTAGTATACACCCATGATATTGCAGCTCGACGAGAGAGACTGACTTGTAATAAAGAAAAAAAAAAAAGATAAGAATGTTGCATTTTTTTCTTGTTCTGCATCTGCTCGCATTTTTTTTTTTTTTTTTTTTCCTTTGTACAAGGCGCACTTTGGATCTGCTGCACGGCGTCAATGCTTCGAGTGATTCCAACAAAACATACAATCTTGTACTTTCTGAGGGCTATGCAAACTTTCTGTCAAACCAAGTTACATTTAACTATTGTTGACCCCTTTTCTGTTGCGAAAGTTTCGTTGTCGGAGCAAAGTATCTACACTACCATGCACTGTACTTTCATTTTACCTCCAGAAAAAAAAAAAAAAAAAAAAAAAAAAAAAAAAAAATTGGCAATGGAAATTATGCAAGAATGTGTCTGGCCAAGTAATTGAACATTGGCATTTTTTTTTTTTTTCAGTAGTGTTAGATTCTACTAACTTGCTACATAACTTAGCGTTTCGTTTTACGAAACTTTTTTTAAATTTAAAGCCAGTTTAAATCTTTGTACCGGCTGCACGCACTGCAACTGCCAACACCAGCGACCCCAATTATGTTGGCTGTATACTGCATGGCAACCTGCTTCTCAACCGACCAATCGAAAGTCAGCAGAGTCCGCTTCAGTGCTCCCATTGGCTCACGATTGGTCGGTTGCGAGCGATGTGGTCAATGCATCTATGCTACTTGCATTAGTCTAAACATTGATCCATGGTCTATGACGGGGCAGTTGCAACGAATGCTAATAAATGAACGCCTGAGCTGACTTTCGGAGAACACTTCAACACATTTCATTTGCAAAGTTCTTCAAAAAGACAAGTTTAGCTCTACTTGAAGTAACTGCCTTCATTCTATTGTTTATTTTTTCAAAGCCTGATGGCAGGGTTTTACGAGATGCTTTACTTTGTTTGGCAAGCTGAAAATCCTCTTTAATTTTTCTGATAAGGTAGACAGAAGACACACACCAGAGGTTGGCCTGCTCCTTTGTAACAGATATGGAGCCGATTGTGTGACCTGGCGCCGGCTTTAGGGCTAGCGATGGCTCGCGGGAGTTTGTGGGGATAAAACCAATGTTGCCGGGCAGTTTCTGCTTACGGTCGAGAGTCGAACAGTTTCATTTCTCCGGGACAATCTGTACACGTGCTGTACGCATGATGAGAACACCGAGAGAAAAACAGGTTGCGTAAGACAAAGTAATAACTGTCAAGCGGATGATATGAAGTGAGGAAAACGTTCTTATACCCTTCGCAGACTCAACAGAAAAAAAAAGTACCTGAAAATTAAATTTTAATGAGGGACGCCCACAGCATGTTTCATCTTTGTTATCCAGTGCATCTGTTGCCAATTGATTTGCAGAAAGAAAAAAAAAATGATGACATAAATAAGATAAATATCAGCAAACAGACAATGGCAACAAAGAGAAATCTTACATTTTTTTGTAACGAATTCAAGGTTAAAACCAACGACAACGCAACACAAAAAAGTTTTCACAGATGTGTTCGTCTCCTACAAAGGGATCCAAATCCGCAATGTTGCATGCAATGCATTCGCATAGAAGTTCTTCGATTATCTACAGCTCAATCAAGAAAAACATTCTAAAGATGCCCCCACAAAATATTATGCAAAAAAAAAAAAAAAAAGCAAACGCAGAGTACGGTGGTGATTTACGGGATGCAGGTAAAATCTACCTACAAATAAAAAAAAACTGGAAAGGGAAAAAAAAAAAAAAAAAAACAGTAAAGGTGCGTTGGTATGTGGTTGCAATGGCAATGAATAATCAATCTCCCTCTACACTATGTACACACGCTCTTGACATGGTAACAGACGGCGCAATGACTGTTCTGTTTTCCCACGTCGTCACTTGCGCCGTCTGCTGATGTCGTTTGCCAACGTCGCCTGCAGCGTCGAAGTAGATGCACTGCATGGTTCGCCACTTATATTAGTTCGGGGTAGCGGCGACTGCAGTGTCCTTCGCCACAGTTTCGCAGGTGTCTGCCGCGTGATGCGGAGCTCATCACGTGATGTTCTCGCGGAACACCTTGATCTTGTGGACGAAGAAGGCCTCCAGCACCTCGGCGCACTGGTAGAAGGGCGAGTTGCGCGGGTTGTAGTAGCGGCAGTTGTCAAAGATCTTTGTCATGTCCCCGATGAACTCGCTCAGCTTCTGGTACTGCCGGGACTGCAGGCGACGCTCGATCGTCTGCAGGTCTGGGAGGCGCGCAAACGAGGAAACGTGCATCAATACCTTCTGAATAGAGATGTTCAAACATACGAAACTTAAAATAATTTTCCAATGTTTGCTATTCGATTCGATTCAGACAACACTTTTATAGCTTGACGTATTCAAGGTTTTTTAATATCCGAAAATTATGAATAATGTCTTCAAAAGTCTCGTGGTGGGCTGACCCCTGAGACAGTGCAATACCGGGCCAACCCGTGAGAAAGGTGAAGCAAGCTCCAAGCACTTAGCTACAATAAAAAAGAGGTAACAAAAAGGGTCCAAATAAGATTGGCATTAGATATTATGGTGATTAGAAGATTCGGACTATTCCAAATAAATAATGTAGTCATTGCTCTGCTTGCCATGTTACATTTTGTTTTGCCCCACATATCTTTACACGGCTTCGTTTCTAAAGGCCAGTACCGTATACACTCGGATAATGAACACACCTTTCCCCCCGAAAAATCTACACATACATATTTAGTTTATTACACAGGGTAAAATTTTAGCATTACATTCCCGTTGTTGCTCCTTCCACGGATGCTGCGATCATGATAATGCGTGCCACCAGGGTAAACACAGCAATTTGCGAGAGGCACCTCGGAAAACGCCAACGACTGCGGAGACGTGAAACATCCTATGGCTGCTTCGAAACAATGTAAAGTGTAGCAATGGTGGCAGTGTTCTTGAAATTCCTGGAGCAGTTCGAGGGCTGATGCCAGGATGAAATTATCGGTAAGCTCCACTTACTGTATTTACTGGAATATAAGTCGACTATGAATATTAGGTCAATGCCTTTATATTGAATTCGCCAAAAATAAAAAAAAGTAAAGAAATTCACTATAGATTGTCCTTTCTTTTACTTTTTAAAAAAAAAACAGAGGAAAGGAAGGGCAAAAGAATGAAACAAACCTTTATTTACAGCGCTCTCAGCTAAATCACAGCGCAATGCTAAAAACCTAATCATTGACAGAACTTCCGGACATGTCATTGTCGTCGGAAGTTTTGTTGACATCCTTACGATACCTCACTGACACCATGGCAAGGAGGGATCGGTGGCCGAGTGGTCTAGGGCACACCAGCTCGGAGCACCTGGAGCGAAAGCTCGCGCTGCAGAACCCAGGGATCCTGGGTTCAATCCACAACCCTGCCCGTTTCGATCTGAATGAGCATCATACCAACGTGGGGTTGTGTATCACTGCTGCATGTTGCAGGTTAAAGACCCTAGGCTAGCGGTTGTACTGCTCTGGCTAAATTGCTCATCCACAGCTGAGAAACAAGTCGCTCATTGACGGCAGACTAACTTTAAGGCTGTAGAAACATACCCACAACCAATTTTTTTTTTTGTTGACACCGTTGCAGAGTGGCAACAAAAAAACGAAAGAAAGTGGAGATTGGCAAAGCAACGAAAGACCAAATGTAATAATGCGAGCCGCCGTGAGCAACAAGAAGTGAAACCTCCGTATTTCTTCTTTTTGCTGCGCATCCGCAAGGGGGGGGGGGGTCAATGTGCGGGGAGTGTCGCGTCCCCTTTCTGTCCTTGCATCGCGAGGGGCATGCGTGAGCGGCACGAATTGCGAACTGGCAAGAAACCCGACGCCCAAAGGCTGCACGCAAGCGGCGGCCAGTCGGCTGCTGCTGTTTCGGTTGTTTTTTTTTCACCAAAAGCTTCCTGAAACAAGAAGCAGCGCGGCGCTACGGCGATGCCGGCTAAGTGACTTGTTAGTTCCATGTTCTCAGTAGGGTCGTGAAATTTGGTCACCAATGTAGGTCAAACTTCTCTGATCAAGACTGTAGGTCAACCCTCAATTTTTGGCAGCATTTCCGAAAAAAAAAAGAGGTAGACTTATATTCGAATAAATACGATAATTATTTTTTTACTCGGTAAAGCTGCAGCAAGATGTTCATAACCAAGGTTTGTTCGATTGAATATACTGGCCAGAGTGTTGTGCAGTGTCACCGTCCACGTTCAAGACTGCAGGCACAGTTTTTTCGGCTCTATTGCTTTTATCGAATTCCGTTGACTCCGTTATAACGAGGGATTGCTGTATGAAATGTTTCATAAAAACTTTCTTTTCATAGACATACTTGCTAACAGGAATTAAATGCAAGAACGTTACATTCGATTCGCAATCAAAATTTCAATATTCGCACGCCTCTAATCCAACGGCTGCGTCAGTGGTTTCAAAAGGTGGAGGAAGCCGCGCTCACCCATGGGTTCTTTGATGATGGTGTAGTAGTCCGGCGCCTCTTTCGCATCCACCGGCTCCAGGAACGGCCAGGCCATCTTGTGAGTCTGCAATCGGGGCGACGCGACAGACACAAATGAGACGACGATTAAAACCTTAGAAGAACGAAGAGAAAGACGAGAGCTCGACTCCGAAACCCAGTCACGACGACGGCCGGTCGCACGCTTCCTGCACCATGTCCCTCCCAAGTTCCCAGACGCTGCAAGCGCGCGACCACGATGCCTGCAGCGCGTCTCCGACCACGTCGTGTTTACCGCGCTTTCGAACGTGGGCCTCAATTTCCATTAGACAACGTTGTAGAAGCGTTGCGCCTTTGCCCGGCGGGACCCTAACGGTGGTGCGGCGGCGGAGGTGGGAGCAGCGGCCGACCACTCCGCTGCTAGTCCCTCCCCAGCCACAGGGAAACCAAACTGGACACGAGACGGGATGCAACAACAGCAACCCTCGCCTTTCACGCGAAGATTTCTACGCCCAACCGCCAGGATCGCGTTGTCCAACGACTCAACGTATCAGCCCTCGCGACAAGATCTGTCTTCACTTTGAGACCGCTCTCAGCTTGGCGGTCGAAGACACATCCCGGACACCGTGACGCGACGGGCAACCGACGGCGGAAGCGTTTGCGCACCTGGAGGCCCTTGAGCAGCTTGCGCAGGTTGTCGAAGTCCCTGCCCTGGAGGGGCTTGAGGTTGGCCTGGTTGATGTTGCTGTTGCGCTGACACGTCGGGCAGATGTACTCCTCGATCGAGTCCGCCTCGCTCTGCAGGACCCCGACGCAGCGCCCGTGGAACCAGTCCTGGCACTGGTCACAGCAGATGTAGAACCTGGGATGCAAGCACGGACAAGAGCTTCACGTCTCCGCTCGACCCAGGACCTGCAACCGCAGGCACGTCAAAGGGCGACGGACTCACTGAGATTCGTCGTAGGGCTGCCGGCAGAGGCAGTACAGTTCCTGGGTGGACGTCTTGTGGTCGGTGCGGCACTCGTTGCACACATACTTGTCCATGGCCTTGGCCTGCACCTCCGTCAGGCCGATGCACTTGACGTGGAACCAGTTGGAGCACAGGTCGCAGCCAATCATGAACCTGCGCGTACATGCCGCTCGTTAACGTTCTGGTGCACCGTTGTTGCAAGAGGAGTCGTAAACATGCAGCTATCAATTACTTTTCTAAAATCTCAAACCTTGCCAGGTTCTGCCTGACGACATATATTTCGTCGTAAACTGGAGGGAGAAGTCCTAAAATGACCGACAGAATATTCAAGCACCATCGTAGACTGTGATCTTTTGTGAGCTTAAACAGAACGACAAGATATGCATGTGGAAGCTTCCACCAATACTTGTAGGGTAAGTAGGCTTACAACGAATAAAAGTACCAACGCACCGAGAGAATTGCGTTCAGACACGAGTTTATGAAGAAACATTTATCTGAAAATTTCCCGACTCTTGCAAGTTTTTTTTTCCTTATTCCCCGAGCTCTTACGAGGCGAGCAAAATTCCCCAATAATTCCCAAGCTCTGTAACAACTAATAGAATTCTCCGACGGTTCCCAATAGCCGATCCGCTAGATTCCATCGTAATTTGCGAATTTCCTCATAAGTCATCCGATTCACCGGTAATAATGGACCTTCCACATAGCCAGATGCCTTGCACCGACGATCCGCATACAGACAACTTCCGCGCAGCCGTCGCCATTTCTAACGGCGACGAAAGCGAAAAGGATGAAGCTTTGGGTCGGTGAATGACCGGTGCAAGACGCACCGAAATTACGCAAGCTCGCTCAATGTGCGACGACAGCGTCGCGCGTTTTTCTCTGGCTGCGACAACGGCTTCGAGTGATTCGGACGCGAGTGGAGCTGCCGACTGATCGACCTCGAGTCACTTACTTGGAGGGGTCATAGGGCTTCTTGCAGACGCAGTACAGCTTGTGGTGGCCCATGGTGGCCCCTCCCCCCGCCCTCTGCTTGGGGTGCCCGCCCATGAGGACACCCCCTCCCAGGGCCGGGCTGGGGCGGGGGGCCGTCGGGGCGGGTCCCCGGTTGGCCCCGCTCGTCAGCTTGGGCTTCTTGGCCTTGCTGCGGGCCGCCACGGGCGAGGAGCCCTCGCTCTCGCTCGACTGCGACACGGCGCGCTTGCGCGATGCCGTCTGGTGCGGCTGCTGGTGTTGATGCTGTTGCTGCTGCTGCTGCTTGTTGCTCTCCAGGGTCCGCATCACCTGCGGCGGTTCGGAAAACGGCAGGGCTCGAACGTCAAGCAGCAAGGTGCTTCGCAACCTCTGGGCGATAATGGAATACGAAAACTCTTCTCTTCAGTCTAGTTTCTTTTAATGTATGCACTTTGTTAAGGAGGAGGGAAAAATGTGTTTAAAGAGAAGGAAAAAGTATGGTCATTCTTATCTCCAGAAAAAAATTTTTGTGCTTGTAAGAGCTACTTTTTCAAACAATAGACCCTTAGAACATTGGTACTCAATTACCGGTGCTTCAAGGACCCCTACTGAATTGGCGGAAGTGATAGGGGACCCTGTCCGCCAAAATGGAGGGTGGTGTCAGACGACTACGACAACAGAAGTGCAAATCGAGAAAACTAAATGCGTGCGGAGCCACTTCGAAGCTCTGAAACGAGAATAATCAACCATACTCGCTCGGCACGCATGGCTTACTCTATTTAGCTTCGTGGGACAGCCAGCGTCAACAAAAAAGAAATTGATTTTTTATCGCTCGGCTTGACCGACGGTCGAGGGATTCGGGGAACCCGAGAAGGCCTTTGAGGACTCGAAGGGTTCGTAGACCCCCATTTAAGAACCACCGTGAAGCTACTCCTTCCAACTGTAAAGCTAATGCTTTAACTGTAAAAACTGTAACTGTAAAGTTAATCATTACAATATTTGTTTGCAAAAAAAAAAAAAAAAAACTTTTTTTTAGTGTGTACATTTTGATAGAATAACAAATAAAAATGATCGTAAATGCACATACAATTCCCCACATCAATGGGGAAGGCAGGAATGCACCGCGAGAACCAAAATTTATTCCTTGAAGGGGAGACGAGTACAAAAAGGTTTAATAAATAAAATGGAACAAGCTTGGGGCAAGGCCGAGCGACCGGACGTCGATCTCACCTGTGCAACCTTCTCTTGCGGTGGGATGCGAGGTGTCACGAGCGACGCCGGAACAGACGGTTGGGCGGCGGCCGCCGCCGCCGCTCGCCGCTTCACGTCCATCTGGAGCTCCGACTGGAAGGAGAGCGGAGGGTTGAATCTCAACACCGGACAACATGAAAAGATTACTGGATGCAACGCGGCAAAAAACTCTTTCTGCTGTAATAAATGAGAAAAAAGACGGGGCATCATGACGCTTACAGAGTCCAGGGAGCACAGACAAACCACACTCAATGTGTTGTTCCTGCAACACTTAATCTTTCTATATTTCTTATTTTATCTATTTATTTGTTGCTATTTAAAGGGATAGTGAATCGAAACCTGAAATACAGTCGAATCTCGTTAATTCAAACTCAAGGGGACCGAAAATTTGAATAAAGCAAAGTTTGAGTTACCGGGAGTTCGCTCCCATAAAGACGCATAGGATGGGATCTGCATGTTAGTTCGAATTATCCGCAAGTTTGAATTAACGGGATTCGACCGTATAAAGAAAACAAAAATATAAATCGAATGGGATCAGCTAAACCTGTAATTGATAATGGCATGGTTGTATTTTAAGCGGATCGCCATATTTTTCATTCTAAACGATGGGATTTCGGCGAGCGCTTCATAATCAGCCATAGAAGAGCACGATGCATCTCGGTAGATCTGGCAGATCCGGTGCGGCCTTGACGTCACCGTGCCCTAAAGGGCCAAGTGTACAGTAGTTATAAGCTTTGCAACTTAGCAGCATCAATGCGTTACAATCTCGCTTAATCAAAATACCCTGGGGCTGTAGCACATCGCGGAGCTGGCGGTGCTGCCTCGAGTGTGTGATGGCCGACCAGTGCGACGAGAGCGGTGGGTATGATGACGACGAAGATGCCGCTACATCACCAGTGGCCATGATGGCCGAGAAGCGATTTGGCCTAATCGTATCTGTATAACCTGTCTGCCTTGTCTTTGTTGTCCGCAACAGATAACAAAGTTTATTCATTAAACTATCTTACTACAAAACCTAAGAAGAAATTCATATTCATGATGAGAAATTATCGCAAGTTTTTCGTAAGCTATGATGAAATTTTACGACCATGCCTACGACGTACAGCTCCAGAGGTTTATGCACTTTTTATGATCAAATCCACATCGCCGGCAAAATCGCTTGCTTACGTCGTCATGACAACCAACGTGCATTTCTATGTGCTCTCTGTGTCCTGACTTCAAGCAGCAAGAGACAAAAACTTTCAGCCTTTCCACTCTGGTGAAGAAGGAAGACCAGCAAAGCTGTACTATGGTGCGACGACCTCAAGGATGACTTGAAGGACGACGTCTAGGACAACTTCTAGGATGACCTCGAGGACGACCTCAGGGACGACGTCTAGGCCGACCTCAAGGACGATGTCTAGGACGACCTCAAGGAGGACTTCTAGGGCGACCTCAAGGAGGACTTCTAGGACGACCTCGAGGACGATGTCTAGGACGGCCTCAAGGACGACTTCTAGGACGACATCGAGGACGATGCCCAGAGAAATTCAGCCTCTCTATTCAGGTCAGAGTGGAAAGGTTGCCGCCATCTATGAGCGAGGCCGGCAAGCTGGTTGCTTGGTTGCCGACGTCACTCATGGATGGTGGTAGCTGTCCAGAGTTTTGTGTCGACATTTGTTTGGTACCGGACACGATCCTCGGAAACCTAGCCCTTAACAGCTCGGCTATAAAATAAAAGTATGTAAAACTGAACGCCGTGGCGGAGACAAATGCTGGAACCATGAATACTTAAAAAACCAACAACGACAACGATCCCACCGAACAAGCGAAAGCTAGGCTTAGCAAGGCACTCCAACACAACGTGGCTCCGATGACCTTGGACAAGACCATCTGCACGCGACCGGTTAGCTTGCTGTATGGAATATGTCCACGTGACCTTTGTGGACCCTTCTGGTATAAATAGTTGGAGCCCAGACCTCTACTAAAGGGCAAGAAGGTCAGTCTCTCCCCTTGTCGTCCCTAGCTTGTTTTCAGACGAAATAGACTCTCGTCAAAAAGGGATCACTCTCCTCGATTCTATCTCCTCCTTTACAACGGAGCTGTTAAGGGCTAGTTCCTCTACTATCGTGTCTGCGGACAAGTGGCGTGTTGACAAAACTCGAGCCAGTTCACCGTCTCCCCCTCACTTGCGTACGATGAGGAGAGTTGCCCATTCTGTTCCGTGCCAAAAGGGTGATAGGGCGTATCCAGTTAGGTTCTCTCTCAGAGCCTCCAGCGCGTGCAGCCTCTGCTTGCGACTATCTGAGCGACTTGGAGAGGGGTTGCGGGAGGGAGCAAAGAGCTTGCCTTTCCGTAAGGAAGTTCGACTGACGTAGTAGCACAACGGGGCGACGCTCAAGGGAGGAAGATTTTTTTCACCTCGGGCAGATGGTACTAGTAGAACTGAATATAGTACATCTTTGTCGATGATATTAGGTTTTTGACGCATTTACTCAGGTTAAAACAACAATATTTATAAAATGTAGCACTCGATTGAGCACATAATGGCACATCTTGCCAATTTATTACATTATACCCCTTGCGCGTCAAGCCACAGTTCCCATGACCGCCACCCCACGATGCAAATCGAGAAATGTTCCCGTTCTTTTCTTTGCTATTACATAACGGAATCGCAATATTTCAAAAGAATGAGGCAGTTTCTCCCTTCATTTTGGTAAGATAAACAATGTAAAAATTTAAAGCTGCAAATGCTTTCGACGTAAAAATTGTTGCATCACCCCAAAGAGATGAGCTCCAGAACTTGGTTTCCGTACCCCTACGAATTTATTTTTTTTTTCGTCCAAAACCTGCTGCTATTGACAGCACTTTTGCATTCAAATAAAAACACTGACCCATCCATATCAGCTGCACTAGTGGTTTGGTGGATGTAGCACCCGACTGCCACTGCACCAACCCAGGTTCGAGCCCCACCTGGGGCTCGAAATTCACACGCCTAGAAACTGAAAGAGAGGAGGGGACGAGAGCGCGCAGACACGTCAGAACGCCGAGCTCTGGTTCGAATGACTAGTGGCTAGACGCAAAGCTAGCGGCCTCAGCTTCCCCTGCTATCGTCGAACGCGTTCAAATGCCGGAGCCAAACGCCGGATGCCAACATTCTAATGCACCCAACGAGTGCATTGGAAACGCGGGGGGGCTAGCTTTAGGCCTGCCCACTAATCATTCCAACCGGAGCTCGGCGTTCTGACGTCCCTGCATGCTCTCGTTTACTTTACACCTCACTTTTGCACATAGATAAAAGTTGTATATGACCGTATGTCTGCAACGCATCCAATGCGTCGCTTGTTCACGACGGTCTCTACAACGTTCGTTAGTGGCAATTTTCCCGGTGAAAACGTCGCATAAAACGCGTTCTGCGTTAAAAGTTACGCAAGGAACTTCAGGCGGCCTTCTGTAAAGAGGGCCTTTGAAGCTGCTAGACCCTCGCATGAGGATGTCTACTTGCTTCTGATATGAATTATCTCCACGTGGTGATCATTTCCTTGTCTGGGGTTCGAATGCCGAGAGGTACGACGGGTCCGCTTTTAGATGTGCCGTCGCAACTGTGGGTCGATGCACATTTGCGCCTGAAGAGAGAGCTTCCCAAGTTCTCGAAAACCGAGGACGACAGCATGTTTGAGTGATGCCATGTGCAATCAGAGGCACACACCTTCGGAAATACCTTACTTTGGGAGACAGTTCCAAGCTCGTTAAAGGGACACCAAACCGAAATTCAAAGCTCACGAAACAAACGGCTGGGGCGACAGGCGGGACGTTGCAAAACCCCATATCATCGCTCGTTTAGCGATGTCTCTAATGGATGGCCGTATTTTTGGGAAGAGAAGTGCACGGTTGAATGCGGCAGACGAGACATCTCGCATCGTTTTGTCCACTCGGGCAGGTGAACCGAAGCGAGAAAGAGAGAAGCCCCCTCTTGACCCATTCTCTACCGTTCCTGGAGAATTGCAAAGTCAAATGTCTCGCTTGATTGCGCTCTTCCTTTCCCAGAATACGGCCATCTGTTTGAGGTGTTGAGATATGAGCGATGGCTTATTTCGTGAAATCCAAATTTTAGTCTAGCATCCCTTTAAAACCCCTTGAAAATTCGACGTTTATCCAACGAGTTACTGGGCGTCAAAATTGCCTTCCTTCCTCTTTATTTTCTCGGGGCTCTCGTCCCTAGCCCTCTTTACGGCCGGGCACTACACCCGAACTTCTGCGCTCCTCTAGAATCGTTCTAGGCAACGTCTTTCTTTGACCCGTTGCCCCAAGCCACCACAACGGTCTCGATTTGCTCTGGGCACCGTGCCGACGTCGCAATGCCCGGTATGCATCTTCCAGTCGTTTGCTCGATGTCCCGTGCCATTGTTACGTTGGAAGCGGCCTCTGAGCGGCAACAAATTAAGTCTAGTTAGTGGCATGTTTAACAAATCGTCACAACCCTGGCAGTTCGTCATAGAAGTGATAACGAAGAAGGCAAGCCGGAAATTGGGAAGGTCCAAACCCCCGGCAGCCGAGGCGTTCGTGGAATGTGAAGCCGGAGGAGAGTGATCCAAAGCGGAAAGGGAGTCTGCTGCCATAACGACGCACGCCGCCCACCTGTATCTGAATCTGGAGCTCCTTCTCCATGAGGGCCCGCTTGCGCATGATCTCTCGGCGGAGGAAGTCCGTGTGCCGCACCAGCACCCCCTGCAGCTTGGCCTGGCAGGCCCGTGCCTTGCGCTCCTCCGCGGACTCCTTGGCCCGCTGGCGGCGCCCCGTCGTCTTCTCCTCCCGCTCTATCTTGTCCACTATGCCCTTCAGCACCTGCTGGCAGACCGTCACCCTGCGGGAAAAGAAGAGATGGCGTGTGAGGTGCAACATTTTGTCGTTTCCATGCTCCGGATACATTCGTCCGTGGAGAATTTGCGATCGGCCGGGCGGCTACGGTACCTCTCCCGCAGAAAATTTCCGGAAGAGGGACCATCTTCAGCGGGTGCTCGTTGCCTTTCGTTGCGTTTAGAGAGTCCCAAGCGACTCTCAAAGCATCCGATTGGAAAGTAAACTTTTGCAGCACGACGGAACATTATTGACTCGTGCCCACGCCTCGACAAACTTGCTCGTGAACTTGCGCCGTCACACTCATAACACCGCCAGAATTGTCAGTTCACGAGGTCGTTCGGGGTTGTTCACTATCACGCGTTGTTCTTGGGTGCCACTGTGAATAACCCTGAATGACCCCATGGACTCCGAAAAGCGTGTGATGCAATGGTGAGTGACATCATGAACTCTGAAAAGTTTGTGATAAAATAAATAGTGGCTTTTAGATTTCCCAATGCGACGGTGAGCGACTCGAATATTTCTGAGGAGAGCATGCTGCGATGATGAGTGACCGAACAAATTTGATGGGCATGATGACGCGACGGGGACGAGTGCCTGATGTGGCAACACTGCATCGCACCATGGGCAAGGAATTTGGCTGAGCTTCTGGATGTTGGACAAGAGTTTGACTTGGCCGAACTGCACTCGACGGGCAATAGATTTTTGAAACGCTGATGCACTTTGCAATGTGAACATGGTGCGGAATTACTGGGCTTCAGATGTGCAAATGTGACGGCGAGTTAATTATTTGATGGCAGCGGCAATGTGACGGGGTGAGTTTTTGGTGCAGCTGGACCCCTTTTGGCTGTCAATGTGCTTTGAGAAATGGAAGTGACGTGAATGTGATGGGCTTCAGATTTGAGGCAATGCGACGGGGAGCGAGAGGGTTCCGAAATTCCGATCGATGCCCACCTCTGTCCCTCGTCCTTCTGCTCGGGAGCCTTGGTCTTGGCACCTGGTGAGGGACCACCGGCGGGGCCGCCCGCCGACGACGAGGAAGAGGACGAAGAGGAGGACGATGAAGAGGACGAGGATGAGGAGGAGCTCCTGCCGGCCGCCGTGGCCACCGCTGGCGTGCGCTGCATCTGCTGGTGGTGGCGCTGCAGCGCCAGCAGCTTCTGCTGGATCTCCGGAGACGTCTGGGGGTTCATCAATGCCTGACGCACGACTGTGCAGAAGGACACAAAGAGGCGGACGCTCGCACGCTGCTGGGAGTATGGTCACACCTACTTGCCACAAAATGCTTGCTTCGCAACGGCTTTCTTGTCATGTGACCTTATGTTTACCTATGACCTTGACATCCCAATCTAACATGGTAGCCGTTTACCTGATTCAAATGACACTGACACCTTTAAAATTGACTCCCAACAAAACAGCTTGCTCTGACAAATACTTCTTGTACTTTTCAATTTAAGATGGTGGCTGTTTACCTCTCTCCAATGACACCTTGACCCTACAAAGTTTGACGTCTTGTAACAAAACAGCTTGCTTTGCAAATGCTTCCTTGTTATGACCTTATGCTTACCTAAGACCTTGAGCTTTCAATCAAGATGGTAGCCGTTTACCTTGTTCAAGTGACACTTTGACCCTACAACCTTTGACATTGACTTGTAACAAAACAGACAGCTTGATCTGTAAACGCCTCCTTGTCCTATGACCTTAAGCTCACCTATGACCTTGAACTTTCAATCCAAAATGATGATCGCTTACCTTTTTGCAATGACACCTTGACCCTACAACCTTTGACAATGACTTGTTGGATAACAGATCGCTTTGCCAAGGCTTCCTCATCACATGACCTTGTGTTTACTTATAACCTTCACTTTTTAGTTCAAGGTGACAGCCATAAACTTCTTTTCAATGACATATTGACCCTTTGACTTGACCTCAGCTTGCCATAGAACACCTGCGTCTCGCAAGTGCTTCCCCTTTGCACCATTCGTTTGTCACAACCTTCCTGACCAACTGCCGTCGACAGAAACCACTCACTTTGCTGGGTGATGGCCGAGGTGAGCACAAACTGCTGGGGCGAGTTGGGTGGCGAAACCACGGGGGAGGTGAGGTCACCCTCTGCTTTTGTGGCGGCGGCTTCGGATGGCTTCGTGGCCGGATTGGTGGCTGCATCTGCTGCACTGGCCGCCGCCGCCGCACTGGCTGCTGCCGCCGTGGTCGGGTTCACCACCACTGCGCGTCAAGATGAAAAACTGTCTTTCACAGCTGCCATAAAAGCATTGCAGAAACGTCTTGAGAAACTCACAAAGCTAGTGAACACTGATGAGGTACCTTACGCTGCGGCCACACTGCACGCATATCATACAAAGGACAAGGTGTTCGCTGCAAACAGAAAGTCAGCATTGTCTGCGGATACGTCTCAAGGACGTTCGACGCATGTTTGTTTCGTACGAATGTATGCTTCAAACGTGTCACCAGACTGTATTAATGCGATAGCATTCCTTAGCTACTTCACCTGTTTTTCGCGACACGGTAAGTGGCCTTGGATGCGCCATGCGTGCGTGGCTGCCAGGCGTTTGCGGATGTCTTCCTAGAGGTCGTCAGAGAGGTCGTCCTAGACATCGACGTTATCATCGTCATCTAGGACCTCGCCCTAGAGGTAGCCCTTGAGAGCGGCCTAGAGGTCATCCTAGATATCGCACTCTAGGACATCGTCCCCGAGGTCGTCCTAGAGGTTGCCCTAGACGCCGTCTTTGATGTCGTACTCTACAACTTCGTCCTAGGAAGCACATAAGCCCGCACCGCGCATATGCAGACTGGCTGTACGCACACGTTCACATCTGTGCCCAAGCTATGGAGCAATTATTGGTTTCAGCCGAGCTAGTTGGTACATGGTCAATGATGGTGGTGAAACAGCTTGAACATTAAAACGATTAGACAGAGCCAGGACAAGGCACACACGCGAAGCTGCAATAATGGTGGGGAAACAGTTTGACCACTAAACGGTTACACAGAGACGAAGCAATCACACAATTTCGAGGTGGCGCGCTGCAGTCGCGCCGACGTCAATGATTGCGTCGTGATCTATCTATAAAATAAGGTGCTTGCCCAAAATCTGTGTCACGAGCCTCCTGACGAATGCCATCACTATTAATGCATGACCAACAATAGTGCCTTCTGAAGCCAATTTTTTGCGTGACATTTTTGCAGTGTGACCGCGGCTTGAGGGACTAACTACCCGGCGAAAAGAATTGCGGCACGAAATCTCTTCTTTTCCCGCAAAAGAAATGGAGGAGAATTATCGCGCTGACGGTACTCACCCTTGGAGGGGACGGCTGGTGCCAGCACAGTCTTGGTGGCCACCACCTGCTGTGCACCACCGGGGTTGGCCACCATGGTTGCCAGACCGGGGATGCTCACCGTGGCCGCCTGCAACCGAACCGTTGTCGCGGGCGCAGTGCCTCCTGCAGCCACCAGAGGCCGCACCGCTGCAGGGAGATCAGTAGAAAGCCCGTATTACAGAGAGCTCCCAACCGCTCTATCAGGGTCACGTGGTTGAGGGGCCACGTTTGCAATACAAGGTGCGAGGAGGTGCCCAAAGCGCAGGTCGCCTGCAGACGTCAATCTCTGCCAGAGGCGACTGCCACTAAATATTTTGAATAAAAAGCTTAACCTTAATGTCTTGTAAACAAGGTAAACGCCATATGTAAACATGTAAGAGCCATTCACCCATAACCATAAATGAGTCTACCTGACCACTCCAGGACAGCTAGAAATGTCCATTTTGAAATGTCATATTGATGTTTTCTTTATAAACCACAAGGTGCAAACTTGAGCAGTCTTTTTACCGCCGCCTCTCTTAAAGGGCTGTCCAAACGGGACGCATCTTCTGCAGTTCACAGCATTTGCAGTACCGGAAATTGAGATTTTCCTTTACTTCTGGTCTGCTTTGGCACATTTTGTTTTTTGCTGGGAGGAAAGCTTCCCTCCACTTCTGTGCTCATCATGTGGGACCCAACAGCCGCTCGCACGCACTGCTGGCTGTCGTAAAGGGCTCCACTCCGCCGATGTTGTCTGTCCCCAACATTCTAAAAACTAGAGGAGATGACAGCAAAGAAAAGGTCCATGCTGTTTGCATATTCACGTGCTGCAACGCTTGTGCTTTTAAAGCGGTAGTTTTATAGAGCCAACCGACCTCAGTAGCCGCGAAACATGAAATATGTCAGGCGGTCAATCCGTAACCGCACAACGATCTTGAAAAGAAAAAAAAAAAACTTTCAGCCTTTCCACTTTGGTGAAGATGGAAGACCAGCGGAGCTGTACTCGATACACTGTGTGCTTCTTCTTCGTCGTTGTCTGTTTTTCGCGCTGTTTCCTACAATGAAGTCCCACCAACGCGCCCAACTATCCATTCTTCTATTATAACCGGAAAGGTTGGCGCCATCTACGAGCAACAGCGGATATTATACTAGTTGTGTGCTTGCCGCCGTCGCTTATAGATGGCGGTAGCTCTCCAGGCAGGTTTGTGCCGACATACCGGACATGATCCTGCGGAACCTAGGTTTTAACAGCTCCGCTGTAAAACTGTCCAGCCGGCGTGGCGTCCTGTCTTCGCCGGGCCTCGCTCTTACGCTTGGCTTCCGTGGCACGATCGTCATCCGTGGCATTGGCCCGCAGGCGCCGGTCACATCGCCACTTCTGTTCTTGGCCTCGTCCCAGGCGAGCAATCTGCTCTTCTTTCACAAAGGATTTGGAACCCCTCGATGCACTGAAACTCGAGGCGATAGCGGCTTCATGGCGTTTGCGCTGCTGCGCACATCGCCGCTCCTTGCGCTCCAGCTCTGCTTCCTCCGAATGAATGGCATGCGGCCGACCCCTTGTGAGTCCAAAGGGCAACTGATACGAGCGCTAGCGCGATCTCAATGTCATGGGAAACAGGACACACACCATTGGTAGGTGAGACAATGACGTAGGGTGATGGTGACCTGGCTCAAGTTTTGTATCGAAATGCCACCTGTCCGTGGAAACGATAATGGGAGAACTAGCCCTTAAAAAGCTTCACTGTAAAAATAAGATTGCAACCGGTGCCAGGGATCAAACCCATCACCGGCGTGGAAGCAAAGTGTACCGCTGACCCAGCTACAGACCCAGCACACAAGAAGAGGAGCAGAAACAGGTGGTGTGAAAAAGTGCGCACAACGGAGAGGGGTGGAAAGGGCAAGAAAAAGAGGAGCAGAAGCAGGTGGTGTAGAAAGAGCACACGGAATGAGGAGTGAAAAGGGCAGGAAAGTGCACTTCCCTTCTCTTGGAGACCCAGAAAATTATGCACAAAGGCTTTGCATCCGGGTAATGCTGAAGGGAAGCGTGTGCAGCGTCACAAAGAGACAATGGTGCGATATAATCTTTTTCCATACAAAACCCTACCCTAGGCACCACCGAAACTAAGAGCACCACCCACCCTATAAATCTACCGCATTATTATGCAGGCAATTTTTTTCATCACAACTATGCACATTTTTTCGACAGAGCAGGGCATTTGTTGTGTCCTGTGTGAACAGCCTTTGACTGTTTTAGGAGGAAACTGGGCACCATGGCCGTACTAGGAAGTAGTGATGGGCCAAACTTTTGCCGAATCGAAAATTCCGCGCCGAATCTCGGGATTCGACCAAGCCGAATTTTTGCTGAACTTTTCTAAAGATTCAGCAAAGATTCGGCAAAGATACATTGTTACCAGACTTAAAAATTGATATCTCGTTTTATCATGCGAGAAAAAAAAAGTGTCTAGGTTTTTTAAACGCATATTGACGCAGTCATTACTAAATAGGGTGATATTCTCCAAGATAATTGTATCCGTGTCATTTTTGTATTGTTACTGGAAATTTTAAACTGTCTTTGTGCAGAAGATGTGTGACAACGGGGTTGGGCAGTAGCGGGCGCAGTCACGGTACGCGAGTTTCGGTTTTGAGGCCTCGTCAGCGCAAACCCGCAAGCGTGTGTTATTGAAAAATAAGGCAGTAACACCGTTTTCTATATTCCCTCTGCGAGTCACCGTTTGGTGCGCGAAAATGAATGCAACGTCTGTCGAGCCTCCACCAGAAGAGATAACAATGTTATTGTAAAATAATATGCATGTTCTTCGATTTGAGTCACTTGACGCCAGCTTTGCATGAAAGTGTGCGTCCCATATTCGCAACGTCTCGTTTTAACTTTTAAAATACTGGTTTCTGATGTTAGTACACACCAAACGTTTAGAAAGATGGGAAGAATAAGGAAAGTCGTATGTGCAACATCAAGCATGATAGTTTTGTGTTTAGTTTTATGCTGAAAGATGAAAACCGTGTCACAAACTACTTGTGAGCTGAAAACAGGATTGCTAGATTGGCGAGGAATACTTTAAAGTACTTGTCAGTCAATGCTGCAACTACCTCGTTGCATCACTAGAAAGATCAAATGAGAAAATCACGTTATCCTGAATGTACCACATCGATCGCATCATTTGTCACTTGTGCAGTGGACTGCGACATTTTTGCGTCCGTTTCTGGTCGATCTTCTGTTCTTGAGGCAGAGAATATTGGAGAGAACACTCACAAAGGCTGACAAACACACAGTTACCACGTCGCCTACTCCGTACTTCGCCGTAACCGCAGGTTACGGCGAAGTACCACACTGTACGATGGTAACCGCACAAACGCACGGCGTTCATTTGCAATCCTTGGCCCCGTCGCGTTCTCGCGCGTGCGCAGACGCTTGCCGAATTTTCGCTAAATCTTTGCCGAACTTTCCTTCAAAAGTTCAGCATTTGCCGAACTTAGCCGAATTTGAAGTTCGACAGATTCGGTCCATCACTACTAAGAAGCAAGTTCCTTGAGAGCAGTATGAAGCCATACTGGTGCAAAGTTGCAACCCAGCACTGCGACACAAACGCAGTACAATATTTTTTCTGCACCTTGCACCCCCTTTGCCTCAATCTAAACCTGCCCGTGACTGTCATTCAGCCTCACCTTTGACCTGCTGCTGGATGAGGTGCTGCTGAACCGCGGTGCTCAGCTGCGGCCGGATCTGGATCAGCTTGGGCGCCAGCGTCGCTGCCGTCGTCGTCACCACCCCCGAGGCACTCACGGGGAGCGCCGTAGACAACACCATCGTCGGCTGCATCTGCGCCAAGGAAAAGCCACGATGGCAGAGTTTATTTCTTTTACTTATTTATTTCCATACCCTCAGGGCCCGAAGGCATTACAGAGTGGAGGTGCACATATATGGCAGATCAATTGGAGGATCCTTAGGGAATGCATTAGCATGACCTTAGGGAAACGCCACACACGTCACCGCTTTGGGAAACGCTAACGGTGACACCTTCACTTTCTCCTTTTGGCTCACTCTTTTGTTTCCTCAATTTCAGAGCGCAGCTCTTAGGCGCCCGTTTCCGGCTTCAGCGGCGTCGCCGTAATCGCGCGGGGAATTATGGATAAATTTAGCGGAAAAATTTCCCCGTTTAATCCAGCGGAAAAATTTCCCCGCTAAATCTAGCGGAAAAATTTCCCCGCTAAATCTAGCGGAAAAATTTCCCCGCTAAATCTAGTGAAAAAATTTCCCCGCTAAATCTAGTGGAAAAATTTCCCCGCTAAATCTAGCGGAAAAATTTCCCCGCTAAATCTAGCGGAAAAATTTCCCCGCTAAATCTAGCGGAAAAATTTCCCCGCTAAATCTAGTGGAAAAATTTCCCCGCTAAATCTAGCGGAAAAATTTCCCCGCTAAATCCAGCGGAAAAATTTCCCCGCTAAATCTAGCGGAAAAATTTCCCCGCTAAATCTAGCGGAAAAATTTCCCCGCTAAATCTAGCGGAAAAATTTCCCCACTAAATCTAGCGGAAAAATTTCCCCGCTAAATCTAGTGGAAAAATTTCCCCGCTAAATCTAGCGGAAAAATTTCCCCGCTAAATCTAGTGGAAAAATTTCCCCGCTAAATCTAGCGGAAAAATTTCCCCGCTAAATCTAGCGGAAAAATTTCCCCGCTAAATCTAGTGGAAAAATTTCCCCGCTAAATCTAGCGGAAAAATTTCCCCACTAAATCTAGCGGAAAAATTTCCCCGCTAGATCCAGCGGAAAAATTTCCTTGCTAAATCTAGCGGAAAAATTTCCCCGCTAAATCTAGTGGAAAAATTTCCCCGCTAGATCCAGTGGAAAAATTTTCTCGCTAAATCTAGCAAAAAAATTTCAATCTAGCGGCAAAATTTCTCTGGGGGTCACGTGACCCCCCCCCCCCTTTTTCTAGAGGTCATGTGACCCAAACCGACTCCCCCCCCCTCCGGGGGCACGTGACTCTCCCCGAGAACATGTGACCCTCAGTACCCTTCCCTCCTCCTCCTCAAGTGCTGCACTCTAATTCGGCGTTACAGGGAGCTGTACACGGCTTTCATTTTTTTTTTTTACTGCCTCTTTTGGGATTCGTTACAGGGTCAGTGTTAGCGTTTCCCAGAGGAGGACATATGTGTGCGACATTCTCCAAGGGTCATGCTAATGCATTCCCTAAGGATAGACCAATGGATCTTCCATTACTTTTTTCCGGCCTCTGTCGCATGCAGGCCTGCGTCGGCTTGCCGCTTCTTGCACCACATTTCGGCCAGCCAAGCTGGGTACTGCTTCCGCTCCTCTGTCTCTTTCGCCTGCCTCGCATGCCTAGCAGTGGCATCCGCTGCCCGACGCCTGTGCAAGTTTAGACTCGCCACAGCTACTGCGCGAGCATTGGCTTCCGCCCTGTGACGTCGTATCCCTCTCAAATTTGTCCTTCACTACTCTCCTCCTCCCTATGATGCACGCTTCAATTTCCACTGTTCTGTCCCCGGACGGACACCTTCAGCTTTTTTGTCATGTGGGTACTGATGCTACATAATGTATTAAAAAACAAACTATAGGATACAAACGAGTCTGATAAAAAAAAAATACAGTAAAAACATGAGTGGTCGAGGACTAACAAAAATGATTGGTTATGGCAATTCTGAACAAATCGACTGATGGTGTAGACAATAAAGAGGGAAGGCGGTTCTATTGGTTGTAATACTCAGTTGAACCGAATGCGACTTCGGCAATGCTCGACTCCGTCGGTTGCTATGGAAACCGAGTCAACTCGGCCCGTTGCTATGGTGACGCACGCGACCAATCGCGGTGAGGGGAGACGCGTGGCATTACTCTGGCAGCTCAAGTTGCCATATGCAATGGCTTTAGGTCTCAATAAACCGCGACTCCACGCACCTTGATCTGTGAGGGCTGTGACACCAGCTGCACGGTGGCCTGTGGTGTCGCCACCGCCACCGTCGCCTGAGGCGCCGCCACCACGGTGGGCGCGGTGGCCACCGCCGGGCCGGCCGACACTGCCGAGGTGGCCGGTGCCAGGGAGAGGGCCGGCCGCAGCGTGGCGATCTGTATCGTCTGCTGGCCAGTCGGGGTGGACGTGGTCGTTGCCGCCGTCGTGGCTGCGGGGTTGGCCGCCGCCGTCTGCACGGGCAGCGTCAGCAGCTGCAGACGGCCGTCCGGCAGACGGAGGAGTTGCTGGCCTGTGCAAATACGCACAGCGCACAGATGACGAAGACGCTTTATGAAGGGCGTCATGATGCAACGATTAACCCATAGAGTGCCACGTTATAATTTGTACTTACAAAGAGGTCAAGAAATTAGTAATTTCTCTGTCTCAGTGTACACCATAAAATGTGAGGTTGAATAACATAGATTTCCTGTTTTGTAGCAACAAAGGAGCATACGAAATCAGAAATCGCCTAAACAACAAATTTGGCTGCATGCTTGGTCGTTTTGTCATACATGTTTAAATGCAGTAGCTTGTGGGGTGGGTGGTGCCTAGGACAGGGCTCTGTATGAAAACAGATTACGTCGCACCAGTCTTTGTGATGTTACACGCGCTTCCCTTCAGCACCACCCAAATACAAAGCCCTTGCGCTAAAGTTTCTAGGTCACCAAGAGAAGGGAAACGTGCTTTCTTGCCCTTTCCGATCCTCGTTCCGCGCGCTCCTTCTACACTATCTGTTCCTGCTCCTCCCTTTCTCGCCCTTTCCACCCCTCTCCGCCCTGTACGCTCTCTCACACCACCTGCTTCTGCTCCTCTTGTTCCTGCATGCTGAGTCAGCAGCGCACTCTGCTTCCATGCCGGTGACTGGGGTGCGATCCCTGGCACCAGTTGCCCTTATTTTTCAAGACCATTTAGCGGTTACGGGCTGACCGACCTACACATATCTTGCTTACGCGGCTCCTGAGGTTGGTTGACCTTATAAAGCTACCACTTTAATAAGTTACATGCCATCGAAAGCGACACTACAAGATAAAACACTGTTTTCATCCCTTGTTCATACAAGCCGCAACACGTAAAAACAAATGACAACCCAGTTGTGAGGGGCGGGGAGTGAACCGAGACTAAAACAAGATGGGAACGAGCCAAAGTATACTCGGGTGCGGCATTCAAATGGCTGACCTGTCGCCAACTAGAGACCTTTCCGAAAATCGCCTTCTGTGCGCTGCCATCTTTGTCTGCTGAGCTGCAGAATGACTTCCGAGGTTACGTTGTTGCTCTTTTGTGCAGTTTATCAGTTGCTGTGCATGCGTCCACAGCTCAGTGACGCAGCATTTTTCGCCCGGGGGATAAGCGTTGAAAAGGCCTATACACAAAACACGCCCTAGCATTCGCTGCGATACCTTGTCAATAGCAGCATCCGCCGCCGTGAGAGGACAACAAAACGGACGACGGCTCCTTAATGTCCTCAAACTCACCTGGCAGCAGGCCCCTGACCTGCAGCTGGCCGTTGGGGCCCTGAATGATCTGGATCTGTGCCCTGACGGGAGCCCCCTGAGTGGGCTGCGCCGATGCCATGGCGGGGCGCACCACTGCATTGGCGCCGGCGGGGAGCACGCCACGCACTGCCAGCACCGCCGGACGCGCCTGGCCCGCCACCGGGGCTCGCACCACGATCTGCTGGGGGTTCTTGGGCATCAGCACGGGGGCACTGATGGGGACCTGAGGCGGGCGGGCAATCACAGCGTCACGTTTCAGACTCCCAACAAGCCACCGGGAAAGTTGAAGCACGTGCGGTGGTGTTGCTACCATAACCTAAGGCAACTGTTCTCAAACGCAAGTCCGTGGACCCTCTGGAGTTCATGAAGGCCTTTTTGGGGTACCCGAAACCCTCAATCGTCATTCAAGCCAAACAATATATTCCTTTTTTTATGTTTGCTGTTATACAAAGTTAAACAGACAGTCCATGTGTGTCGAGCAAGTAGTGTTGATTATTCTCTGTTTCAGAGCTTCAAATTTAGTTTTCTTTATTTACTTTTCTGTCACTGTAATCATTCAATACCTCCCCCTCCTTCCCCCTTCCCTTCGAGGTGGATTCCCCCACCACTTCCACCAATCCAGAAGGGGCCCCAAAACATCAGTGGTCCAGAACCACTGACCTAAGGCATGGGTTCTCAAACTGGGTTTCCCAGAGCATCCTCATGGGTTCCTCAAACTCCCAATTTACCTTGATCGTCCCTGCCCCTAAGTGAAGAGTTTTCCTGTTTAAGCGCCATTTTAAAGGGTAACTGGTACATTTTCCCCATTTTTACGTCACAACAGTTTTCAATGAAGGAAGTGTACCGAAATTACAGGGTGTCAGATTTTATTTTCTTCGCCTTGTGTAGTTTTGTAGATATCTTACCTCAAAGTTATGTTTTGGGGGTCTACGGAATATTCGAAACCACTGGCTCGAGCATGATAGCAACCCTTGTGATCAGCTGCATGTCCAACGTGTGAAGCAAAGTTTGTGTTGCGGTACTGCAGTTTGTGTTGCGGTACCGCATAAAAAATGACCGCATCTCCCTGTAGTGAATGATGTTGATTGGGGCGAAGCTCTGGTGGTGCTGACGATACTGATTTTGTTCATAGGTAGTGCTGATGGTGCCGATTTTTTTTATTGCTCATAGGTAGTGCCGAGTTCCGGGTTGTGTTGGTATGGAATGTGTGGTATGTAACGTGGTTATATACGCATTTGAGCATTTGACCGCAGCGCCCTCTCGTCTATAAACGTTGAGCCAATGCATGCAAAGTTTAACGCGATTATGTACGCATTTGACCGCAGCGCCCTCTCCTGTATAAACATTGAGCAGCTACATGCAACGTTTCATCCATGACAGAAACCCCAGCTCTTGAGTTACTACCACATCTCAGAGCCCCCTACTCGTCCTGCAGTTGTGGCCGAGTGGTTAAGGCGATGGACTAGACTAGAAATCCATTGGGGTCTCCCCGCACAGGTTTGAATCCTGTTGACTGCATAAACATTTTTTTCTTTTTTTTAAGAAGACAGATGTGATGGCCGGACGGACAAGGCTAGACCCTAAGGAGCTTCGCCCCTGAAACTTACAAGTCGCAAGAGCAGTTCTGATCCGTCAGATAAAGTGCTACAGCTGTTTTACTGCTTTGCTTCGTAGATAACAAACAGCCATACCATATTTTAATACACAAGAACAAAGTTGCCGGCCAAAAAGCGAGTTTGCCACGATGAACACAGGCTTAGCACAGGTTAGAACGAGCACCCACATATCTTCCGAGAAGAACACACAATCTTGGCGGTGCGCGCTGCCAAAGTGATGTGGAAGCTAATCGTAGGCCTGAGCTGAGCAGGAACGGACTAAACTATGACCACCAGTGAATGCCACCTTTGGCACCACGACGCATCAGGGAGTCAATAATCTTTGTGCGCGATAGCAGAGGAGCACTTACAAACTACGGTCGCTAACAAATCGTCCGCTGGGATGGCTGAAAACACAGCAGAAAAACACGGCGAAGGAAGTGGCAGTATGAAAAGTAACCTCCTTGAGTACGATCATAACATCGGGGCCCAAGGTTGCTCGACAAATAGCCAACCCGCTGAGTTCCCGCCGACAAGCTGGTGGTAGCATTTTTAATATCAGTTTTAGAGTGGATCACGGTTTCCCATTGGTGTAATATTTTGGCAGTGCTCATGTGTAGTCTCCATAAATCGATATCAGTCGTTTATTTTGGTTAGACTTTTGACCCGAGTTACCCTTTAAGAGTTTTGATGCCTAACTATGAGCCAAGCAGTCCCTAGAATGTGTATTACTGTAAGGCCAGTAGGGTTCTGCACTACTTTATTGGATCAAGGCAAAAACTGGAAAGCATCCCTTGGGTTTCGCTGAAGGCAGATAGGGATTCCTAGAGATCAAAAAAGTTTGAGAACTCCGTGCCTAAGGCAACATACGATATCAACGAGAAAGCCCTAGGGTGTCGCAGGTTTGGAATAGCAGGACAAGCTCTTTCCACCTATCCCTCCATCCTTTCCACTTTAGCAGAGTGAATGCTGGCAAGGAGGCAAGCAGGGAGGAGGAAACAACCAATCATGGCAAGCAGAGAGCTTAGTGGGAAAGGTTTGCCCTGCTGTTCTAAACCTAAAACAGACTACTGTCGAGACCGGTTATAACGAAGTCAACGGGAATCCGAAATCACTTTGATGTATATCCGCAATGCCATTATAACAGACTTCGTTAATGAAGTGAAAAAAAGGAAAGGAAAATCGTGATCGCTTTGCTGTAGCCGCTACTTCATTACAACCATTCTTGACAGTACTGTAAAACCCTAAGAGATAGCCCACCCAAAAGCGAAAGCAAATCCGGTGAAAATATAGAGTGGCTAACTTTCACTGTGCGATAACAAAAAAAAGTTGAAAAAATGCTAGTTTTAGATTTTGTGACTCTTGAAATTTGTGATTACAGGAAGGGGCCGATGAACCCAAGACGACCATCCTTCCCAGCCAGCAATGTTTGCTTATCTACCACTGTGGCTAAGTAACACCATTCCTGCCTGGGTCACTATTGGCCAGGGCCCTGCAATTACTAGAAGTGGGATCCTTTCGGTGTTTCAGAAATAACAGTAAATCATTCCAAAAATAGGCGGCAGCCTACCTCTTGAGGTGGGGCATTTCTTGGGATATTACGGCATACTGTCGAGACCGGTTGTTATAAAGTTGGTTATAACTAAATAGTGGCTACAGCAAAGCAATCACGACTGCAGAAAGCCGGTAGCTTGAGGAAGGCCAACGGCTTCTGCTCTCGCTTCTGCTCTCAACTAGAGCAGTGCCGCAACTTGACTAATTTACGCCTGCGGAGGGTCGCCACCGTCGACACTGCGGCTTTCGGGACCCGAGGTTGCGAACCGACCTTGGTGCCGTCGCCGGGGTTGCCGGCGGCCGGGGCGCGGGTGGTGAAGATGCGGCGCACCGCGCGGGTGCCCCCCACCCCGGGGTTGCCTGGAGTCGTCACCAGGCTGGTCAGGGTGGTGCCTTTCACCGGGGAGCCAGACGACACCAGCGCCACCTGCGTGTCACGATCGGACGAGAGGGGGACTTGGCACACCTGTACGCTTTCAATATACTCGCTCGTTTGTTAACACGCCCAAATACTGTATTTGCACGAATATAACTATACCACCAATATAACGTGAGGGCATATTTTGATGCCCTCAAGAAGGAAAAAAATATTATTACTATTATAATGGCAGCTGAGACAGCGTAAAGTTATGGAACTCGAGTTGGGGGGGCATGGCAGGAGTGAAAAAGCAATGGAAATCAAAGAAATATCAGTTTATGTTTCGACTGCACGTATCCTCACTGCTCAGGTTCTTCCGACTGTGGGGTTTCCAATCCACTTGGCGGCTTCGCAGATACGCAGCAGCAAGGCGCTGCTCGTCTAGTAGTTCCTTTTTCTTCCCTTATGAAGGCCTGAGCTCCTCTGCAACCGGGCCGCAAGCAAAGCAAAAGCAGAAGCACCAACACACAAACACCTGACCACTGGAGCAGAAGCCAAAAAATCCACAGGCAGAAAGAGTGCTGGACCGATACAGGATCACTCTCATGCTTGTGCTGGTCTTTCCCCGTAAACAAACACCTTGTGTTGCTTGAATGGGTAAACAGAGTCGGTGGTCTTGGCTTGGCTGGTATTGAACTGGCATGGCTTTACTTGGCTTGAATTGGCCAGTGGCCGCATTCCCACCCGCCATGCTGCATTTCTGCAGTGTGCTTTTCGGCGTGCGTCGTACAAACACAAAAGCGATAAAAATGCTTTTTATATTTTCTATTGCCCCCTTCACATGGCCCAATAACTAATAAATTCCCTCCCACACCCACACTTCTTTCCCCACCTATCTGCTGCATTCAGCCGGAGAGATGGCTTCCTCTTGACTCGTGTGCCTCGTGGCTGAACTCAATTCTGATTATAATGTGAGGTGCATTTTGGAGCACGTCATTTCGACAAAAAAAACTCGCGCTGTATTCGTGCAAATATGGTAAATGCGCTGCAATATCTGAAAGATGGCTTGCCTTGGAGTTTGCACGGAATCCTGGCTGTAGACAAGCAAAGGTAAAAGAGAATGTCTTCTTTCTGACTTCTGCCAAAAGATTAATGCAATAGCATTATATCTCGTCTGGCAAGTTGGTCAAGAGACGGTGCTCCTGTGACATGTCATGCGACACAGTTTAACACAACATGACATTGCGTCAAATGTACGCCAATTAATTTTTTCTGCTAAATTTAGCGGGGAAAAGCATCCCGCTAGACCACTTATAAAGCCGCAATGGACGGACGCACGCAATCTCACTGTTTGAGGGCCCTGGAAATGCTATCGTGTTTAAAACAAACCAATAGAGCTAGGTAGGGCAGTGTCTCCCAAACTGTGGGTCACGACAAATTTAGCCGGGAATAGCAAACTGGCTGAAATACTTAAAAACAAAATGCAAACTTGGTTTTTCAGCAGGGCATCAATGAAAACGAGGTATGGGTCGCAGCTCAACATCAAGCATATACTGGTTTAAGGTGCCCAAACTCTACCCTCCTATTGAGGAACCAAGCTCTAACAAACAAGCTTAACTTCAGTCATAGATTCCTGCTGTTACTGGACCAACCAACTCACTCTGTCAAAATAAAAAAAGTTCCAAGTTTTGCGCATTACTGTTTGTGCACTGAAATTGAAAAGCTTGCGGCATCACGAAAAGCCGGGGAGGAAGAAGACTGTAGCAAGGGGATATTTTACGTTTTGGTGGGGGTCAGAGGGTAGCAGAGGTTTGGGAAGCCTTTGGGAGACGGGGACAAGAAAAAGGGAGACAGGGCGAGTGGTCCCACCTTGTTCATCCCTTGGGCGGCAGCCTGCTGGGGCGTGGACACGGTGACCGTGATGGTTTTGGTGGTGGTGCCCTTGGGAGTGGTGCCCACCGCGCCCCCGTCCTGCAGGCGCTTCTGCTGCATGGCCAGCCGCTGCTGCTTCAGCTGCTGCTCCATCTGGGCTCGGATCTTGTCCGCGCTCTGCTGGGCATGCACCTGGGCCAGCTTCTCGCGCACCGCCAGCTGCTGCTTCTCGATCCTGCAAAGAGGGGGCGCGTGGAGCGATGCGTTCAGATGGGCTGTGGAGAAAGCGCCGAAGACCCGAGCCAGTGATTCTCAAACGGGGGTTCACGGACCCTTTGGCCTCCCTGAAAACCTCAACTGCAAAACTTTGCGGGGAAATGCACTGGTAGACGGATGGACAAATATTTTTGGGATCAGTGGCTTCGGTGGAAAACCATACCAATCTTTAAACGTTGCCCAAATTGCTGTGCAGACTGTCATTGAGATGCAACAACATTCTGGACCATCTTGTACCGCATAAACATTTCTCCCTTAAACTGCTTAGGAACTGCCGCGTAAATTCTAGGGATAGTTTTTGTCAATGTCCACGAGGTCTCCTACCCAATTTAAAACTAATTCGCACAATTTTTTCGTCCAACTGCCATACTTTCTGCGGAAGGGCCTTCTGCGACCGACGGACAACTTTTGCTGTAGCATTACTGCAACTTTAGTCCATGATCCTTGGTAACTGTATTTGCCATTCAGAAGCCAATATAGCGTATAACGTTAGTCGGGGGCATCACCCCCGGTATGCATTGTTGAAGTAGGTTTACAAAAGATATGCGCTGCCTGCTTTATGGGTTACAGACCGTTCAGAAAAGCCGTCGCTTTTGAAAAAGGCCTGGGAGCAGACGAAACACACAAAAAAACGCCTGCGTCTCGGGTTTTCAACGTGGTATATCTGCCGGAGCGACGACAACCAGGACAAGAGGAAGGCAAACAGAGGACTGTGGGCTCACTTCTCTCCAAACTGCCGGATCTCCCAGAGCTCCAGGTCCTCCTCCGGCACCCAGACCTCCGTCACCGAGGGCCCCTTGTGCTGGGGAGACTCGGGCCTCCGTCGCTCCCGGAGCCCCGTCCTCTGGGGTGTCACTTTCTCTGCGAGACGCCCGACGCCCCCGACGAGTTAGGGCACTGCCTTGATCTCGACAGGAGCCAAAAACTCCAACCCGGTGCCAAAGCTCAGTCCTCGTTTTAACAGACGAGTAGAAAGATCTTAAAATTTCAAATACAGTATGCTCTTGAATAATTCAAACTCAAATTCAAACAAATTTACTTTTTGTTCACGCACTTCTTAGCGAGCACTGGCACACTGTGGAAAAGCAACACTGGCTTCAGCGGGTGTTGCTTCTCCGCAGTACACCGGTGCTCGGTAATGGCAGATTCACAAGGTGGGTTGAACCGCGGATGGATTGACCATGTGAAGACATGTCCGCAGTTCATCTGTCTCCCAAGCGCATCCACACGAGGGAGACGACGAGGAGACGCCAGCGAGGGCCGACCGAACCTGTTCGCCACCACACAGTCCTGCGAAACTCCAACATCGCACCGTCGTCCAAGGGAGAAATTGAATGCGATGGGCTTCGCGCAAGGTGCCGCTAGCTTTACTATCCAAAGGCATGACAGTGACACAGGCATGGGCCTGCTCGAGAAGGCTTCGGCGTAGAAGCGACAAAGTTCTGGGCTCGTGGAAGGGCGTTTGGAGATGCCTTCTCGCACTCCGCGCTCCTGCACAGCACTTAAGTACACCACAACCACAAGAAAGATCTTGCTCGGTGAAAAGCTGATTGAACGTGCAAGAATTATCGCGGCGTGCTATACGAGTTTTGACGGAAACTTCTTGACACGGACCCGGAGGAGTACCAAAACCTGCGCTGCATCACCCGGACAATGTTTGTGCAGTTTCCTTCACTCATGAAACCAAGAATCGCGCGATAAAATGGACCAGCAAACGCACAAAACACAACGATGCACCATTTTTGTTTTAATTGTCCAAAAACGGAAAACCAAGAAAACATTGCACCGGTGCCAAACTGAACGTTTTCAAGTCAATCTCCCGCCGAAAATCCGCCAGTGAAAAGTCGCTCAACTTTATCGGTCCCCATCTGCAAAAGAGGCGCGGATTGCAGGAAACGGAGACATGACCATCACATGGTACACAGTCCGCGAACGAAAATCGCGATTCGGTCCGTCGTGTGAATCGGCTACAAGAAGCGTGCTCGACGGGGTTAATAGTCCACAATAGACAACTTTTTTTACAGCGATAGCCATTACGGGTTCTTCCTACCCCTGCAAATGACGTCCGCTGTCGTCGTAGTAGTAGTTGGTGTAACAAGACGTGCGCTGTCGGTCGCAATATTACCGACTGCTTAAAGAAAAATCGCCCACTTCAAGAATCAAATCTGGGTCTGTTGTGTGCAAAGTGCTAAATGGCCACAGTTGCTGCGACCAAAAAAAAAGCGTTGACAAAACGCGCTTGCAAGATGCCATTCGTTTTTAGGCTTTTGCTTTAGAGCAGTTACTGCTGCAGACGCCGAGGTTGCATGCGCACGCCTTCCCCACATAAAAAATTCGAAGTAAATAACCAAAATAAAGCATTGACGAACGAGCGTCCAAGATGCCATTTGTTTTAGGCTTTTGCTCTAGAACAGTTACTGCTGCAGACGCCAGCGCGTGTGGCGCGTGGAACGCCATTCTCTACATTCTCCTTGATGCTTGGGCAATTTAGCAATAGGTCCATTCAGTAGATTAGTTAGTAGTTGCCTGTTACGGGCCCGGTTTTTCATGCTTCTCTACAGGGATGGGCAAAATACATGCAAATATGTATCGAAATACAAATACAAAATACTTCGTCAAAAATGTATTTAATTACAAATCTAATTACATTTCCAAAAAAAAAGCCTTTAAGTACAAGATACAAATACAACTAAATGTATTTGGTCTCCTCCAAATACTTTTCCAAAAACATTCCTCAAAATTTGCGTCAGCGACTTCAGGGCACCTGCAACGGGTTTCTGGGTATCTCATTTTAATTTTGCATCGCACACTCCGGAGTTAGTGTGCGAGGCTCTAGTAACGTAATAGAAATATAACCACAAAAAAAAAAAATGTAATCAGCTTGGACGTAATAGGTGAAAAAAGTACAGAGCTTCAAGCAGCTTTTTTTGCCGATTACATTTTGGTATAGACCAAGAAAGAACCGAGACGACCAAGACGCGCAGCACTAGCTACAGAATTTTTTATTGTTGCAACTCGCACCAGTTACGAAAATCTGACGACCCGCGCATTTAGAATGTTCCAGGCAAAAATATGGATGGAAATCAGGCTGGAAAGCATCACAAGTTTTCACAGGCACTTATTTAGGCAGTCTACCTGTGAACGTCGGATTTCATCACTATTCTTGCCCTGGACTAGCACCGTAATCACAAAGTCACTAAATGCGTGTGCTTGATTGAGAGACACTGCATTTGGTGCAGAACGTATAGTTTTCTTCCTGCTCTGGACAGTGACAATAAATTTGAGGGATGTATTTTTGCCCACAAAAGTGTAAATTAATTACAATTGCATTTTAAATACCCACATTTTAGTATTTAAATACACACGTCAAATACATTGCCCAATATGTAATTAAATACAAATGCAAATTACACAAAGTATTTGGAATACATATTTCAAATACTTGTATCTGAAATACTGCCCATCCCTGCTTCTGTACGAGGGACACACTCTTTCTGGGCGTGCCGCATCACGTAGAACTTTGCACTTGCGCTATGTGCATTGCTCAGACAGAGCTTCGTCATTGACCCTAGTTTTGTGCCTCAAGAACGACAAGACTAGTTAACTTGCTGAAGCGGAGATCTCTGGCGCAGACGCGTTGAGCGGAATGCGCATGCAGAAAGGTGCGATGACATAGAATCAACTTTTATAGTGGAGGTGTTAAGGCATAGTTTCCCCAGGATCGTGTCCGGTACCAAAGAAATGTTGACCCCCGTGGTCAACATAACACTCCGCTTGCCGCCTTCGCTCATAAATCGCAGCAACCTTTCGAGCCTTTCCACTCTGGCTTGCCGACTTGCGGCCGGTCATTACTTCATTCCCAGCATAGCACAACTTCACTGGTCTGCCTTCACCAGAGTGCAAAGGCTGAATGTTTTTACAGCGGAGCTGTTAAGGTCTAGTTTCCCCAGGATCGTGTCCGGTGCCAAACAAATGCTAACACAACACTCTGGTTGCCGCCGTTGCTCATAGATGGCGGTAGCTGTCCAGAGTGTTCTTTGCCGGTTGTCTGCTTGCTGCCGTCGCTCATAGATCGCGGCAACCTTCCCAGCCTCGGCAACCAGACAACTGGTTGCTGCCGTCGCTCATAGATGGCGGCAACATTTCTTCAGGGGTAGGGTGCCTACATGTCTGTCTGTCTCAGGATGAAAACATCCATTGTTGCCCTGAATGTGCCAGCACGTGACACTCTTGTGCACTTGGTGCCTGAGCTGAGCGGTAAAATGGCGTCTATGCATTAGCCAAAGCCACATGCTCGAGCTGAGTAACACCGGATTGCGCGCATTTCAAAATGCATTGCAAAAAACTTTCAGCCTTTCCACTCTGGTGAAGAAGGAAGAGCAGCGAAGCTGTACTATGGTGGGATGACCTCAAGGTCGACTTCTTGGGTGACCTCAAGGACGACGCCTAGAGGACGATGTCTAGGACGACCTCAAGGATGACGTCTAGGGCGACCTCAAGGAAAACCTCAAGAACAATGCCTAGGACGACCTCAAGCATGACGTTTAGGGCGACGTCAAGGACGACTTCTAGGAAAACGTCTCGGACGACCTCAAGGATGACTTCTAGGACGACCTCTCGGACAACCTCTCAAACAACCTCAAGGACGACCTCAAGGAAGAATTCTAGGATGACCTCGAGGACGACATCTAGGACGACGCCTAGAGAAATTCAGCCTTTCCACTCTGGTGAAAACCAGAGTGGAAAGGCTGGAAAGGTTGCTGCAATCTATGAGCGATGAGCAAGGCCGGCAAACCAATTGTCTGGTTGCCGCCGTCACTCATAGATGGCGGTAGCTGCCCAGAGTTTTGTGTCGACATTTGTTTGGTACCGGACACGATCCTAAGGAACCTAGCCCGTAACAGCTCTGCTGTAAAACGATTGGGTGGAAAAATGGCTGAGATGTCACCACTCAAGCAAAAGCGCACATGTGTATGAAGGCACTCTATTCAAAGGAAGAAGAGTGAAAACGGAACGGGCGGCGATGTGCGCAGCAGCACGAAGGGTTCCGCAACCGCTACGAGGCCACTGTCGCCTACAGTTCCGCTGCGTCGAGCACTTCAGACTCCCTTGCGAAAGAAGAGCAGATCGCTTGCCTGGAAAACCACTGCCGAGAACAGAAGTTACGGCTCCGCTGCTCTTCTTCCTCACCAGAATGGAAAGGCTGTAAGTTTTTGTTTTGCTTTTTGTTGCACCTGACTTGCGCCCTCTGGCCGGTGGAGATGCTGCTGGAAGCTGCTGGAAGAGGCTACAGGGGCGCGTGCCATAGAACTTTACCTGGTCAATTGCGTCGCAGCGTTTGCTGCGTTGCATCTGCACACCTAGCGTTAAAATACCGGGGGAGTGCCCATCTCCCTTCCCGTAAAAACTGGGTCAATCTAGACATGGGCGCTTGTTCAGTCAAATCGGGCGCTTAACGTATAATTTGCAGAATTCTTAAGTTTGGGAAATGTTAATACCATGTAGACCGCATATAACGTATGTCGCGGGAGTCGCGAAAATCCGCACTATAAGCGGTACCGCGCTATAACCAAAACATAAGTTTTTCAGGCCAAAATACATGCCATGAGACAACTTACCTTTCTAAAAGAATTTATTTTATGTTAGATGAAAAATAAAGCTCAGTTTGGGGAAAGTCTTTATTTCACCAGACTAGTACACCTCTCTCTCAGGTGTGCCACACATTTTGAAAGAAATGAGCGACTTTTGCCTGGCACAGCCTTTTAACGGCGTCGCGGGTTGCGGACGGACGTTGCGAGCGTTCAGGATTGCTAACCCTAACCCCTTTTCTCCGGTGATGAAAACGCGTGAAAATTCGCATCCTTTATACGGTACGCGCCAGTAATACCTTCAACTTGAGCACAGGCATGAAATGCTCCAAATAAGAAATCCGGGCGATGTTTGAAAACACGGACGCTTAATAATCACCACTGTAGTCGAAGTAAACAAACACGACGACACGGGCGTTTCTGCCTTCTTGAGAGTGCCGCCACGACATCGCCGCACGAGTAGGTGGATCTTCCCTTCTAGTACGTGCTGGGTTATCATAGTAACACACAACGAAAATTCATAGTCAAGGATGGCGCTTTTACGCGGAACGATGAGCTTCCACCACACCGTCTACGTCGACGATCACAACCGACGCCAGATTTGCGGATAGAAGAAGCCGGCTTGCGACAGGCACGCAACGCGCGAACACTTCTCCTCGACCTGCGATTGGTCTGTCGTTACGGTTGTTTCCAATGCAGCGGAGGGACGCACGCACGTGAACGACACGTGCGTGCGTCCCTCCGTCGCTATGGCAACTGAAGCCTGTCTCTTCGCTTCTCCCTGCTTCTTCAAGCAACCTCCTTGCCCCGCGAGTGCCGCTTGCGGCAAGCGCCGTTATCTAGTGTCGCACAGGGAAGCGTGCTCGCTGCGTCGGTCTGTCGGCGCGGTCGGTCGGCTGTTCCAGAAACCGCACTATAACTAGTATTTCCCTTTGTGCGCCTGCATTTTAAGTGGTAGGTAATTACATGGAGTTCTATGGGAGGCAAACCGGTGGTTTAAAAAAGTAGCGTTATACCCGGTCCTGCACTATAAGCGGTTACGTTATAAGTGGTCTATACTGCAGTGGCCATTGGAACGAAGTGGGTGCTTCTGCGGTATTTAAAGCATATACAGGGTGTTTAAAAAAACATTTACAGGGCTTTTTTCATCTCAAAAGCTCAATCTCCGGATTTTCTGAAAATTTCAATAAGGAAATAGGGCCCATTTTCACCCGTTTTTCGTTTCTGGCGTTATAGAGCACCATGTACAGTAAAACCTCGTTATAACAAAGTTGAAGGAGCGGTCGTAATTATTTCGTTATAACCATTAGTTTGTTATAGCCAATGTCGATTTCTTCCCACTATTAGCAAGCAAGGGGAATTATGATTGCTTTGTTATATCCATTAGTTTGTTATATCCCGTTTTGTTATAACGAGGTTTTACTGTATTCGAAAGCTCTGTCGGCCACCATTTTCCTATTGACATTTTCAGGAAATAACTTATAACTACTGAATAAAATATTTGTTTGCGATGCAACTTTGACATCTGGTTTGGACCTCTAGCGCTACCTTTTGCTGGAGCATTCGGCAATGCATAGTTTACTTTTGCGGTGAAAGATACCCTGTCAATTTTTTCGGGGGACACCCTGTGTATCTTCCACTGTGGCTGCAAGGCCGCTCACCCCTGGGCTTGGATGGCAGGTCGATGGGCACAGTGATCCGTCGCACCAGGTACTCCGAGCGCAGTCCGAAGGGGCCGATGTCCTTGCGTTTGAGCAGCTCCGTCGTCTGCACGTCGCTCTCGGTCGTCATCGTGTTGGTGCCACCTGGCGGGGACTTGGCCTGCAGGTCGTCCCAGCGCAGGCTGGCCCAGAGCACGCGCAGCTGCAGGGCAACCTGACAGCGGGACGAGCAACGGGACTCGCGTCAGCGCCGCGCGTCGCAACCGCTATCGCATGCGTGCGCCACCAAAAGCGTTGTCACGGTCAGCGTCACGCGACTGGCCAAACGCTCGCCGCGACATCTCGAGCACGACGAATTCCACTTTCGTTATCGGAGAGAAGGGGAACGTCGGACTGTCGACTTTGACGGTGTTGGTTTAAGGACGCCACGACTCCCGGCTCCCGCCGAGTTTTCTACGCACACCGTCAAAAATAACACCGTCAACCCACGATCCCGGCCGCGACGCTGCAGATAGAAACCTCAAGAGAGAACCACTGAGACATCTCGTTGCTGACAGTCACCAACAAGGTCGGAACGGCAGGAAGAAGATTCCTACCTTCGATGACGCTTCAACATTTCGCACACCTCGAGCACACGCATGGCCGGTGTGCAGAGGTTGGGCGTTTGAAAGACGGCATACCTGCCAACCTGCGGACTTTCAAATTCGTAAAAGTCACGCAACTGCGGGGGGGGGGTTACGCGAAGCGATGTGCAGCTTAATGTCAGCTTGGCCAGAGTGCGAAACGCTTACGTCACACGTGCACGTGCTACACAATCCAAACTTATCTCGCTTTTTGGGCGGCACGAAGCACGGAAATTTCGACGAGTAGGACTTCAGGAACACCTGAAAGTACCTCTTTTGAGGTTTCGAGTTCGGCATTGCGCCGCGAAGCCACAGTGACCAGGAGAATGCTACAGTTACAAGTGCAACAAACACAGACGCCGTACTTCTCACCTCAAACTGGCTGAAACAACGAGGCCCAACAACGTCTGAACACGCCGAACCAACGTGCACCTGTGCACCGCCGAACACACGAACAAAGGCTTTGAGCTTTGGATTGGTTTTCGATCAGTGGACACCGGATAGACGGATAGTAAAAACCACGACACTGCTGTGGACGATACCTATTGCCCTCTTGTGGCGGTGCAAGATACCGCCAACAACGGAGTTACAAAAACCACAACAAAAAAAAAATATAAAAAAATAAATATATATATATATTTTTCGTAAGATTTGAAGCAAGATTCGTAAAATTAGTCCCAATTCGTACATTTTACGAAAAATTCGGAAGAGTTGGCAGGTATGAGACGGCGACTATTGTGCCAAAGAAGTTACCAGACCAGAAACACCCAAGGACCGTGGTACGGAAAAACGTGGCGGGTGCACGATGCAGAACCGACCGGTAGACGAGGGGCACCCCACCTGGTGGATGGTGGTGAGCATCTGGTTACGGTAGCGCCACGCCGTCTTGAAGCAGGGCCTGGGACTGACGCCGTACGGCCAGCTCTGGGGGTTCACCTTGGCCGTGTAACTGAAACAGACATGAGAGCGGTTCGTTCAGCCATCATCCCACCGTGCGCATTGCCACGGTCAAAGATGCATCAAACTTTTTGGGCATCTTCGAGAATGCCCGTGTTTAGGATGGTAGCAATGGAAACAAAGCTCTGGGCCGTCCTTTCGCCTTTGACACCAACAATATTTAAGATCTCAACCTGCATTTCTGAACAGATCTTGTTTTGGCACAAAATTAGAATCTGAGGAAAGCAATTAACTCCGGTCGCTCAACATAAAAAGGCTTTCGTGTTGACTGACTTAGTCGCAAGACCAAACTCGGCAATTGTATTCCCACGAAACTATGCTGTGCAACACCGTTGGTGCAAACACAATGTCAGTTCTTTTTTTGTATGTTGTTTCAGAAGGGTATTGGTAGCCACCAAACTTTATTGCTTAGATTAATGTCCTATTTAAGCCCTTTCCACCACACTAATAGTTTTCATGACCTTTATTTCTAAGAAAAAACAAATGGTTTGAAAATATTGCATCATAAATACAGGATAAATGCCAACTTTACGAAATTAGTCTCATTCTGAGGGGACATGACTTGTACCAATTGGCGCCATTTTGTTTGGCTGCAGCGCCACCTACCTACATCCGGGCCTTTCAAAGGAATTGTCGGGGTAAAAGAGGGAAAGAGCATGCGCCAGTCTTTATAGCAGACGACAAACCGGCCGTCCTCTATGGGCGTTTCGACAGATTCGGCGGTGTAGAAGAGGAAAAGGGCATACGCCTTTCTCAACCTTTGGACAGTTCCGGTGGGCCGTATCACCGAAACTGCCTAGAAATGGAAACTCATTTCCCTCTCTCCTCTCACATTATAGGATGGTCTATAGCGCCCCTCCTTTTCCCCAGGTAAACTGCAACAAAGGAAAGATCACCTGAATCCCGTTGCTTCACGGAGGGAGCCGCGCCGTGCCATCTTGCGCAGCTCGTGTTGCGGCAGGACCATGATGCTGCGCTGTTTGCTCACAAAAGTCTGGAAGCGGCAGAACGGAGGCAGCGTGCCCTTGTTCTTCTTCACTTTCTTGGTCACTTTGGTGATCTTGCCGAGGTACACCTTGTTGCTCGTCACCGTCTTGGTCACCGTCGTCTTCGTGTCGCCCGCAGTCGTGCTCTTCGTCACAGCGGTCGCTGTGGTCACGGCCGCGGCTGCCATCGCCTTCTTCACGACAGATGTTGAGGATGTCAGCGTCGCTGTCACAATGGCGGCAGCTGCTGTGGTCTTGGAAGTAGACGACACCATTGTGGTAGAGGGCTCTGCTTTGACTGTTACAGGCGGTACCACAGCGGATGGTGCAACTGGGGCAGATGGTGCCGCTGGGGTAGGTGGCTTCACATCTTCCATAGGACACGCTGCCAGCTCTGATGCAGATGTCTCTGATCCAGTTGCAGACAGCTCCAATCCGGTAGCAGACAGTTCTGATGCGGCAGCAGACGGCTCAGATTCGGTAGCAGATGGCTCTGACATGGTAGCAGAAGGCTCTGGCCCAGTACCAGATGGCTCCGACATGGTAGCAAAAGGCTCTGGTCCAGTACCAGATGGCTCCAATCCAGTAGCAGACGGCTCCAACATGGCAGCAGACAGCTCTCGCCCGGTAGCAGACGTCTCTGGATCGGCAGAAGACGGCTCCAATCCAGCAGCAGATGGCCCCAATCCAGCAACAGACGGCTCCGATCCGGTAGCAGACGACTCCAATTCGGCAGCAGATGCCTCCAATCCTGTAGCAGATGACTCCAATCCGGTAGCAGACGACTCCAGTCCGTCAGCAGACATCTCCATTTCAGTAGCAGATGGCTCCATTTCAGAAGCAGACGGCTCCATTTCGGTAGCAGACGGCTCCGACCCGGTAGCCGGTGCTTCCATCTTTGAAGGCAGCATAGTTTCCGTTTCAACAGACACCGACGCTCCAACAGTACCATCTTCAGGCACGACGGGAAGCGAGTCTGCAGATGGTTCTGGTTGCGGCGAGGTACACATTTCTTCAACAGAGTTGATGGACGGCATTGTGTCCATCTCCTCGGAGTCGGCAACGACCTCCTCCGTAGCCACGGTTTCTTCGGCGGCGGTCTCGACAGGTATGTCGCACATGTCTGTCTCCACCTCTTCCTCTGCCGCAACCGCAGTAATCTCGACATCGTTGCACGGCTCCGGAACGTGGTCTTCTTCTTCCTGCTTCACCACGGTCGTCATGGTGGTAGTTGTGGTGGTGGTCTGGGACACTGTCGTCGTCGTCTGGCTCACCAATACCGTCTTGGGCTGCACACAATGAAAAATTCAGCAGGCTTGATCATGCTGACAAGGACCGGAAAGCACAGAATGTTTCCTGCGCAAACCACACTCCCTGTGTCATTTGTGCAAGATTTTTCATTCTTTTTATGTATTTTTATATATTATATATTTGCATATTTTGTCTTTATTCTTATTTTATATTTTGCTTTATGTATTCATGTCATTTGTATTTTTCATGTAAGAGCATTAACTGTCCCATGGAGCGAACCGGCGTCATCAGCTTTTGAAGCCGAGCCAAACAGCACCTTCCCCTGTCCCAATGGAGCGAAGCCCGTCGCCTCTAGTAGAAATCTGATGGACAGGGTCCCATTGGCTGGCGCACATCATAGTTTCAAGGAACGAGGCTCCCATTGGCTCTCGTGCGGCGTAGTTCCAAGGAATGCCACCAGAAAAGCCCTCTCCATGGTGGCGCAGTGCACGCAGCGGCCTGGCAGCCGATAAGAGCTGCAGGCCTGGCCGCAGAGCCCGCACGGGCAAACTCTGGAGAGGTGGCGAGGGCACTTCACGAGAGCATGTGCTCAGCCGTCGGCCGCCACCTTGGCAGTGGGGAAACGTGGTCGTCCACGCCACTACGCCACAGACAAACTAAGGGAGCAAAAGATTGAAATTCATGCTTTCGCATTAACGACTCGTAAGAAGTGCTTAGGTGTCCTCGAAATGTTTTTTCTGTTGGTTTATTTTTACTAGTTTCTTTATTTGTTTATTTTATTTACTCTTTTTTGCACCCAAAACCCGCCATTCTAGCCGGAATGCTTGCACTCAAATAAATTTACCCTTCCAGACAAGCTGCGCTTGTAGCTCAGTGGCCATAGTATCCGACTGCCACAGCACAAACCCAGGTCTGAGCCCTCTGGGGCTCTAACTTTATATATAACCCCTTAAAGGGGCCCTGCAATGACATTTTTAATGGTTTTTAATTTGCACCGAACCTCAGCGCACCAAACATAGTAAGTAACTTAATGAAACTTTTTTTTTCTGGAATTTCGCTTTATTTTAAAAGTTATAGGCAAACTAAAGTTACAAAAACAAGCAAAAAATAACCTCCTTCGTGACATCTTTGGCCGTTTGAGTGGCCATGAACTAGAGGAGGGATAGTGAGCTCAGCGAGCGCTCATAGCTGCCGCACTCCGTGTAGACGGTTCAAGAGGGCGCCACTAAAGCATGTTCCGGATAGGCTGTATGAAGCGGGCAGCAAAGGCGGCTCGCATTGCCTTTGCTGCGTGATTAAACAGTGATTTGGCATGACACTTCATTCACCACAAACGACAGCAAACACGGGGTAAAGTTCAGTTCAGAATGGGAGCCACTTCACGCTGCCCTACCGCGAAACGGCCAAACAGCAAGCCAAACCTGCGCCGAAGGCCTTCGGAACGCTCGGAACCGGTCGGATCCTCGAGTCCGTAAACGACCGCAGCGCCACCGCGTACATCCGAGACCTTTGTACGCTCGCCGCTCGTTGGAGCCTGATCCCACTATTGCTTTCTAGTATGCGCCGCCTTTTTTACCACTTGGTGGCGGGTATGTCGACAGGTCATTTCTGGTTTCCGTACTTTATAAACTGCATTTGTTTCTTTTCTGATCTAAAATACTGAACACTACTTTCATAAATAATTGAAACGGTTTGCGCCACTTATATTTTGTATTTCGACTAAAAAGAAGCTTTTAGCGGCTCTGACCAGTAGTAAGCCCAGGACCAAATACCTCACATTTCGCGCGCTTTCAGTACCGCGGGTCGCCCCCGTAGGTGGAGCAGGTTTCCGCGTCGTCCAGTTAAAGTATGACGCACTGATATTTAGTTACTCTCTCCATGCCCGCTGGCTTGCCCAAACCCCAAGAGATGTGGAAACTGCAAAAAAGGTAGACGCTTAAATATGTTTACAGGGCCCCTATTGTACATAATACCCACAGCGCGTCACTCTCGTGAAACCTGCTACAATGCTCGTTCATGACTATTTTCTCGTAAAACACATCCCAGAAAACATATTGTGTGGAAAGTCCTCTGTGCACCCCCGCAATACACAATGGAATTGGCAGCCGAAATGAACCCGGTCCAGACCATACATAAAACTGCTAGAGCAGAAACATGCCCATGGCTGTGTTCCAAGTCGACTGCCGACAGGGATGCAAGGCATTTTGGTTTCCACGCTTAAATTCTCTGCACACTCTAGATGCACTCATTGCAAAACAGCACAGACTAATCATACCCAGTGACCATGACATACAAACCACAAATTGCTGGCTAAATGCAGAGCAAACCAGTTCAGATGCAAGCACATCAATGTGTAGTGGCAACACTGCGGGGCTTAACTTTACGAATTGCTATGTTCCCAGAACTCTCCCACGAAACATAGTGATTGACATGTAAGACACAAACCATTCCAGATTGCTTATGGAAGATGCCAATAAAACCTAAATCGGTGGACGGAAAACCTTACTTAGTGGACGCGGAAACCTTACTCAGTGGACGCAAAACTTGGTGGACGCGAAAACTTATTCGGTGGATGCAAAACCTTATTCGGCGGACGCAAAACCTAGCTCGGTAGCGACAGATGCAAGAACTTACCGAATGACGGGGGCATAGAAGTAAACGATATTCTCACCTGCTGGACAGTGCAGGGCGTCTTGAGGACGCTCTGCAGCTTGGCGGCCGGCTGAACGCCACACGCCTCCAACTTCACCTCGACCTTGGGAACGACCGCGTCTGCCTTCGTCTGCCCGTTGTTCAGCACCTGCCGGTTGTTGTTGGTGACCACCTTTGGAGCAGAAAGGACCGTGTCGGTATTCACAAACCGTAGAATGCCAGCACTCAGCTGCATTGTAACTAGAGTTCCGTGCTGTTTTCGGTGCACACCGACAGACCCTGAAAAGTAACCCCTGAGCCAGCCGATCGAAATCGAAGAAAACCGATAAACCCCGAACTGGAGCTGAACCCTGAATGGGAAAAGGCCGAGCATCAGGGGAAAAATCTTTATCAACTGCTTTTTTTCCTGCGTTGTCCCAGAACACAGCTCACACTGAACCCTCAGCGGGGCTACTTCTTTCTTCGGGAACCAAAATCCCTCTCTCGTTTTCTTACCTTGTTCGTACCAGGACATTCTTCATGCATTCGGGTCACGTGCACATTCCCTGGTTGTTGGGAAATCCTAAGCCCGTGCCCTCATTTTTGTTCAACCTAATTTAAGCTATGATAAACCACAATTTCTCGTACAATACACACGAAAAGAAGGGCCTTAAAAAGACACCAAATCTGGGGGAAAATAATCAACCCTGAAAAAACAAGACTGATTTTAGTTGCTGCATGAAGCTATGTTGTGCTGGGCAAGTGCTGGCGGACCCGCACATCTAAGATGTTGTTGTCTGCTCGCACAGAGGGGGCATCTTACAGAGGTGCACATTCATGGTTTAACTTTTGTAGATGTTCGAAAGTGCATGACTGGAGGCTAATGAAGTAAAGCAAGGCAGGTTAGGTAAGGATGGCTCGAGGCCACAGCGGTCTCGAGCCACCCTTGTCATTAAAGGACTTCAATCAATCAATTCTCCATATACGACTATCCTTCTAAAAAAAGGTTGCGCTAGAGCTACCTAAACATTACGTCATGCAGCAATTTGAGGAGCCTAAACTATAGTTGGTGGAAAAATGACCGCATCTCCACGTGGTGAATGATGTTGATTGGGGCGAGGCTCTGGTGGTGCTGATGATACTGATTTTATTGTTCATAGGTAGTGCTGATGGTGCTGATTTTGTTTATTGCTCATAGGTAGTGCTGAGTTCCGGGTTGCGTTTCGACTTCATTATTACTGCTTTATGGTCGGTGAAATGTAAAGCCAGTGGTTCTTCTAGCGCAGGGGTTCTCAAACTGGGTTCCGGGGAAGACGGGGGTTCCACAAGCTGGTCTCATGGGTTCCGCGAACACCCAAATTGCAACCCACACCCCCATGCCGCAGGCTGCGTGGCAAGACCATGCAAAGCACCTTCATCTCACTTTGTACTGACATTGCGATTGATATGGTGGGGATATATGGGAAGCAACACAAGCAAAATTGCCTACAATTGTGCATCTGTTGCCTCTTGGTCGGCAAATATGGAGGGGGGGGTTCCGCGGCAGTTTTTGAGGCTTCCTGGGGTTCCGTGAGGCCAAAAAGTTTGAGAACGCCTGTTCTACCGGATCAGCTTGAATCCGCTAGAAGCCGTGGAAACGCATCTCCACCGCTTAAGTCAACGGTCCATGTCAGAAAGAGAATGTGTGGTATGGAACGTGGTTATGCTATACGCATTTGAGCATTTGACCGCAGCGCCCTCTCATCTATAAACGTTGAGCAAATGCATGCAAACTTTAACGCGATTATATACGCATTTGACCGCAGCGCCCTCTCCTGTATAGACGTTGAGCGGCTACATGCAACGTTTCATCCATGACAGAAACCCCAGCTCTTGAGTTACTACCACATCTCAGAGCCCCCTACTTGTCCCGCAGTCGCGGCCGAGTGGTTAAGGCGATGGACCAGAAATCCACTAGGGTCTCCCCGCACAGGTTCGAATGCTGTCGACTGCGCAAACATTTTTTCTTTTGATGTGAGCACGGACGCCGGCCGGACGGACGGACAAGGCTAAATCCTAAGGAGCTTCGCCCCTAAAACTAAACCCTTGCCTACTAATATAAAGCGTCACGTGTGCCACCGCTTACGGACCATAAAGCCCAACCACGAGTGTGGCTCCCGTTTCTGTTTCGGCGCTTGCTTAGCGTTCTCTCTAGCAAATGGCAAAACCACCCCTGTTGCTCCATCTACCTTAAGGTGAGACATTGGTTCTAAAATGAACTATTTTATTTTTGCAGCTATTCTAATGAAACTAACTGTGCATGTGTTTCTTCTTCCTCCATTCAAATATGAAATCAGTTTTAAAATATCTCAATTAGTTTTCAAGTTAAAAAAAATAGCGTTGCCTGATTTGGTAATTTTTTACGGGTCGTTAAAGCCATTTCCAACAAAAAACATTTTTTTTTATTAATGTAGATGCATAGCTAGAGTAGAGGTCTGCCATGCATTATAAAGCTATTTAAATTTTCACCAAAATTATATTATTATATAAAAATTGGCTAATTATGCCAATTATGACATTAATGAGGTCACATTATTTATCAATTTTTTTTGGCAGTCTAGACTGTACGAAAATAACCTTACTCCGTAGTCCAGTCCTTTCAGAATAAAACGGTACAGTATAGACCACTTACAACGTAACCGCTTATAGTGCAGGACCGGGTATAACGCAGCTTTTTTAAACCACCGGTTCGCCTCCCATAGGACTCCATGTAATTACATACCGCTTAAAATGCAGGCGCGCGAAGGGAAATACTGGTTATAGTGCGGTTTTCGGAACAGCCCGGCGACCGCGCCGACTGACCGACGCAGAGAGCACGCTTCCCTGTGCGACACTAGATAACGGCGCGAGCCGCAACACGCGGCACTCGCGGGGCAAGGAGGGTGCTCGAAGAAGCGGTGAGAAACAAAGAGAGAGAGGCTTCAGTTGCCATAGCGACGGAGGGAAGCAAGCACGTGTCGTTCACATGCGTGCGTCCCTCCGCAACCGCAACGACAGGCCAATCGCACGTCGAGGAGAAGTGTTCGCGCGCGTTGCATGCCGGTCGCGGGCTGGCTGCTTCAATACGCAAACGTGGCGTCGGTTGTGATTGTCGACGTAAACGGCGTGGTTCGTTCCGCGTAAAAGCGCTATCCTTGACTGAATTTTCGCTGTGTGTTGCTATGATAACCCAGCACGTACTAGAAGGGAAGATCCATCTACTCGTGCGGCGATGTCGTGGCGGCACTCTCAAGACGGCAGAAACGCCCGTGTCGTCGTGTTCGTTTACTTTGACTACAGTGGTGACTTCTGCATTTGTGTTTTTGAACATCGCCCGGATTTCTTATTTGGAGCATTTCATGCCTGTGCTAAAGTTGAAGGTATTACCGGCGCATACCGTATAAATAGGGTTCTGCGTTTTCGGTTTCTATTTTCTCAAAATTCGGCATACTTTTTTCGGTGTTTATTTTAAAATTCAATTTTCGGTTTTTTTCGGCGTATATTTATGCCCACCAAAATTTATCGGCTTTTTTCGGTGTATATAAAATAAACACCAACGGACACCGGATGAGATGATCCTTGTAGCTCTGATATTTTATATCACTCAATTAATAACGGCACAGATATATTGAAAAAGAAATGGACACTTTATTTCGCAAATGTGTGCAGCTGTAAAGAATCAATAAAAAAAACAGAAGTAAAAAGAAATCAGATATGACGCCTATGCCCAAAAAACATGGAACTTCACCTTCTGTTTACCAGGATTACGTGCTCTTATTACAGTACACACGCATGTACTTTCCCAGGTTCTCTTCGTTGTTCCGCACTCTTTCTTTCCTGTTAATATGACACTGAGCTTCAAAAATGCCCTCTCAACGCTAACACTGGACACTGGCAGGCTGAGGAGATGAAGCGCTGCCTGAGTCAAAATCGGCCAATCAACCAATTGTGAGCACCAAAAGAGACACGGTGCGACGTTTTGAAGCACAACACAACATGCAGAGCTTTCATCAAATCAGTCTTCCTTACAACGAGTTTGAAAACACGCCCGTACATGGCGAAGTCATGGGGCATTTCGGACTTCCGATCGATGTTGCGCACAATAAACCAACACGTCGTGATGGCATCCGTGTATCCCATACATTCGGAAACGTTTCGATAGACACTGCCGTTCCACTTTTTCGCGACGGCTCTGCGGTACGACTGGAAGGTTAAAGTGACTGTTTCCGGTCAAAACTGATTTTCAGAAAATGGATTCGACGTACTTTTATCGGTTTTTATCGATTTAAATCGAAAATACCGAACCTAATAACTGACTTTTTTCGGTTAAAACCGAATTTCCGAAATTGAATTCGGCGTACTTTTATCGGTTTTTATCGGTTTAAACCGAAAACTCCGAACCCTACGTATAAAGGATGCGAATTTTCACGCGTTTTCATCACCGGAGAAAAGTGATTAGGGTTAGCAATCCTCAACGCTAGCAACGTCCGTCCGCAACCCGCGACGCCGTTAAAGGCTGGGCCAGGCAAAAGTCGCTCATTACTTTCAAAATGTGTGACACACTTGAGAGAGAAGTGTACTAGTCTGGTGAAATAAAGACTTTCCTAAAACTAAGCTTTATTTTTAATCTAATATAAAATAAATTTGATTTACAATGGTAAGTTGTCTCATGGCATGTATTTTGGCCTGAAAAATTGATGTTTTGGTTATAACGCGGTACCGCTTATAGTGCGGATTTTCGTGACTCCCGCGACATACGTTATATGCGGTCTACACTGTATCAAAATTTCCCAAATGCTACGATAAAAACCTTAAGAAAACCCCCATAAGGCAAAGCATGTTGGCAAAAAACACGAAGATGAGAAAATCGAAGTTAAAATTTTGACATTGAACATAGAAAATTGTGTGAAGAATGATAAACAATAATTGCCATCAAGGTGTAGTGCAAGTCTTCCTGAACAACTTGACATAAAAAATTACGTAATCCATCCACGGGGAACATTAGAAAAAAAATTTGAAAGGAGTAAAGAATGAGTGAAATGTTGATAAAATTGCATTGGGAGGAAGTGGGTTCTCTAAAAATATTTTTTGCTTATTGGTATATCTGTGATTTTTTGCATGCTCCAAGCTGTGGCGCGCCACCGACCCGCACTGGGTCCGACGGTAACTGAATGCGATCCAAACGGGATCCAACTTCATGCAGTAGCGTGTCCGTGGTGTGCGTGCAGCTCCCATTTTGGTACATTGCGTCCGCGCTACATTTTTCAGCACCAACAGGTGTAGCGCCAACGAAATTCGTGACATTTCTTAAATCGACGTTGCACGTCCGCTTCGGCTGCGAGACAAATGAAATTTTACAAGATCGACCGCGGCGTAACATACCCTTCACGAGTCGGTCTGAGCGCTTCTGTCGAAGCGTTGGCTCGTGCATAGAAACGGGCGAAACACAGAAAAAGGGAAGCGGACATGCCTGCACGCTAGTTGATCACAGCTCAGTGTCCCCAATCGCGATCCTCATACAAAGAGATGAACTGTAGCAAATGCGCGTCAGTCGCGCCAAAACCCATACTCAAACTGAGACCAAAACCAAGAGTCCAGAGCTACTTGGCGTAATAATATAGTGCCATTAGCTTCCTTCCTTCCCCCCCCCCCTCTCCCCTAACTTTCTCTTCATTGCCTCAGAAAGTTGTCACCGAGTATAGCAACCTTCTCTACAATCAAGCGTCACCAGCTGCTACAGAAGGACGAATCTGCCAACTACAGTCGAACCTCGATATAACGAACTTCAATGTAACGAAATCCTCGATTTAACGAAGTATTTTATTTTTCATAATTTCTTGCCCATAGATCCCATGTATTTTTAGTCTCTATATAACGAAGTCTATTTTGCTGCTATTTCAATATAACGAAGCGCCATTGCCATAGAAGGCAATAAATAAATCAACTCTAAAAAACAACTTCGCAAAAAAATTGTGGTTAAAAAAAAAATTATGCGCAAACGCGAGCGCTTGATAGGTTACTTCACGGGGACAGGCCTTCCAACGTTCCTAGGCTGCCCGAGGATGCGGCGCCGGTAGCGCCGGCGAGGCATGCGGCAAAGCGGATTCCGCGGGGCTGGCCAGAAAATGCCGAGCAAAAAGTTAACACGGCATAACAGCATCACCACTGACATTCACTGATCATCATAGTCCACTGTACCGCGGGTAGCGCGGGAGCCAACTTCAGCGGGAGAGCGACGTGATGACGCGAACGCGCGACCGCACGGGCAGTGCCATTAGGAGAAGACCGAGAAGACCGATTATCGTCTTGCGAGCGTGATGTAAAGCAAAGGCGCAAGCACACTGTGGGCGCAAGGGGGCAAGTAAACTGTGCGGTCAAGAGTGCTGTGTAGGTTGGAAACATTGGCACCGCCTAAACTAAACAGCTTTATTTTTTAACCGGGCGGTTCACTCACGTGCTTGCTGCCATAAGGAAACGTAAAGTTCTTTCTTTGTATGAGAAAGCAAACGTTTTGGACGCCATCCTGAAGAAACCGCCGAGATCCCGAGCACTCGGGAAGTGCTCGACGCAGTGGACGTACTGAGGAGGTACACGGCGTCGCATGGGCAGCAAGATGCCGTGCAAGCGCTCTGGGCGCTCGAACGCCGTATGACGCCGCTGCTACTGTCGGACAAGGCGCCGAAGGCGCAAGCAAAACTCGCGGACTACTTTGCCCCTAAATAAATGTCATTTTCGGTGAGTTTTCATACCCGTAAAATGTTTCGGAATTTTTTTTTTTTTTTTCGCATGCTGAAGCCAAATTTCGATTTAGCGAAATTTCAATGTAACGAAGTAAATTGCGAATTTTACCGACTTCGTTACATCGAGGTTTAACTGTAATACCACAGCATACGGGGTCTGTCCCAAAACTTCCCGGAATGATTTTTTGTAGTTGGCAACGCCGCTTGGCGGGGCGGGGCTTCGGTCGGAGAAGTTAGAGTGGGACCTAAGCTTCGAAACGAGACCGGTCTCAGTTGCCTGCGGGCAGTTGTTGAGGCAGGTCACGCTCCGCGCAGAGGTATCTACTGCATCGTCGTCGAGAACAAAAATGGACCAGTCATGAAGCAGCGTTATGCAATCAAGTTTTGTGTGAAACTGGGAAAAAAACGGGGCGAAGACGCTCAAAATGCTTCGGAAAGCCTACAATGTCGGAGCGATGAAACAAAGCCAAACTTTTATGCGGCACAAGAGTTCCGGGAAGGTCGGTAGCCCGTCAACGACGACGACCACTCGAAACGCCCGTTGACATCACAAACGGACGACTCGGTGCAAAAATTGCGTCAAGTTTTGGACAAGGACAGGCAATTAAGTGTTTGGATGACCGCAGAGGAGTGTGGAATACCCAAAAGAATAGTTCATTGCATTTTAACGAAGGATCTTCAAATAAGGAAAGTCTGTGCGGAAATGGTGCCAAAGTACCTGACGAGTGAGATTAGGGAAGAACGTTTGTTGAAGTGCCAGGAATTGCATGAACACTACAAAACGGACCCAGAATTGTCGGAGAGAGTGATCACAGGGGATGAGAAGACGTGGAATTTTGAGTATGATCCCGAATCAAAGCGTCAGAGCAGCGAATGGCACACCACGGAAACTCCTTGCCCGAAAAAAGCAAGGATGAGCAAATCGCGAATCAAGGCAATGCTCATCACGTTTTTCGACAGAAAAGGTGTGGCTCACAGTGAATTCAAGCCACAGACACAAACAGCCAACAAGGAGTTTTACTGTGAAGTGCTTAAACGGTTGCACAACAGGGTGTGACGAGTCCGAAAAGAAATTTGTGACAATTGGATCTTCCACCATGACAACGCGTCAAGCCACACCGCGCTCATTGTCTTCGAGTTGCTGGCCAAATTGGGTGCGGCAACCGTGCCCCAGCCACCAAACAGCCCCGATCTGGCACCACCGGACCTCTTTTTGTTCCCAGGAATCAAAAGAACCCTGAAAGGAACTCTGCATGGGACGCTAGAGATGGTACAAGCAGCTGCGACGACCTCAATGAAGGAGGTTCCCGCTGACAGCTTCTAGGGTGCCTTCAATGATTGGGTGAAGCGTTGGAAACGGTGCATCGAAGCAGGGGGAGAACACTTTGAAAAGTTTTGAAGATATTGTAAACTAATATTGAATAAATTATTTATAGAAAAAAAATTCCAGGAACTTTTGGGACAGACCCTGTACTCATTGTCATCGACTGTGCTTTGGCTGTACGTGCATGCTCGGAGCTAGGAAGCCCGCGCCGAAGGGGGGAAACCGAAAGGGACTGTGAAATAAACTTAGGGCTGGGATAAATTACGATTTCACTAACGCACCTCGTTTACTGGACCAAAGGAAAGCTAGTACATGAGGGTGGAAAGTCAAAAGCCTGCTTTTCGAAGAGGAAAATTTGAAAATATGACAGACTCTTTCCTACTTTCTTTTCTACGAAGCCCTCTGCCTTTTCGCCGCGACACATCCACAGGGCCCGGGCACGTCAGCCGAACCCAGCTCACGCGTTAAGAGTGAGCACCGCGTCGCTCAAACGTACGCACTCATTGGCGATTGATCCGTCGACAGACATTTGGATTTGCATCTGTGGCCAACGAGTGCTGTGACGGCACTAGTCGTCACTCACGAATGACAAGTTCCACAATTAAAAAGCATGGTGGAAGCACGGAGTCGTCGCACCCGGTGCCCGAGCACGTCGCGACCGCGCAATTTCTCGCTTCTCTTTTGAGTTGAGGATTAAAGCTGAGGAGGAAGTTGGAAGATTGTTTCATGGTCCCTTGAATGATCACCCTGCCATCCTTATCCTTTTGGTGACAAGAGGCCAGTAACCCAAAGTCACAGCGAAGCACCACCCCTCACCTTTACCACGGTGCGCTGGGGCATCACCACGGCGACCCGGGCGCGGCACGCCGGCGAATAGCAGAGCACGCTGGCTCCCCCCGACGCCCCTTGCCGGCAGAGCGGCGAATAGCACCGCCTGGCCTGCTCGACCGCGTCAAAGGACGCCTCGTCCGCGCCCACCATGCCGTTTGGGAGAGATCGCCCGGCGATGCCCGCCTTCTGCGGCGGGTCGACCGACTCCACGTCCACCTGCGGGAAAGTAAAAGGTCGGTGACCTTCAGATACAATAGCCATACTCAATTACGAAAACGAAAGAGGGAGATTGAAGACGGTACGGACGACACATGTCATCTGTATCCTCGAGTATTCCCCATTTTTCGTAATTTAGACACCAGTGCCCTCAACCATCCACATTCGTACTTGTCAACTTCTTTGTGCCATGTCGTCGAGCCTGACATAGTTTCCCCACCGCTGCAGCATCACGACACTGCAAGAGCACGTGGCTATGTCTTGCTTCTGACTTGCACACGCTCCCGTGCAAAGGAGACGTAAGACACAGATGCACGCCTGCACGAGCAGCTTTGACAGCCTCGGAGCGATGGAAACTTTGCTAGCCTTAACGATATGGCACAAAAAATAGACGCCGAGCACGGTCAACAAGACGCTACGCCTTCTTCCAGGCTGCTGGCAAAAGATATGCAGAAGACAGCATTTGGAGTCCTTTGCGCCACTTCGGATGTGCATCGAGCTCGCCACTTTCGACCCGCCTCTGTGTGGCCCTCTCTTTGTGCCAATACAGTCGCCGACCAATCTTTCGGACTCGGAGGGGACCCCGAAATTGTCCAAGTAATCAAGCGGTCCGAAAAATCGATTTCAACCAAAATATAAAAGTTCTGCGCGTATTCCGCTGCATATTGGCCACTTTCCAGTTGCTTGATGTCAATTTTAAGTTTTCATGCAACTTACGCTTTATACTGTTCCCTTTTCACTTGTTTGTTCATCTGTTTGATCACGGTGCTGCACCTTGTCGGCACCTTCGTTGGCACAAACAGCAAAGTTGAAGTTAGCGCCATTTGACACTATTTGTAAACCACGTTTAGTCCACAAAGCTCGCTTCAATACTAAGCCTATCGACAAAAAACCGTCGCGCTCAAAGACCACAAAACGGCAGACAGCCGCTCTTCTCGCAGTTGCAGACGAAAAACACTGACCACGAGATGAACTGGAAGAGCCACAAGAATGGGCAGCTGGCAGCCATGTTAAATATAGCGGAACCGGAAAACCCGACTATAGCCTCAACCTAGCTTGGTTATTGTGTAGGACATGGTATCAAAGCTACAGGGCTAGATCAAAACAATCAAAATGGCGGTGATTAAGCTCGCAGCATTGTTGCTGCGGCTGTTTTGTGGCTGTAAACTGAGTAAATCACACAAATTATGTCCCAAATATCACGCAATAAGCTTTATGGCGCCCGAAATTTCGGTCAATGTTATATATTAAAGGGCAACTCCGCTTCATTTTTGGTTTTGAAGAAACAATGCAGTCTTCTTCAGTATCGCCTAGGAAGACCACACGTCAAATATTACGACGCAGTTCTGTCTAAATGTTTCTTAAACGGTCCGGCAAACTTTGCAACTCGCCAAGTTGCCGAAATAAGCTGACTCGAGCGGGCGAATTCAGGCGCAACCAACAGCGCAGTCAAGGCTAAGGCCTGGGCGGAGCCAACAGTGAGCTAAACGTCATCATCATGGCCCCCTTTTGCTTGTTTTTACTTCTCCGATCGAGCATAGCGCATGACGTCAGCAACGTTGCCTCTAGGCGTTCAGCGGTGTCCAGGTGATTGGCGTACGCGCCTGCGCAGCGCGCTTCTTGGGAGCAGACCAACCGCCCGCCTTGGTCCCGCCGTTACCGCCGTCTTCCGCGTCACAACCACCGTCGTCGTCTCACCGTTTGTGATTATTGCCTCTCGGAGTTTCGTCCACACTATGGACACCACGTGCGCAGAGTCCCAGACTTGTGCCGCAGTTGTGCAGACGTCGTCGAATGCCATAGACACCAAAACGTGGCGAAGAGTGCGGTGCAGACGACACTCGCGCCTGCCGCACGCCCGCCCCCATCCCGCCCGTCGTTGGGCCGAGGATCACGTGACATCTCTTACCACGTGATGGCCATGTACTTGGCGGCCCGAGGCCAATGTTGCCGGACAGAGCCGAAGTTTCGGTTTTGATTTCCGCTCGTGTTTAAAATTAGATTTAAAAATATATATCCCATTTTTCGCGAAGCAAACGACGTGGTGTCTTTTACTAGGTCTTTTTAATTCGAAATCACTCATTATCCCGAAATCTTCGGAATTGAGCGGAGTTGCCCTTTAAGGGGGGACACGGCTCCTTGAAACAAAAAAATAACAAAAAATTCACAATTTTGAAATTATGTTTTTTAATATCTACAGGTATTTTCACATCTTTTTTCAAAGTATTATCGCAAAATACGCCCTATTTATTTTGGGGTATTGATTTGAAGTATCTAAACGGAGATGCTTCCTCTGAAAACAGCAAAAAAAAAGTACAATTTGACCACCAGTAGCTCGAGAACAATGCGATAGAAGGGGGCCATCTTGGTCTCATTTGAAAGCTCCGCTCCCTCTCTTTCTTCTTCCGCCATTCACTATGCTAGACAACAATTGGCCGCCGAGAACGAAGCACAAATAAAAAACTAAATCTTGCCACGCGGTTGGCTGTTTCGGATCACGTGTGCAAATGGCGCTCTCTCACTGGCCGTTAGGGTTACGCAGCGTCTGCTCGTTGTTTCCGATCTGCCATCTTGTTTAATTCTCGTGCGCGTCTCTGACCATGCCGATCACAACAACTCCACGGAGAAAGTTTCACACAGCCCACAAGTTTGGAAAAAAACGAATAAAGGGCCCGAGGAAGCTAATCCCCGGCGCAGTTCAACTTCCCGCGAAACTGAACGTCGACAACGAGGTGCGGGAGCCCGAACACGAAGATGTCGCATCGACAGTGCCGTCGACATCCTGACTTCAAGCAAGCTAGTACGGCTCGACATAGTGATGCTCAGCGCTTCCGAAATCGACGAGAAAGAAAAAAAAGCCGAGGAAAGACTAAAAAGCTTTCGTCGACGTCCGCTACGACGCGGAAAGTTGGGGCGATGTCGAACTCATAGAATGCGATCGCGAGTATGGACTTGCAGTAAAACTCAAGCTATGTTGCAAGATCTGCGGGGATGTCGCATCCGAGTGGAGTTTGCCGCGGATAGCAGTAAAAATCTGTCCGTGAACGTTTTTTGCTGTTTTCTCGAAATGAACTTTTTGCGCAGTTTGCTATTTTGGAGAAGCCGTATCTCGGCCTGCACACAACCGATCTTCCTAATTCTTTCTTTCTTTGGTAGGTGTATAGGTGGGGTATCCAATAAGGGGTCTAATTGCATCAACCTAGGCATCAGTATTTCTTGTTAGCACCTCCAATATAGATTGTAAAAATTAATTTATGAACTGAAAATTTAGAAATGCCGTAAAAATGTTATAAATAATCATGGAGCCTTCATTTATACCTTATTGGATTCTGTAGACCTTCTAGTTTACAGAGATATATTCCTTTTTTAGTTTTGTCTTCATAATTTTTTGGAATCTCGCCCATAAAATGTTCAAATAAAATAGTTAATTTTATCAAAACTAACCAAGCTATTTTAAAACAAAGTACATATTTGTCATCAGAATGGGTAGACGATTGTGCTCTATAAATTTCATTTGGATTGGACTATAAATAAGAGAAAAAGCTCAAGAAGCAGTGTTTCCCCTTATCTCTTTGGGGTAAGTAACTTTTCGGCGAAAACGTCAGAATTATTGGACGTGTTTGAAAAACCGGCGTCCGAAAAATTGGTCGGTGACTGTAGACCGTTTTTAAAATGCCGTCGAGCAACACTGGCGTTCACCATTTCTCGGGCAGTGCTCGCGATTGGATCCGAGCCTGGACTGTATGCAAGCAACCCTCACATACAATGCATTCCAAGAGTACGTGCCCAAACAAGGGTGGACTCCGATAATTGCCGTAGCATCTGCTAGATGGAGTGCACTTTTAAAAAGGATCTATTCTTCCTAAATTAAATCGGTGTCTAACCGTATGGCAGTTTGCGTTTCTCCGCTCTATTACGTTGAGGAAACGCCTCCCGCTAAACTTTCCGGCAAAATTAACTCGGTGCGCCATTGCATGGCAGTACGGGTTTTCTGCTCAATGTAGCTACCAAGCCACGACTGACAGACGCAGGCAGTCTCGCACTTTAGTGTCCCTAGAAATGCCATTGCTTTTGAAAACGAGCGCATTGATCAACACACTTCACGAAAAATTGAGCAGTGTTATGGCAAAGCCTTTGACCATCGCGTCCATGCACCATGGGACGGTGGGTTGTGTGAACAAAAGTGTTCAGAACAAACTAGACATCTGTTTTGTTCCAACCGCCTTTGTTTCGTTCCATTTTGTTCTGAACGCGTTTGTTTCTTTGACGTTACTATGACGCCAACTTTTTATAGGATACACTTTTTTTTTTTTTCCGAGAGTACAAAAAACCCAAGTTTACAGCGGGTTATTAACGCTCTGGCGTGGCTCAATGGTAACGCGCCCGCTTTGCACGCTGCGGGCCCAAGTTCGATTTCAGCGGGCGCTTTTTTTCGAGGACTTAGCAACATTAACAACAAAGGTCAGACACCGTCATCTACAACATCAACGACGAAAACAAATACAGCCTCAACAACGGACGTCATTTCCAGTGGTGGGAGGAGCCCGCAACAACCATCGCTGCAAGAGCAAACCACCGACCTGTGGCTCCACCTTGACGCGTGCGGCGGCCGTCTCGGCGAGCCGGTCCTCGAGCTCCTTGAGCTTCATCCTCCGGTCGAGGAAGCCGTCGATCTTGGTCGGCCGGGCCACCTTGGGGTAGAGGGTGCGCACGGGCGAGGAGAGAGACTCCGACACGTCCACCAGCTCCACCACCATGGCACGCGAGGCCAGCATCGCCTTGAGCAGCGTCTCCCCCGTGATCTTCACCTCCCGCGTCGCCGGCTCCTTCGGGGGCTCCGGGGCGGCCTCGCCCGTCTCCATCTTCACCTCGCCGTCCGCCTGCAGACGGTACGCAGCGGAGGGACTGTAAATACCGACCTCCCAGATGCAACTTCTCGGAATTCTTTGAGAGAGTGGTTCGAATACAGCCCAGTCTCGCGTAAAGTAGTTCCAGCTCTGAATCTTGCCGGGTAACACGTTGGTAAACTTTCGCCCTAGGTCTTTCTGTGCGCAAGGGGAGTATTTTCCAGCTTGCTCGGTTCTTTTGCATCGCGACTGATTGCTCCAGCCGGAATACCGTAAAATTCCGAGAGATGCCTCATCCCCGAAAGATAACCTGCCTCCAAATTTTAACTCAATTTCCCCACCCCCCCCTTTTTTTTTAACACCGTAAGATAGTTTATTTTCAGTAATTGTAGTGTTCAGTATTTTTTTACCTTGATGTAAGTGCGCCCAGTATGCTATGCGAGGAATAAGCAAACATTGCTGCCTGGTAAGTACAGTCATCCTTGCTTAATTTTAGAAAATTAATTTTTAAACATTTTCTTAATGAAGGAGATGACAATTAAAACGGAGGTTGTTTATGGAATAAACAACCCAAATATGTAATTTTCTAAAAAAACTGTTTTTTCACAATTTTTTGTCCCTCCTTATTTTATAATTTGCAGAATTCCCAATTATGGAACCCGTTAATAGTGGGCACTTGAATGAAGTGGGCTTTTCCACTGTACTTTAAGGTGAAGTAAACACATACATTTTCCCAGAGTTTTTCTTTGAAAATACACCTGCTTTTCTTTTTCATTCCTTAACAACGGGGAAGAAACGTTGACAATCGAAACACAACAAATTCAGTAATATAAAGGGTCTCCCGTGCGCACATTAACGTGAAAATATGTTAGTACATGCACCTATACGGTGTGTTTCATAGTATGTTTACTGTTTACCCCATTACCAAAAAGTAACCCACCCCAATTTTTTGCTTGACTTGCTATTTTCTATTTAAACACCGCAAGATAGCCCACGCCTGGTAATCGTAATGTTTGGATCAACGACGACCTTGGCGTAAATGTGTTTAATTACCCATGGCGAGATATAAGCGAACACTGCTGACTGGGAAGTTCAGTAATCTGTGCTTCATTGCCCCTTGCCGAGATAACAAGTTTGATGGAGACACATGATCTAACAATAGCATTTTTTCAACTTTTCTCGACTGCACACCAAAAGTTAGCCCACTCCTTATTTTAACCCAATTTTCTCTCAACAGTAGGTGGGCTATTTCTCGGGATTTTACAGTAGGTTTATAAAATACTATGCATGCTCCCACGAAAACGGGACACGAGGCTTCGCTAGATCAGAGATGGGATGGCAGACATAAACCTATGCGGAGCGCAAGTTCGTCTGCTTCTTTTGCAGGGGTTGTGGTTACGTCAGAACGCCGAGCTCCGATTGGTTCTGAATGAAGGGTAGTGGGTAGACCTCAAGGTAGTTTGCTTTGAGGTCTACCGACTATCTTTCAATCAGAACTCGGAGTTTTTCTGACGTCGTCGCAACTCCTGCGCAAGAAGCAGACGACTTGCTCCACATAAAACGGGACGACAGACATAAACCTCTAAAACGGGACTGTCCCGGAGAAAGCAAGACGTCTGGTCTCCCTAATAAAAGGGCATTAGCGGGTACTTTCTTTTTATGCATATAGGCCTTTATTCAGACTTGGAACGAGCAGGGGAGAGAGAAATAGACTCGTCAGTGGCCAAATAGTTCCTGGCATATGTCACCAGGGCGACTACAAAGGGGAAAAAAAAAGCAAAGCGTGGATTTCTGCGGCCCAAGTTTGTCCCCGATCATACTCACCAAGTTCTCACAGCAAGGGAGCTACTTGTCATACTTGTGCTTTTTACCCAATATCACGAAGCAACACCAATAACTAACGGTCTGCATGCAAACTAATAGAGAAAGCCCTGTACAAACTCCACGGGCTGCAGGAAGGGTGATGAGACGTGGCGGGAGACCATAAATGCCGGCCTCAGAAGAGCGAAATGTGGCCGTCGTTTGAGAAAATGGTTCAAATCTAGGACAACTTGTCTTGGTTCTTGAACTTGTATGTACAAGGTCCCAATTGCTTTCTTATTAACGAGTGTCCTCGTGTTTTTAAAACATGCATCGTCGATATTGATTGTGTCCTCCAAACTGCTATGTTTTTCGAACTAGGAATTGAACAGGAGCTGAAACCGCCAGAAACAAGCGTCATCCTACACAATTTGCAGCCTGAGATTTGTAGCTTTGTGATGGGCCCATACCAAACGTTGCAATCCATGTTATGTGCCATCAGACACGAAAACTATTCATTTTTGCGTGAAAACAAGCTTTCGAAAAATATTTTTTGGTTCGACAAACTCGTACAAATTAAAACATAGCACACCCAATACCTTGTTTTCAAGTTACTGCGTTAGAACTATAGATCCACTTTGCGGCATACAAACTGCAACTGCTGCTCATGGCAGTGGAATTGTAAACACGGTCTACAAAACTACAGGAAGGCTCGCGATAACTCAAACTTTGACATTTCATACTTCCGGTTAATTCAAAGAAATTTCAGAATTTCAACAGAAGCGTGCCCCCTTGAGTGCGCTTCCTACCGAGCACCGGTGCACTGCAAAGATTCAGCACCCGCAGGACTCACTTCCGCGGGCGTTGCTTCTCCGCGGTGAAGTTGTGCTCGGTAAGAAGTGCACTCAACGAGGCTGATGGTCCACAACATAGACAACTCTCGCTGGATGAAAAAACTTAATTTTGTTTTAAGGCGTCATTTGCTGTCCAAGCAGTCCATAATAGACAGCCTTTTTGAGGGATGACTAAACACATTTCAACAAGGTTTCATGTGTGGTATACCTGCTTATGATTACAACATTTTCCGGGCTATAGTCCACAGACTATACATGTTTAAAAGTTCAAATTTTAGCCTGTGCGGTCCTCCTACGCGTGCGCACTATACCTGAATTTTAGTTTTTCAAGGTCGTTCATTACGATAAGGCGTGACGGATTTTGTGAAGGAAAGAGTATGCTAATGATAATTTATGTATAATACAAGCTTCTTTGTGAGCTAAGAAAGCAGACATTTCTAAAGGTGTGCCATGTATAAGAAGATTTTTGTGTCTACTAAACACCAGCTGTGGACTATGCACCGGATGCAGACTATCTAAGCAAAAAGTTCCATTTTTGACCCCAAATTTGCCCCTGCGGACTGACTCTACATCGTGATTTTATCTGGCATCATGTTTAGATGAATTTGTGATGATTCAAACGAATTTGTGACTTCCTGGAGTTTGAATCAACAAGTCTAGTGTATACCCTGGAAACTCCGGAAAACTCAAAATGTGCAAGAAATTAACGGGAGCGGTTCACCTTAGACGCAGCCTCTCCGTCCGCCGGTGCGATGGCCTTGGTGGTTGGCGCCGCCACCACGGCGTCCTTGTGACCCTGCAGCGAGATGACCACCTTGTGCGGCCCCGCCCGCAGGCCGACAGTGTGTGCCGGCAGGTGGCGCACTGTGCGAGTGCAGCTGTTCCACAGCCAGCCGCCCTGGCCCGTGATGCGGTACTCCTCTCCCTTCTGCTTCCAGACCTGCGTGTGCGGCAAACGGATTTCTAACGCGTCGTCCGCAACGTGTGCCACAGACGGCAACAGACCAATAGTTTCGACGTCGTCGTGGTTCTGTTGTTCTGACGGCTCTGTCCTTGTGAAAGCTCTCATTCAAATGATTCTGTCGTTTTGACGGCTCTGCCTCCGTGACAGTTCCGTTGAGATGGCTCTGCCTTAGTGATGGTTCTGCCAATTTGACAGTCCTGTCATTTTAAGGGTTATGACAATGATACACATTTTTGAAAACCGGAGACGACGAACGAAGAAGGGGACAACACACAAAACGTCTCAAAGGGGACAACACACAAAACGTCTCTCTGAGACGTTTTGTGTGTTGTCCCCTTCTTCGTCTGTCGTCTCCGGTTTTCAAAAATGTGTAACATCAACCAGCTCGCCTGCCTACTTACCGTAAAAACCCGCATATAATACGAACCCGCGTATAATACGAGGCATGATTTGAGGACCGCGAAGAAAAAAAAAAAAGTTTTATCCGCGTATAATATGAAACAATTTAAGGACCGCGAAAATATTCCGCGTGAAATGCAACCCAGGAAGTCTTAAGAAAAACATATATTTGCGTCGTAATTGAACCTTAATCACTGTCATCACTTCCATCAGACTCCTTGTCCGATGCCTCCTCCCTAAGGCAGTCGTCTTTAGTGCCGTCGAGCACATTTGAAATTCCATACTTCTTGAAAGAGCGAGCGACGGGCGTGCACCGACGCAGTGAAAGCCCGGCGCGGCGTATAAAGCGAACAACCTAGTGTACCCAATGTCAGCTCATCAAAGTTCTCTGGCCCTCTCTTGCAGCAGCTTGATGTCTACGGCAACGTGCCGTTCACGTTGCTCTTTTACAAAGTCGCCGAGACTTGCCTCGACGTCGGCGAGCACGCCATTTTTTGGGCCTCCAAAGCTTCTTCTCGTTCCGTTGAACGGGAACAGAGCTTGATTTCGTCGTCTCCATCCGCGGATGCCGCCTTCATTTTCGGCGAATTGTCGCCCGGCAGCACTGTTGCCGATGTCTTCCGCAACCAAAATTACTTTTCTTTTGAAGGCGGCCGAGCATCGTTTTCGGCGATTCGCGCCGACGCCATTGCCTAGCCTGACCGTGGACACATGGTGGCTTCTCGGACATTGTGATTTTAATGATGATGATAGCTGTTTTGAACGCCATATTGCTACGAAACCGAAACCACGTCAAACTGCGTCAGATCGCGCCTCACAGAAGCTGAAAATTGTTGGGACCCACGTATAATACGAACCGCAAATTTTACATGGCAAAATTTGAAAAAAAACCTTGTATTATATGCGGGTTTTTACGGTACTTTATCTTCTATGACAATGACAATGATAATAATAATAATAATTTATTCACCATATAAATATGGTGGGGGCTGGGAAAAAAGCTGTACAATCAGCTTGACTGGTTTTTAGCCCCCTAAACAGGCTCACAGTGGTGGCGAAAATATATAAAGCAGGGCTGTTTCTTAATACAAAAAAAGAAAAATATATTTTTATATATATGCACAATAAGCAGTTAGTGAATGGGCATAGGGTGGTGCGAAAGTTCAGTCCTTTTGACTGTTCTGTCCTTTTCTTGGTACTGCCATTTTGACTGTACTGTCAAATAGACGGCTCTATCGTTTCGACAATTCTGTAGTGACGGTTCTGCTGTTTTGATGGTTCCGTTGTTGCGACAGTTCTGTCGTTTTGACGGAAATGTCACAATTTCGTCACACACGTTTGCAGACTGGGCAACGACCGATTCACAAGGTAGCATCCGACTGCATTGGGGGATTTAACTTCGACAGACAAGGGTAAGTAACCACAGACACCAAGCAACGCAATGCTTGGTAGCGATGGTAACTCGTAGTCACACCTCAACACTAGTCCCCAGTGCTTGCATCACGGTCAAAGACTACGGCGCGAGTTGTCCCAAGTTTCCACGTCTTGCGAATTTGTTGGAGCACGGGTTGCGTGTTTCGCTCACCTGATGCTTGAGTCCCAGGGTGTACTTGACCCAGACGCTCCGGTCCACCTCTTCCTCCATGAGCTCCCGGCGCTCGCGCTTCTCAGATTTCTTCTTCTCCTCACGCTCCGCGGCGGTTGAGCGACGCAGGCGCGTGTGACCTGCGACCCGATTGCCAGAGACTAGGTTCAAGCCGCCGCTCAAGCCCGTCGCTCGGTGCGTCTGCCGTCGTCGTCCCGACCGACAGATTACGAGTTCGTCCGACGACAACGTTCCATCCGTTCGTCTCGATCGCTCGGAACGAGCAAAGGCAGTTCGAACTGTCGAAGTTCCGGATGCGGTCTAAGAAAAAGATGGCATGAAATTCCCTCCTCATTTTCTAAACTCGGTTTTTATAAACACTTCTTAGTCCTACAAACTCGAAGGGACAAGTTCAGACAGAACGTCAATGATTCCTACCTTCTTGCGAAACCAGAGCTATAAATCCGGTTCACGAGACTAGAACTCATTATGCAGCTTGCAATACGTAAAGCCCCAGAAATAAATCCAATAATTGTACGGACAGCAGTCACAAATATTAAATGCTAACTGCCACCCAAAGCAACACGCGAGACGACACGCATCTGAGACCCGGACAGGAAACGTGGGACCTAGATCAAGGCCCGCACAGGTCCCACAAGGGTCGTCTATATTGCGCCGCACTTCGCTTCGCCCATAAGTCAGAAAGCACTCAAAGGCTGCATACAAACAGAGTATAAGTATAACTGATGTTGAAGAGACACAGGCACGAGATACCCCACGCCAATAGTTAAAAAATGCCTCGTTAACAATAATAGAAGGAAACGAGATAAGAGGTGTAGTTTTTTAAGAGCAAAGAGCAGACAGTTTGGTGTGGGCTGCGCTCCGGGTCCACACAAAATAAAGCCGTAGGTTAAGATTTCTTTCCGTCTAGATTTCTCTCGTTCGAGATTTTCCCCCTAAAATTGAGTCGGAGGTTAACTTTCGGTGTTTATCGGTATATACTGGCAAAAAAACAACAACATAATAATTGGTCATGCCCTTCATTTCTTACTCTGTAAGTGACAATTTCCTGTTCACTCTTAGGCTGACGCCGGAAGCTCCATGCTCGCTTCTTAGACCAGTCATGCATCTGTCCATCACCATGTGATCACATTCTTGCGCAGAGAGCGGGGGTCGGGTGTTAAAGGGAGGCGGTCGACTGGTCTGGCGATCGGGTTGCTCCCTCTGCACCGTCGGCTTAGGGGTAATGGAGCATACGGGTGGATAAAGCAAACGGGGAGTGGACCCGGCGTCCTTCTCACCGAGCACGTCGCTCCAGGCGGCGTTGAAGAGGACGGGCTTGACGGAGGCCTCGAGGATGGCCAGGGCCAGGGAGAAGTCCCTGGGAGAGGTGCACATGTTGACGGCCCGCAGCCAGTTGGACCGGTGGATGGCCCAGTTGGGGTGCAGCAGGGCTGCGGGCACGCTGTTCTCCAACTGCAGCAGCGTCTGGCGCAGGGTGCCCACCAGGGCCGCCCGGCTGCCGTGCACCGCTCCCCCCCACTGCGAAGAGGAACCCACGGGGTGCGCCTTTCGGGACGTTCGGAAGACACCCCCCACGTTACGCACACGCACGCAGGACACCCTTCGAGTGCCGCCGGAAAGCAATGATACGCTTGATGGACTCTCATGTTTTAAAGGTCGACGCACCAAATCGTCTGGAAGACGCCCCCCCCCTCCCCACCCTCACCCCCGTTACGTCACAAACCCTCCGAGCACCTCTAAGTACACGAAACATGTTAGGAAGACGTTACGCACATGGACATGCACGCGGATGTGAGAACACTCTCAGAGTAAATGTCGAATACTGGGAAAACTAAACACTCAACCGACACTCGTATCTTAAAAATCCGCCTGCAGAATCCTTCGGAAGACAAACCCACGTTATGCATGCAGGCGTGGGAACGCCCTTCGAGCACCGGAAGCACCTTCAAGTGCTGTCAAATTTACTTTAAAAAACTGTCCACCCGATCAACTCTGGTATCTCAAAGGGCGACGTGCTCAATTGTACGGAAGACGCCCTTTCACATTACGCCCACACAGAATGTGAACACCCTTGAACGGGGATCCATTGCTTCTAAGTGCCCAACACGCACAGATCCACGCACGCCCTTGAATGAGTCTCTGCCGTTTCTCGACTGCTCCAGTCGCAAGCACACATCGTGAAGCATGTGCGGCCTTTCGTGAAATTCTAGGGGTCACTCTTGTCTTCCAGTCTGCTGCCATTGGTACCCGACCACGCGTTCAAATTTTGAGCGACAAACTCAGAAACACCGTAGGGATAATCAACTTTCCTATCGAACCCCAAAATCTTATTTGCTGCCTGAATCTTTTTCTAGTATGCTTCTCACCATTCCTTCCCCCACCCTTTTTTCCTCCCTGCCCCCAAAAAATTGGGTCTAGGAGTTCTAGTTTCGGCAACTCCGGTGCCAGAACCAGAATTCCAACACGAAAACCAAACTCTAGAAGCTGGAACACGAGTTCTAGAAAGTAATCAGAATTCAGAGTAGCAACACCGGAATTCCAGCGCCGGAACTCGAATCCTGAGCCAGAACCTGCATTCCAGGGTCCAGAATTTCGGACACAAAAGCGAGGTTCCAGGAGCAAGCACCGGAATTTCAGTGTGAAAACCGAAATCCCAGAACCAATACCGGAATCTTGTCGCTGGAACTAGAGTCACTGTATGTTGCCAGAGTATTGCATCACTCTGGCAACTGTTACTGTTCAATTTTAGCTTTTACCGGCTATTTTGGCGCCGAAACACATACGGTGGAAGGGGTTTCGAGACTTCCGACCCCCCTCTCCCAAGCACACATGTCGCGAACAACCACCAAAGTTAGGATGCGCCCAGGTCAAGACGCGCTACCTCAAATCACTGGTGAGACATGGTTGCATAAAAACATCATGAATTGTGCCGCAAAACCTTGCCAACTAAAGTTTTATGAAACATCACGCTCCTGTCATTCTGTACTAATCTCCAAAAAAAAGTTCCTACAAAAAGAGCTCTTTTCCTGTGTTTTTATGCAAAAACATGCTTTGTAAATGCTCAGGGTGACCACAGTAAAGAAAAAAGGTTGAGCCGTCGTCTTGGCGCTTCGAGCCTGGGAGTTTCGGCACTCTGATAACATTTAGTGACTCTAGTTGGAACCCGTCGGCGCACCCACCTTGAACTCGGAAGCCGTGGTGAGCGAGAACTTGTGCGACAGGTGGCGCCGCTTGTCCCGGTCCTCCGCGTGCTGGTGCTTGTTCAGCGCCAGCGTGTTGCTGTGGTACTGGTTGGTGAAGCTGCGGTAGCTTCCCTCCATCCCCAGCTTGAAGAGCAGCGACCCCGAGTTGAGGGGCACAGCGCCTCCAACCTTGCCTCGCGCCACCCGTGATATCTCGCCGTCCTTGGTCAGCACCAGCACTGAGTCGGCGTCAGAGTCCGACGCGCCCTTCTTGCCCGTGCCGCCGGAGGCACTTGTCGTGCCGCCGGACGAGGCAGCGCGTGCCGACGAGGCTTCGTAGGCGAAGCTCCGCGGTACCAGGGCTCCCGTTTTAGAGCGAGTCACGATGGACGACCGCGAGCCCCCTGCGATTGATCGGTTGATTTTGTGAGTTTCAGTGGCACGAGAACCAGATTTGGCCCAAAAGCAGCAACAAGCTATACTAAGAGAAGTAAAAAAAAAGTGATGGCGAATATCTAGACAATTGTGTTGCGTACGTGAAACATTCTCGCATCACAAACGTTTAGCGATACTCCAAGTTTCCAGACGCCAGACGCCTACGTTCACGGCGCTCTTCATCAGATAGTTGAACACACACCACGTGTACACTTAATACTTGTTCCTAGAATGAAGTGGTACTACCGCTAATCGGGCTGATGAATTTTCAGTGCCATCGGCTGTCGCCGAGGCACAATGCATCGCCCCGCTCACGCATGGAGCACCGAGCACGTCAACCGAGATCGTGGGTCCCAACACTAGTCTTCTGTTTGCCGCGACGAGTATTAACGCGTCATTCAGCACCCATGCGCGGACACATTTCCTGACGCGCGAGGAGATCGAAGCAGAATCTAGACATTGCGACACCGTTCAAGCCGAACTTGGAGCTATGCCAGCAACCCAGAGGAAAATTGAAGCTATGCTGCTCCTCCACTACAAGCGAAGGTGCAATGTTCTGCCTTGTTTCGATAGACGTTCTGAGCAGCCAACTCAGCTGCACAGTGTGCAAGGATTGCTCGGGAACTGGATTGACTGTCTAAGAAGGCACAAAACTCGGACTGGCAACAACAGAAATCTTGGTTGCAGTGGGGCTCCAGCCGGCCCATCTAGCCCTCCAGCGAGCTGCCAAAAAAGATGCCCTACGTCTGCACAAGGCCAGCAGACGACATCGAGAGGAGTTGGACAGGCGGAACAAAAAGGAAGTGTGCAAGAACACTTTGGACTACTCTGCAATGTCGTTCTAAAGCCGAAAATCTGTGTGCAACTTTCAAGTGCTGTTTTCTCAGAATGGATCTCGGGAACTGCCCAATGGATTTTCGTGCTGTCTTTTTTATTCTGTTCCTATACGTATAACTTTGTATGGGCATAACAGAGTCCTTTTTTTAGAAAACTGTATTATAAATTTATAATAAAAAAAAAAAATTAAATTTGATGAATGTAAGTTTCACTGACTATATAAAATTCGAAGTTGTGCTAAAATTTATTTGATGAATTTAAATTTCACTGACTATATAAAATTCAAAGTTGTGCTAAAATTTATTAACAAAGAAATTTAAGAAAAGCGCTGTGTTTTGCGCTGGGAAACCTATCCAGGGGTCACCATAACGAATTTTATACTGCTAGTACTACCTTTTTCGAATTCTCCAGGCCTGCCATAAAGAATGGATATGGAGGATTTTGATAAATATTTGTAACTTGAGAAATAATATGCACAGCTCCATGAAACTTTGCAGTTACTCTTATGTCTGTGTTATAAATACACCCTGTGAATTTTGTTCAGGTATCTCTAAGAATAACACAGTTCTTTATTATTCCCCACATCCTCCCTTAAAGAAACCACGAAACAATACTACCAAATACGATATAGCTTCGCCAATACTGGAAACTCCTCCGAAAACACATAGGAGCGGCGGCGAACGTGACAGTGGCGCCTCTAGCGGACTCGGAGTCTACGGAAGCAGTCGTTGCAATGGAAAAATATAGGCTCCGCGACGTCCCCGAGCTTTACAAGCCCCGTATCGCCACCCTAACAACAGAAACAATTTATTACGGTCAGTTCGCTTGCAAAGCGGAATCCACTGATCGCAACTGCAATGACAATCGAATAACAACGCGCACGTAAACAAAGATAGAGCAGTTTATTTAGTGGTCTCAAACGCCTCCCACGGGATCACACGCGTTTGAAACGCGTCTGGGAAGCGCAAAAAAGGCGTTAAGCTACTCGAACTACGTCGTAATCGTTAAAACATGCAAAAACGACATGTTAATATTACCAGAGCAAGCGCACGAGCTGCTGGAGCATAAAAACAAAACAAAAAGTAAGGATAAAAATGAATGTGCAAACACTTACCGAACTTTGCAGAAAAAATGGTGTCGCCATTCCCGACGAAAATAAGAAGAAACGGGAAAGAGAAGCGAACAACGGCGAATAAAAGAAAGAAGCTAGCAAAAAACTATTTCAAGGACGACGATCGTTGCGGCGCTTATAGAAAAAAAGAAAGAAAAATGGAAAGCAGCAAATGAATAGCTGGTGGTTGCCACCGGTGTTGAGTTCACGACAAACAAAGCAGAAGCAACAGACGAAACTAATAAAAAAAGAAGAAAGCGACCCTTTTTTTTTTCAGCTGCTTGTTGTACATTTCTTTATTTGCTTTCGCGGCGTAGGTACGAACTAAAACCAAAACAGGGGAAATAAATAATGTAGTGCAGCTCACACTGCCCCGTAAAAAAGAGTCGCAGAAATGTTTTGGTCGCAGGCAGCAATCTTTTATATGTGCTAGCAGTGAGTAACCTTTTTTTGCTTTCGAATTTCTTTTTTCAGTGACTTTGGCGGGTTGTTCGTTCGCTCGCTTGACGAAGCAGTTTAAAAGTGCATTCAAGTACTTGTTGACGTAGGTGTCCGTAGGTTGACGTAGGAAGCACAAGAAAGATTTTCCACCACATCGCACAAACTTGTTCTTGCAATGGTAGGCACCACATCGCACAAACTTGTTCTTGAATGCGGCCGGTTGATCAACAAACGATGACCCGTAGCAGACGTGCCAGCCGGAGTACAAAAATAAAATTCGAATCAAAATGGGTAACGAGCTTACACTTCTTAATATATTTAATAAATATCAAAAAGCATGTATGACGATTTTGGATTAGAAACTCAATCGAAGGCGAAAATAGGAGGTTATCGCAGACGACAGTGGAAGAAAACAACAACAACAAGAGCAAAGTTGCAGACGGCCCTCAAAATACCCGGGCCTAGCGCAGACGAACCGCGGGTAGTAAGCGCCGAAGCGAAGGAAAGGGAGTAAAAACTAAGCCAAACAAAGCAAGGATACGCGATTGTTTACACGTCGGGCAAAAAAAAAAAAAAAAAAGCAAAAAGCAGACAAAAAATATACACAGCAACATATAAGCAGGAGGAAGAAATAACGCGGCAGAGTGGCGTCGCCTCAAAAATATAAAAGAAAGAAGACTCAAAAATGGAAATAGTGGAGACGGTTCAACGGGTGTCGGCCTTTATCGTAGAAGTAAAGAAGCAGCGAAGCAGAAGATGTTGGTCGTCCCCGCGCTAACAATCGGAATTTGTGCACTGTCAATAACGTGACTGAAATCATCTTTTTTCGCGGGGCTACGACGCTCTCCCCTTCTTTCTTTGCAAGCGCGAGAAGTCTGCTTTTTTCGTAACTCCGCTTTTGTTAACCTATAATCGCGTCAGATTTGCATATGCACAACGCCTTCTTTCGGAGCATACTGACATCGCCGTAACGTACGTGGTTCGAAATTGACTTCTGCTTCTTCATCTGGAGACGATCTTAACGGGATTAGCTAGCTCGCCTGTTCGACGAAACGGTTATAAGCAAGACACTCATGAGAAATGGGAATTGCAACGACAAAACGAATTGACTGATAAGAACAATAAAGTTGAAACGAAGCTATGTTCTGAAATGTTTGTACATTTCCCTTTTTCACGAAACAGCGCGAAGGCATACATTCGTGTTTTGCTTGGCTTACATAAGTTGTGACAGAATGTTTTCTTCGGGAGAACTCCGAAATTGCACCCAGAAAGCTGTAACACCTTTCCCACGCGAAGAGAATGTCCTTCACTTATGAGCTGGCACCCATTTTTTAACTTTCAAAGCAGCGAATGTCCGTGACAATTTTTTTTTGTATGTCACCTCGCACGGGGATAGGCAAAACCAATGCATTTTGGAGAATTTGTCTGCCAGCGGAGACTCCGAGCTCGCCAGGGGCGCTGCAATCACTTTTCGCCCGTTTTCCGCGAGAGTTGCCAGTATTGGCTTGCACGGTATTTGATACTACTATGATTCTGTCGATTAAAAGCACAAAATTGACACTCCACATTCGCAAAGCATGGAAAGAATAAAGTTTATGTTAAAACATTTTTGCAAAGTGCATTTTATGAGGCATGCATTCCTCTTCGTCCTCAACCCCTCGTTTCTCTCCCAACCACGTGACCCTTAATTAATGGCACAAACAAGGAAAACGTTATTTCGAGGCGACGGATAGTCTGCTCGGGCAGGGGATTGAACCGTAAGCCTTGGGTGCAGCAAAACGTAAAAAAATCATTTCAAGAATGTTGACACTCGAGAGCCTCGTTTGGGACACCGAAGAAACTTGCTCCAATCGGTGCCCGCATGTATGGCCACCAGATGTTCCTACGCTAACGGACACCGGGGCTAGAGCAACTATAAATGAGCTACGATTCAAAGTAACAGCACTTCGACCATCTTGTTGCCTGAACCCGTTGTTGCCGGTCATATCGAGCTTTATCTGAATTCGCAGGGAATGCTCGTCCTTCCTCCAGAAATGCTAGAAACGGTCCGCAACGGAGCACGACGACGTCGCCAGTGCTTCTTGACGCGGCACCTAAAGCGTGGGAAGTTGCATTTTCAAATCACAACTCTCGCCAATTGCCCCCCATCTGCAATAAAGTAGCGGCGCTAAAAAGACAATCGCGGCATAGAATGTCGATATTCCAGCTTAGCCCCTTTGGCGGCTCTAACCAGGGCAATGTGTCAACAGACTGATCTCAAAGGCCAGTTTGGCTACGCCAGCACTGCCATGACGCATGACAAGAGCTTTAGTGTCGGCACGTGCGGAGCACAACACGGCACGAGCTACCTCGTGCACCGCTACCCGACTCCCGTGAACTAAAGTCGTGACGGCATTGCGCGTGCGCCGAACGCTTGGCGAGATTTACCGATTGGGCCGTTTGATTGGCCGATCGGTTCTCACCTTCGGCCTCCTCCTTGCCCGTTCGTGCGGGAGTTGTCCCTTTCTTGGCCGCGGCCGCCTCGTCATCAGACTTCTTGCCCACGCCGTCCCCTTCCTCCTTCGTTCCTTCTACCTCCTCCTCTTTCGGCGTTTCCACGGAGCCGGCTTCGGCGTTGGCTTCTCCGGAGTCAGACGGCTTGGAATCCGCCCCCAGTTTCACTGAAGGGAAGCGAGGTGGTTTGACACAACGTTCGTACCTTGGAAACTTAACCCTAACGAGTAAACCCCCCTCCCTCACACACATAAACAAAAACAAAAGAAGCAAGCGAGAGATTAAATGAAAGGTACGACGACCCCTCGGTTCTGAAGAAACATCTCGAGAGGTTAAACCTTTTAAATACCAAACCGAAAAAAAAAAAAAAAAAAGGACTTTACCTAGATCAAAGCAACCGTCAGAGCCATAACACTTGTAAGAAACTCACTAGAAAGCTCAGTAAAACTATGACCCAGAATGGCAGTCCTGAACCTTTGGTCCAATCTACAGCTACACTAGAGCTCTTACAAGTCACAATAGTGCGCTTTTGCAAAAGCTTTCTAGTTGCAGGTGTATTTTCACTACAGGGTTTCTCAAAGAAATCGATTAGATATCTGTAGAGGTTTTCGCTTTCCACCACGAGACCGCTTTGTCTGGGCTCGTCTGCAGGATGTTGAAGACAATGAACGTGATTAGTTTTCCGCCGGATTGACAATTTTCGGTGTATGCAATATGTTGTAGCGATATGTGAACCCCTTCAATTGGAGGTCCACAAATGGCACCCTAAAATAGTTATGGAATCTGCAGCAACACACAGTTTGAGAACTATTGAAATAAAAGATGGACTCTGCCGTAATTGAACATTCTTGCAATCAAACTGTTGAGAAGTTTGCAAACTTTATGAACGCTCGTACATACACTAGAGACATAAGTGAGTGTTTGAATCAGAGTCTTGGACCATGGCCTAGCTATACGTATAAGGGGTAATCAGAAAACATAGGTGCTTCAAGTGCCACCAAAAGCTCTATAGAGTTAAAGTGAGAACTCGCAACGCCTGTAGAAAATCAAGCCTTCCAACCGAAGCTCCACCCCTGCTATTAACCGTTTTCAAAATGCAGTGCCATCTGGCAGCTCAAAAAGTTGCTCCACATTCGACAAACTAATGGCAGTCATGAAACCATTTCATCAGGCACCGTCACTTTAACACGCCCACAGGAGATGAGAACTGAATTGCCTCGCAATTCTCTCTCGATTTGTTGATCTTGACGGAATAAACATGGAGCTGGCCGGTTCAAAGCGGCGACCCATAAGGGCCTCAATTAAATTTCCTCCATCAAAAGGCTTTAAAGCCAAACTCTCATCAAGAGATTGACTGGACCACCCTCCGAAATAAATGTGCAAGACGCTGCACCCAATGCGTGCGTTTTGTTATACCGACGTCTCAAACATGCGAAGCCTCACATATCCTCCACCTGGTACGGTCTTCAACTTCTTACTTCGTCGGCCTCGAGGAAGGCCGCCATTAGGTTGGCACAGACGCCACACATCGAGGTGATGACGGCGATTGCAGTTGCTAGACTGAATTTCAAAAAGGGTCCATTCCTTCAAAACAATATTCGACCCTCACTCACCCACAGTGACGGTCTTGGTGCTTGAGGTAGTGGTGGTGGTCGTTGTCACCACCGTCACCATGGTCGTGGTGGTCGTCACCTCCTCCTCCGCCTCCACAGCCGAGCTCATCACCTCTTCCTCCACGTCCATCTTCTCCGGCGGAAGCATCGAGGTCTCGACGACGTCACCGTCCACGACCATGTTGTCCACCACCGTGGACTCGACGACGGACTCTTGGCACCCGTCCGCGGCCCCCTCCTGCTCCGTCGCAGCAGAGATGTTGGCCTCCGCTTCGAGGAGGCTACGCTCCAACGCCTCTTCTGCGGCCTGGGAAGTTCAGAGATGCGAAGGAGGGGAAGACGCTTCACTCGTTTATTCTTAAGGCTACTTCACACGTAACTCATTAAGATGGAGGCTCGGGCGGGTGGGTGATAAGAGCTTGCATTGGCAGCAACGACGCATTATAAAGAAGGACAAAAGGAGAAGGCACATAGAACGACAAACATAGCACTATGCTTGTCTCCCCCCCCCTCTTTTTTCAAGTCTGGAAGCATCTTGGTTTGTGTAAGAGCAATAACACACTTCTTATCCAATGCGACAGTGTCCCGCCCACAAGTACACACATGCTTTTGCCGGCCTGGGTAATCTATGTACTCGTTTCTTGCACAATAAATGCATGTTTATACATATGTAAACTTATGTATGTGTCCTCTCCTTCTTTCCCTGTTTATAACGCGCTGTGCCGCTAATACCAATTGTTCACACATTCGAGTTTGCCCACGACCGAGTTCTTGCACTCTCTTACAATAAGAGACTAAGCTGGCGGCAGGCTAGCGTCATCCTTGAGGCGACCCTGGCAAGGCATTTCGCTTGAGCAAAGATTTTGCGGCATTTGCGAGACTGACAAAAGGGGAATGGCACACGGTACTACCGTAGAATACTGTGCATCCGCTCATACCACATTAAGCGCCCATTCCCAAATTTGTAAAATCTGAGAAAATATGCACAGTACATTCATATGTAGAATTGATGACCGGACAAGCGCCCATCCCCCATTTTTTCATGATCATCTCAAAATTTTGAGTGGGCGCTTCCCCAGTATTTTACGGTATGTGCGTACTATCTATGAGAGATGGTTGTCCATAACATTGTCAAAAGCTTTTTGAGCCAAGAAATAAATAATGATGCACAAAATAAATAGGAAATATATGTAAATGACGAATGTTCCATGGCTGCCCTATAGATGGCGCCAGTTCGTTCTCTCCACGCAAGAGATATTAAAGGGCCACAAAAAAGAAGAAAAAAAAGTTTTTTTTAAAATAGTCTGGTTGGAACAAAAAAAATTTTTGCGCAAAAAAAAAAAAAAAAAAAATTTTTAGAGCAATACTGACTGCACGAGATTTATTTTAGTTGCATCCATGACATTACAGAATAATCATACACTCCCTTCACCTCAATGTGACGGCCACAGCTTTTTATTGCCACAGCTTCTCTCCTCCACGTGCCCGAAATCCCGAGAGCAAAAACAAGTGAAAAGGAGGCGACTACCGACTAAATTGTGTCTCGCGCTGTCAATATTGCTCTATATAAAATTTCCTTTTTGCGTAAAATTAATTTTTTGACCCGTGTGTCCCACCTAAACTGTTAAAAAAAAAACTTTTTTTTTTTTTTCATTTCAGTGGCCCTTTAAAAGGCACATGGTCATAAGCAGTCAAGGCCCTAATTTTTGCCGACTCGTAAAATATTGGAAAAAATTGTTCTTGTGAATATACTACATCACGGTAACGAATACGTAGCATATCACTCAAATACCACAAAATTTTGTGCCCACGAAATATTCCTAACACTCGCACTTCCCAAAATTTCCAAAATGTTGAGCCCGCAAAAATAAGCTAGTTCACCACTCCGATTGATTGGCCTGAAATTAATGCAGTACTCTGGCAGTTTCCTGAGCCACCCAAGCTAACTGCATTTTCTGAATACCCAAGATTTCCTCTTCCTGGCATACTGTTTAGTACCTCTAAGCTCGAAATAGTTATTGAGGAAATGGTGAATGAAGACGTCGCCAAAAGCCACACTCTAATTTCTGGCAGCGTGAAGCCAAGCTCACGCAGCTAGCGGCATTCAGGGAAACCTCGGTAGGGGCCACCAAGAGTCAGGATGACGTCACAATGACATCCAATATGTTGATCACCCACTCGGGCAACTAGGACGGGTACAGCCAATAACATCCATGTTTCCCTGGGGCGCTCTTTCTGCGCTCAAGCGTAGGGTTCTTGTTTCCACCGCCTCAAAATATGGCGTTACGATCAACATTGCCGCCAGGCCAATGGCCATGGCAACGTTCGCCGACATCCGAGGAGCGTGGTCGTCTCCTCCGAGTGTTCTGCGGAAAACGTGGTGTTCGCTCGGTTCGCGCTAATTTGACTTCCAAAGTCCTGGTGCTCTCGGAAGAGGATACCTTGGTGCTACTGCACAGCGAAATGGTGCGGGAACTCCAGCAAGTCGAAAGTCTTGTCGTTCTTTCTATTCCGAAAGGTGTTCCGAAGCGAGAGGTAAAGTTTCGTTTTTCGTCGCTTTCGTTTCAAGCCCGTTCCATGTAGTGCGATCCTGGTTGCGATTTTCAGTCTCGTGCGGCAGAAACCCCGTGAACACAGCACTTAGCACATGTTTGTTTTTGTTTTTTCTTACGTATGAGTGACGTTGCACCTGAAATTTGCAGGCAGATCGAACCGTACCACGTGCTAAGCGCACAGGACGACACATTCATTTTTGGTGCTCTCTTTTTGCCCACAGACCCTTGCCTTACTTTTGTGGGAAAGCTTGAGTGCCTTCTGGCGTGCATTCTCAATCTGGTATACAAGGATGATGTGATGAAGAATCTTAGTGCTTTCATAAATAAACAGTCGGAGACCTTCTCTATCCAGCAATCGGCTAGAAGTTCCCCAGATGTTCTGCTATGAACCCTGGTGAATTTACGCCTTTTAAAAGAAGAGATCTGCAAAAGCCTCATTTGTAAAGGTCTGCAGCTGATAGGAAAGCACAGTAACCGTAAAACAAGTCATCTAACAGCTGAGTAACAAAAAAAATTATATTTTTTTGTCTACAAAACATTGAAGTTTCTGCTGATCAAAACTGTGGTGGTGCGATATCTTTTACAAATGTATATTTCTTTCATTGTGCTCTTACATGCTTCTCGTGCCATCTGTTCTATTGTTCCGTAAATTTTATTATCTGTATATATCTTCCATTTTATGTATGAGATCTGTGTAAATAATAAAGAACGTATGAAAAGTAAATGTGTGCTCCTTGCCTCCTACCCACTTGAGGAGCAGCTTCTCTGAAGTTGCGCTACAGTGGTTTATAAAAAAAAAGATATAAAATAAAAGCCCCAGAAGACGAGAATGAAATCGACGAGAAATGAAATCAGGAAAGCAAACCGGAGGGGAGAAGGGGGGCAGGAGCAGCGAGCGTCGGCGAACCGGCCGCCTGGGACGTGACAGGACAACTTGCGCCATCTAGGGGCAAGTAGGGGCGGCCCGGCAGCAGTAGAGGCAGCGATTGTAACGCCATGTTTTGAGGCGGCGGAAACAAGAACCCTACGCTTGAGCGCAGAAAGAGCGCCCTGAAGGAACACGGATGTTAACGGCTGTACTCGTCCCAGTTAAGTGGGTGATTAACATATTTGACGTCGCCAAGACGTCACCCTACTTTTCTCTCTTTTTTTTTTTTTTCGCTCATCGGTCGCTCTTTTCTCGCTTCTTCGCTTGCTTGGGCGCCCGGAGCGTGCTACAATAGCCAAGGCTACGGCTGCACCGGCCTGGTGAAGCCACACGTCGGGAAACTTGCAGGTCGAGCGGGCAATCCAGCAAACTGAGCGCGTCGCTAATTTTTTAGTGCAGAATGTGTTTTACGAGTAGGCTTCTATAAGAAAATTGTCACTAATGAGTGAGAAGTTATATATAAAGTCCGTACACATAGTTCGAGCCCTCAGCAAGGCTCGAGGCTTGGTCGGTGCGATTGCAGTCGGATCCTATGGCCACTGAGCTACTAGTAGCACAGCTGGTATGGAAGGGTCAATGTTTTTATTTGAATTCAAATGTGCTGGCGAGGCCCAGAATACATTGTGCATTCTGGGTTCTGTCAGCATTCTGTGCCGCTGCAGTGAATGTTTATGGAATTCATCTCACGCCATCAAACGTCTCGTGATTTGTTGGGAGCAAGTTCTACTCCCCATATAATGAACCCCTACCCACATCCGTCATCACTTTTTTATCACTCTGGGTAGACCCTTAGTTTGAACACCCTTAGTTCAAACAAGGGGTCAGGACCAATTCTGAAAATTCAACAACTTCCTGGAAAAACATTTTTTTTTTATTTCATTGTATTGGTTATGCACGTTGCAATTGACTTCAAACAAGACACCACTTGACAATGCCCAAGCACAAAAATGGTAGCCAATATACTGTCCTTGCGACATGTCTACTGAACATTAGTCTATACCCCGTTTCACGATAACTTGGTGAACTGTGGAGGCCCCCGCGACACAATAGGTGGTATTCACTGGAGGCCATATTTGAGGTAACTGCACACAGCGCATGCTCGGGAGGAGTTTCCCGTCAACTCTCAGGCAATCACAAGAGAAGAAGAGAAGGAGAAACTCTCTTCTCACCAGGACTTTCCTTTGTATGTCCCAGGCTTCCCCCAGAGGTCGCTATTCTCCCTCTAAAAGATTATAGATGATTAACTTTTGCAGCAGACGACAGCCGGTTCTTCCGGGCCTCGCATTTGGCGCAGTGACACAAACGCTCACTTGACGTGGTGTCACGCGCCTCACTCCAACGGTCTTACTGGATCGCGGCGGCCGTAGTCTCCACAGTTCGCCAAGATATTGTGAAACAGAGTATAGTAAGACTAGGCTGCAGGTGAACTAGCTTTCACGCGTTAAAACTTTCGGAACATTCAACACTTTCTTGACGCGTGTTTGCGGTGCCAGCGGTTCTTTACAAGCAAGTTTCACGGTAAAGGACAGTCTTTGAAAAAGAGGAGGGTAGTCGTCTTACCAGGCTCTCTTCCAGCTCCTGCCGCCTGCGCTCCTCAGCCTCCTGCGCCTCCCGGGCCTCTCGTTCCCGTCTCTCCTCTTCCTCCTTCGCACGGCGGGCCGCACGTTCCGCTTGCACTTTCGCCAGTGCCGCTGCAAGATGCCGTATGCCATGCAACAAGATTAGGCTCCCCCCAAACCAATCCACCCAAGTTAGAAGAACAAGTACCCGCAAGTACTCTCGACACTTGTTATGCAGAAACAGCCTAGCGATTTGGTCTGTCTTAGCACTCTTAACATGAAACGTTCCTTGGCTAGGTGTTCGGTATTTTGTGAAACCCAAAAGCGAAGCCTGGATAAAAGCGTGACCGCAAGGCTCGACACTCATTGGTTGACGGGTGGGAGAGGAGGAGTGAAGTGCTCGACGCTGACTGGCTAACAGGGAGGTCATAGAAGGTGCATATGCCGATACCTGCAACAATCCGCTTGCAGAGCAGAGTATCGCAAGGGACTCCTATTTTGGTCCAAGCGTTGCAGAAAGCGACTGCGGCTCTTGCAGGAAGCACGGCTGTGCGCGGACCATAGCCCTCTCATTCACAAGCGTGCGCGCGTGCACTGCAAGGTTATCATTGGCCTTTCCACGGTTGACTTAAAACGTCCCTCACGTTACAAAAAGAATGCAATTCTGTGCTATCTAACACACTTAACATTCATAGGTTCGTGAAGCTTCCCGCTCGTTTGACTTCAGTGCACAGCCTACTGCTTTCTCCAATCTCGAGTTGCACCAACACGTTGTTCATCCAATAAAAGAATAAATAAAACAGTGCAAAAAAAGTACAGAAAGGCAAGCGCAAGTTGTCCTCATGTACCCTTTTCGGGCCGTCTTATTTATTCCGATCACGAACTACCCTGCCCCGCAACACACCTTGTGGCATTCACGATCTGTGAAAACAAAAACACGGTGCTCTGCAAGGTTGTATCCCCACCGACACTTCGGACCACTTTTGTGCATGTGACACCTCCTTCGCCGAGGACGAGTTGGAAGTACACTCTGGCTCGCCCACTGCGTTACTTTAGAGAGGGAAGGGGAGGTTTGGCGGAGCGTGCGCACCATTCTCCGCGTCGAGGTAGGTTTTCCGGTTCCCCTTGGAGCTGTTGGTGAGCTTCTCGGTGAGCTCCATGTGCTTGGTGATCTCCTCCCGGAAGTCGGCGATGGTCCGGCACAGGTCCAGCTCCAAGTCCTCCGGGTCCAGCACGTCCAGGAGCTCCTCCAGCTGGGCCGACGTCGAGTAGTAGAACACCTCATTGTTCTCCCCTTCCCTGGTCCGAGAAAGAAGAAAGATGGCGACAGGGAAGGTCAGACGATCGTCAGGGCTGTTCGAAAGTAAGGGTCTTCGTCGGTTCCCCTTCTGCAGGTAAAGGTCTTGAGACCCCATGGTCGGGGACAGGCTAAAAATGCGGTAGATGCTCAGACTCCGGCAAGCACTCATTGCCTTCTGCCAGGCTCTGGTTACACGTGCAAAGGAGTGCTATCAAAGGCAGAAAGCTTGCGCTGGGGGCGGAGCATCTGCTGGATTTTTAACCCTTTGAGCGCCACCTCCCAAGTATACTCCGGTGCGCTCCCCGGCATACCCCCTGCCGCGCCCGAGTACACTCGTTTTCAGTTTATTCCCTGCCACTACGAACTTAACTCATGGCCCCAACTGGAGTCCAGGTGACTTCGTCCCCAACATTCACTTCAATTCAGAAGTTAAAGAACTCTTTGAACCTAAAGTATCGTCGTTCGGTAAATAAACATACATACTGAAGCATGCAATCGCATTTCTGCATCCAAAAATGTTTGTTTTTTTGTGCAGTGAAAAAGTCTTTGCACGGGGTGCACGCTGGGAAGAAAAAATCCGGCACTTAAAGGGTTAACCTGTCATAGACTAGTTTTGTAACTTCCTCAACGGTTCTGATCGGATCTATTGGTGACTAGATGTTTCAATGGCACCCTCTTATGGTTCCTATCCCTGACATCACAACCAAGATTATTAGTGGCGAGCGACAAGTTTGATGGTACGTAAAAAAAAGTGCGGTGGAAGCCTAGTCATTACGTTCCAAAATCAACACCGTGAAAGTTGAGAGTCTGACTTTCCTCATATTTACGTCAATGAGAACGGAAATAATCCTACTTAAGACATCATAATAAGCTTTTGGCCAAATATGGAAGTCGTGCATGTTGCCAATAGTTCGTCGCAGGTTAAGAAGAGCGGGTGAAGCACCTTGCCCCCAAGAAACACTTTCACTCTCTCCACTTTAGCAGAGCGAACATCAGAGAGGAGGCGGATGGAGAAAAGGAGACCACCAATCACGATGAGAGCTTTGTGGGAGGGGGCATATACCGCTTTTCTTAACCCGCAACACACTACAGATTGAATAACCACATTTAAACAAGCTTATTTTTTGCCATCAATTTTAGTTTTCAAGAGGTTAAAAAATTTTTCTTCATTGCAGTATGTCGACGAGTAGCGCATTAAATAGAGCACCGGGTAGACCGTTTATCTGGCGGACGACAGAACTAGACCTCGGAGCAAACTCACAATGTCTCTATACTCGTTTTCACCTCAAAAACCATAGTAAAAACAAAAAAAGTCTGCAGAGATTTTCTAAAATACCCCCTTACGTGGAGAATCAAGATATATGGTATATTTTAGATTAGATATATGTAGAGCCCTACATTAGCAACCTACATGAAGAGTTCAGTGTGTTTTGGTAAACACTGCTAAACCTTGAAAATGAACCTCTGTGTCGGTTTTATTAAAATCACGGAAAACCAATGAAACCCCGAATTCAACCTGTACTTGAAGGAGAAAATCTCGAGCTTCACGGGAAGAGATATTTATGTACAGCTTTATTTCCGGTTCACCCGGAGCATAACCTCCAAAAAAGTGCCCTCAAAGCTGCTATCTTTGGAACCACGCACATTATTTTTTCTTTTATTATTGGTACAGGGACCTCTTCCAACTATTCCCAACATGCGCATGTTCCTTCTTTTTTTTTTTTTTTTTGCAAGTTTTGGGTTTTGAGTATGTAATGGTGAATTCCATGTCCATGCACTATTTCCTTTATAACATAAATGCCAATAATCGCAGATTTTTTGACGGACACCCAAAATCGTCGCCGAAAAAACCAAAATCCAATTAAAATAAACTCCGGAAAAACACCCTCGAATTTGAGGAAAATAAACACCAAAAACGGGGAACACTAGATATATGTTATCTTATCTAGTCATACACGCTCCAAATGCCAAATACACTGTTTCTTCCTCTGACAACCAAACCTAGTAAGAACCACTTTGTGCGGCATATTTGAGATTGTATTTTTACGGCGCAATTTCATAATCCACTTCAGTACTTTTTTAATATTTGAAAAGCACATATATTTCTTTTTATAATAGCTTTAGTTTGATTTACATTCTTGTTGCGCTGCCCTAAAGACGTGGGTGGCTCAACCCTTGTTTGTGGGCGGCCGTGGACGACAGCAAAGGTTCTGCGATGAAGAAGGAACTCCAAGTTTCCACTTTGATATAAAAGAACAATGCTAAGGGCTTCCTCAGCGACATGCTGACTGTTTTAAACAAAAAAGCCACAGAGTCCCGCCACGTTAAGAGCACCGGAATTTCGTAAGGTATCCCAGTGTGCCACAATGGGTGTTTGCTCAAAATCAAGTTTCGAAGCGGGCCTCAAAGACAGCAATATTCTATTCGCAGTTCAAAAAAATATTATACGAGTTCGATTGTGCTGACAAAGACCAGGGACTGCAGAGCGTGTTTCGCACAAACACCACAAGGTACAACATCACGCCGCTCTCGCTGGCACGTTTTGCCAATAGCGCAATGCTTCCAGAGTGGCTGTGCCGTGCAGCTCGGTGGCTACAGGTAGGGTTCCAAGTTTTCAGATAAATGCGCCAAAATCCGAAAAATGTTGTTGGTAAAGTTTTTGTTAATTAGAATTTATCCAAAAAATTCCAAAGTTCGAAGCCCCAACAACAAAATATAAAAAAGACAATGTTTTACAAATAAACTTTAAAAGAGCACACGGTCAATGGTCCTGAGGAGATGCCACTTCAGCTTCCTTTGAAATCTCAAATTACTGACAAAAAGGGTTTGCACTTAGCTGGTCAAAGTTCCTCCGGGACAATGGGTCCGTGTCACCCAGATTTTATTTATTTTGTTTTTGAATTCTATTTGTTAAGATAAAATAAATAAACTCAGAATTCCAAAGAATCGGGAACCTAACAAAGACAAACTCGACAAACCCCGAATTTTAAGAGAAAAATAAACTCGGACAAACACCCTCCAAATTTCAGGAGACGTAAACTCCGACAACACAGAATCCTAGTAATAGGCCACATGCTCCGTTTCCAAACAAACCCCCACGACATGCGAGCTAGTGCGTAATTCCCGCACCAGGCAAAGGGCAATGCGCATGTGCAGGAACCAGACTCGCAGGAAGTGGAATGTCTGCGCATGCGACCCACCATTGCGGAGAGCAAGTCATCTGCCTCTTGCGCAGGAGTTGCGGTGAGGTCAGAACGACGCCGAGCTCCGATTGATTTTGATTGAAAGGATAGCGGGAAGACCTCGCTGCCAGATGCCTCGAGGTCTACCCACTATTCTTCAATCGGAGCCAATCGGAGCTCGGCGTTCTGACGTCATCGCAACCCCCGTGCAAGAAGCAGACCAACTTGCACTCTGCATAGCAGTGCCACCGCCGCGGCGTGACGTCAGGCCTGCGTGTCGGAGCATAGTTTACAACCAACACCGCACCGATCCAGGTTCAAGCGTCTTTATCATTTTTTTTTTTTCTCTTCCTTTAACTTTGTGCAATGCTCCTAGTGTGTTGTTCGTTCATGATGAGTTTTCTCATGGGAGACGACCCATAAAACACATCCTGCATTAAAAGCTTTGCAGCTTTCCTTCGGCATTGTCTTCAGAGGCTGCCCGACATGTTACGACCCGAGCGAGGTCCCTCGTAGCTCCCGCATTCTTAAAGGGGCACTAAAAAGGATTCTGCGATCGTCTGTCCTAGGTCATAACTGACTCCACAAGCCCTAAGCACCTCAAAACTTCCAAAAACTACAATCACGCAATGCCGAATTCTCTATTAAAAAACGTGGTCAAAAGTCATGATGCACCCTTATCTGAGCGGATTTTTCCGCTCAGGAAAGGTGGGGCATACCCCAGCAGTGGTGTCAACGCAGTGACGATGGGAGCTCATCGCCCACTCGCAAGCCACCTCTCTTGGAGAGGCGGCATGCGATTGGCCAACAAGCGCCCGTTGTCACCGCTGTTGGGGTGTGCACCACTTTTCCTGAGCAAAAAAATCCACCCAGGAACTCGTGTGTCCCGACCTTTCATTACAATTTTAATAGGAAAATCGGAGTTGCGTCATTGTAATTTTTGTATTTTTAGGATGCTTAGGGCCCGTAGAATTGGTTATGACCAAGAACAGACGAACCCTCTTTGGTGCCCCTTTAAGCCGAGTCGTCCGGCACTTGGAGCCCTTTTTTTAACCCTCGATTTTCTCGTTAACGGAACACACGACTGAAGCTGGACCCTTCGGTACTGAAATGCAAACTGATCCCCCATGTCCGAGTACGGTCGTCCTTGAACCCTCGCAAGGGCGTGGCCGAAACAAAGGAGCACTTACACAAAGATCCGGCGGCAGAGGAACCAGTACTTCCGGCCGTGGCGGTCGAGCCCCAGACACTCCTGGCGGCTCAGCAATCCGCCCTTCTCAATGTCTGAGATGCAGTCCGTCACTCCGGACACCTGAAACACGAGCGATTACAACTATAAGTCGAGACTTCACTTCAATACGGAGCAACCAAAAGGTCTAAACCGTCATTCCACCATTTCTCAAGAATTGCAAACAAAGTTAGCAATGCTCGGTGGCACGATCACCGAGGCGACTGTTTTCTGTATGAGTGAATCACAGAAAAGCAAAACAGTGGTTCCAGGGGAGTGCTGCGGCATTGTATCGGCACTGCCGGTTTCTGAAAACTTGCCAGCCGTAAGGTCCCTCGATGCTATGTGCCCTCCTTGTACAAGTACCGACGCCCAACAAGAACGACGAAGCATATTTCGTAGGAAGAATGTGGCGCCTTGTACTTCATTCTGCTGCCACGTGCCACCACTTTCTTCCTTAAAAACAGCACTGTCATACGGTTGGTACCACGATTAATTTCGCTACTTGCGATAAGCCTGAAAGCGGCTTTTGTCTGGGAACTGAATTCCTGCTCACACTACATCTCTTACTTGGTTAAAGGTACGCCAAAGCCTGTTTTACAGCGGAGCTGTTAAGGGCTAGTTTCCCCAGGATTGTGTCCCCCGCAAAGAAGTGAAGACACCGAACTCTGGAACCTACCGCCATCTATGAGCGACGGTGGCAAGCCACGTATCTGGTTGCCGCCGTCGCTCATAGATTGCAGCACCCTTTCTACTTTCGCTTGCCGACTTGCGGCCGGCCATTATTTTCCATTGTACAGCTTCGCTGGTCTTCCTTCTTCACCAGAGTGGAAAGGCTGAAAGTTTTTACATTCAACATTTTTTCCAGCAGCAAGGAGGCCTAGGAATCTAGAGCACCAACAAATCTGGTTTGGAGAACCGCAAAAATAAAGGTAACGAAATATTCACGTCTTTTGCTCTTTCACCTGGACGTCAAAAAGAATGCCGCTGCAAAGTAAACATTAAACAGATATTTAAAAAAAAAATTATTTGGTGCCAACAATATTTTGTGTTTTCAAGACTGCACGTGTAACCTAGCTGTGTTTGGAGATTTATGTTTGTCCCTTGTCCCTCTTGTTCCCCTTCTCCAGGGATTATTTTCATCATTACTGTCCAGCTCGCTTGCCCATTCGCATTTAATTGCATTATAATTATAACGTGTAACCTGCTGGAATTATGCCCAAAGCATCTCTTTCCCTCTGTCTCCACAAATCAGCCGTGTTGTTGAAGCAGCAATTGTCTGCGAGCAAATTACTCTACTCATGCGCATATCGTTTAGAATGAGTGCCAATGCTTGTACGTAGTTCCTTCGGCGATACTGCATCTCTCTCTTCTTCGCTCCCCCCTTACAAGGGAAGTGCAACGATTTTGAGATTAAAAGAACTTGCATCTCGTCATTTTTACTTTGTTTATCGTGTCCCGGAGGATAGAGAAAACATTTCCTTCATTAAAAATGTCACCATTCCGCTGCATAATTGCAAATCATAAGTCAAGCTTATTCTCCCACCGCAGCCACGAGTGGCACCCGAAGGAAATAGGGCGAGAAACTTGCGTGACCTCGCTCGGCTCTAAGCTGCAGCACAACGCCCGCTAATGTCAGCAGAGAGAGGGAGAGCAAGCGTCCTCCGAGGGAGCACGCGGGAACCTACACGGCACCCCGAATTACGTCACTAGGACTGCGACCAGGTGTGACCCTGAAGACTAGGAGTGAGTTAAGGAGTGCCAAAAATGCCAATATTTATCTTTTTTTTTTTTTTTTTTACACAACAACTAGGACATGCAGGCGAAATCGGTTTTCTGTTCTTTACTCCAGAAGTGTCGGGGGGCAACTTCCACAAATTTTTGACCGAAGTCCGGAAATCTTTGCACCCCCCCATTAACCTCCTTCCTTTCATCTCCTAGCCCTGCTCTCCGCGCATAGGTATGCACAGGAGTGGAATGACGTCACGAAAGATAACTGGTTCCAACGGGCATGTAGCTTCCATCGGACTCTCAGCTTAGGGGTGAACGAAGTACAGCATGTCCCCCACAAACGATGTACAGTGCTTTTTTCACCGCAAAAATAAACTAGGCATCGCTGAACGCTCATCCTCCGCCCAAATGTAGCGCTAAATGCCCGAACCAGGTGCCAAAGTTTCGGCAGTAACCGTTACCTTAGTTTAAAGTACCGTAATATCCCAAGAGATGCCCCACCCCTGAGAGACAACCCACCTCTATTTTTGGCTTGGGGGTGGGGCATCCCAAGAGACCCAAGAGAGACAGTAACCGTTACCTTAGTTTAAAGTACCGTAATATCCCAAGAGATGCCCCACCCCCGGGAGACAACCCACCTCTATTTTTGGCTCGGGGGTGGGGCATCCCAAGAGATGCCCCACCCCCGAGAGACAACCCACCTCTATTTTTGGCTTGATTTTCCGTTTTCTTTTAAACATTGAAAGATAGCCCACTGCTAGTAATCGTAGTGTCCGGACAAATGATGACCTCAGCGTAGATTCGGCTAGTTAGCTACGCTGGGATATAGGCGAACATTACTGACTGGGAAGTACTGTCATCTTTGCTTCATTGTCCCTCGCTGCAATAAGTTTGACAGAAAAACATAATCAAAAAATAGTAGTCTTGCGCAAATAGTGAATTTTGAGTTTGAAGCGAATTCAAAGTGAATACTGGTTTTGGCCGAATATTTTCGATTCGAATATCGAATAGTTTTTCTACGCCTTTCACTACCATTGCATAATGCATAACCCCAGCTAAAATTGTGAAGGTTGTTCCACTTGTTCATTTATAAGCTAAGTTTAATCTATCTATATTTATGAACTGTGACCTCAGAAGGTCTGGTGTTTTGGGATGGCAAGTAAACGACGGATTTGACGTAAGATGAATCCTATAGAGATGGCCAACTATACCCAATAGAGTTAATTCACGAATCTTACTATATAAAATATCCTTTCTTTAATCTCGAGTTAAAAAATAATGAATCGTGCATGATGATTGCAGGTTGCAAGGGCATCTCTGCCTAACATAGTACACCCTTGCATAAGTTTAATTTTAAAACTTTTACTGCAATGTAGATATACACATTCACAAAGTTTTCATTTATTTTCAAATACAGTCGGCACAGGTGCACCATCCCACTTTGAATGTAGTATGTTTTACTTCCAAGCACGTAATTACAATATTTATAAGTGTCCAAGTGTTTATCGCGGTGGGTTACCCCGTTGAGTGCGCTTCTTACCAAGCACCAATGCGCTGCGGGGAAGCAACACCCGCAAAGCTCGCTTCTGCGGGTATTGCTTCACCGCAGCGCACCGGGGCTTGGTAAGAAGCGCACTCAACGGGGCCAACCCGAAGCAGTCATCACTTCGAAAAACGCGAATAGTGCAGTTCTTCTCGAAGCGAATATCAAATAGTGTATTATTCAGAACTACTATTCGAAATTTCGAATATTCGCACGACCCTGTGTGTGTAAATATTGCTTTTATTATAAAATTTAAAGAATAAATAAAATAGAAAGAGGGATGCAAGACGCATTGTTAGTCACCCATGGGGGGGTCTGGTTCGTCGTCTTGCGGGGATCGGGAGAAAAAGAGGATAGGGTAGGAGGTGACAATGGGGATGGGCGTATTTACAGAAATGAAGGGTATAGCCGCCGATGCGATGGAAGGACAGGTCGCATCCCACCGCCACCCCAAACGCAGCCGGAGCACGCGCTCCCCTGCTGGGCGCTGACTTCAAGAAGCCAAAGCGCCGGGGCACGAGCGCCCCGCCACGACTAGGGCGACGGAACGAAGCACCCGCCGCTTCGACCCATCGGCGGCCATAGGATGAAGGCATGTTGTATGCTAGTTCACAGTCTTGATGACCCTAAAAAATAGTGTTATTTCAACTTTTCTTAATTGCACACCAAAATCTAGCCCACCCTTTATTTTTGCCCGATTCACTCTCGACTTTAGGTGGGCTATCTTTTGGGATATTAGCCGTGCATTTTTACTGAAAGTGAAGCTAGCTCATCAATATTTAGACGGTGCGAAGTGTGCTCTGAAAGATGGCAACCAGTGTTTTCTGTGAAAGGGGCAACTCGCCGAGTGCAGCTCGACTACTAACACGGGGTTTTTAAACATGCACCTCGCAGTATCAAATGCACAAATAATGCATTATATTATGTGTTACGCACACAAACTGGTAGGAGTGAGACATTTAAACTTATGACCTATGTTTCAGTCAGCAGAACAAGCTCTCACTCATGCAGTGCCAAGCTGTGGTGCATCATTTATATATATATATTTTTTTTTTTTTTTTTACATTTTTATTTTTTAAGTAATGCTTGACAGCTGTCTTCAAAGGAACCCTACAGTTGACGGAGTAAAGGCAGAAAAAAAAATTCCAGCTAAAAAAGTTTATCGTAAAAAAAAGAAGACGAAACAGTAAGAGCAAACAGTGATCTTACATTGTGCATATCTACTCAGTCCACAACCTCAAGTGACAGATGCATTGTGCTTGTTTGTCGGCTGCTCTGCACGTCTATGTTTCTTTGTATATTACATCACACTCTTCCAAAAACATCAAACACAACAAAAAGAAAGTTTTTCTTGTTTTTTTTTTGCGCAAGCTACTAAATAATGGTACCAATAAGCACCCAAAGAATGTTGTGGCTGCACAGTTGCATTTATCAATAAGAAACACAAACAAAGTTCAAATGGAAACAGGACTGGAACGGAAGAATGCGACATCTGAGACTCAGGAGTCACGAACCACGCAACTATGAATTCGAAGTTCCTTTAGATCAATGCCTTTTCGGTCCTTCAGGGGTCCTAAAAATTATGCTGTATAGATTTTAATATTCCCATTAATGAAGATGAACCACGGACCGCTCATTACATTTTGAATGTTTATAATTTTGTGTTGGTATCACAGGTGATTAAGAACAAAAAAGTGAAGACCTGAGGGGCTGTTTTCTTGCTAAACAAATTACGACTTGAGTTATAAATATTCTTTTCTTAATTGATAAGCCTCCATGGATCATTTCTCTCTAAAAAAATATAGACGAA